GCTTCGGTGCTCGGCCGGCCATAAGCTTAGTCTCGAAAGCTCATCGGACGGTTCCCTCGCACGCGGTGCACGTGGGTCTTATCGGACGGTCACGCGGTGAAGCAGTAACCCAGACACGTGTCGTGTAGTGATTCGATATATCAAATAAGTCGATAGCGTATAATAACGGACGATGCGCGGCCGCGAGTTTGGCGCGCAGCCAGAAGTCGGTGCGCAGTCGTGCCGTTACATCGAAAGAGAAGCTTAGTTTGTGAACAATAAAACTTTGCTTCTCATGCCAGGTCCGAAAAAGGGTTTACTAACGCGGCTCCGGTGTGGAGAGGCGGCCGGGCCCGCACGATTGAACATGAGAGCTCGAGTTCGTCCTGATCATTACATACTACCCCAACTGCAGTAAGGCTGTCTAACGATCATTTGCCAGATCAGATTGTCGATCCGAACACTAGATAATAATGGCTTGAGTCAAGACAGAGAGCACAATTACTAATGTACTGCAGCTAGACGAAATACACTGTGACAGAACGAAGAGCCAAGCTTGCAAGCTACAGTAATTGCAGCCTGCATGCAGGTACTCAGGTTCTTGACGGTCGGCCGACACTGACGGCGACACTGACGACGACACTGACGGCTGACACTGTCGGCCGCGCTACATTCACGGCCCGGTTGGCAAAAAGCGCGGTACAGTTTGCCCGGGGGACTACGGATTCCTAGCTGATCATCTACCGGTGCCACGTATTTCTGTCAGAAGCTGAGAGCCAATCAGAAACGGGACTTGGTACCACCACGTGGGCAGCAGATCTACGGTACCGCCGGTTTACAAATTTGACTTCTGCGGTACCTGCAGCCTGCGGTACTTGTTTGCAGCCTGCGGTACCCCGATTCGGTACCACCGGGGAACTTGAGTGCGCCAAAGTTGGCCAGAAGCCGACCGGGGATCAGTGTGCGGTACGCACCCTTGGCAGCTTCAAGCCACGGACCAGGTAGAGCCTACATGAGCAGGCTACACCTATAATACCGTAGGTAGGTATTAGCTACCTAGGCTAGGGGCCCGGAGTAGCACAGTCCGGGCAGCTTCTGGGGCCTGCAGAAGGTGCCGGATACCGGGATACCAGTAGCCCGGGTCGGAGAGCCTAGGCTACCTAGCCTAGCCTACTGTCCACTGTCAGTGTTCAGTGTATTTTGGTGGTACGGCTCGACGGTAGCCTCGAAATTTTGAAGTCAAATTCACCGGGCGGTCGATCAACCCCATTTCCCTGCTAGATTAGGTCCCGGGGCGTAGCTGGAGAAGTGCGGATTGAGTACCTAAAAACTTAACACTTCCAATACAGCTAGGGTAGTCCTCGGCCTATGTTGAAGCTGTGCGTTAAAAGTGAAGAAGTGAAATGCCGACAGCAAGTACTTGTGGTCTGATTTGAGCAATTTTGGAGCTTCAGACTCAGTGTACGCTGGCCGTAGGCCCGGTCCTGCACGGTACCTGTCAGAAATTCCGAACACTCGGGAGCTGCAAAGCACGTGGTATGGTCATCGGACGGTGCCGCGATATCTGCGGGACCTGGAATTCGACCAAGTTAAGCCGCGCTTTTTCACAAGTGTACCGTGAATGTAGTTCGGACAGTCGGCGAGCCATCCCAGTAAAGTTGCTAGCTAGTGACCGGACTTCTGAGTGGCAGAAAGTCGGAGGTACAAGTATACTGTAAGCGGGCGACCGGGGGGTCCCCAAGACTGCAAATCGGGCTCGGTGATCAGAATTCAAACACAGTTTAATACCTAATTCGGCCGATCATGGAAAAGCTAATGCCGGCTAGCTGTTGCATATGCGTTATGTTGGAAGCCGACACGTGTCTATGTTGCACAACTAGTGGGGCGCCAATAACACCGCCAGTAGCTGAACTCCTTCGAGAACTCCGAACTATTCACTGTTATCAGGTTGGTAATGGTCAATTATGGAATATTCCGTCTGTTTCGCTGTGCTGACGCACACGAAACTGCATAAAACCTTCAGCATGCGTCAAAGATTCATCGCCGACCAATGAGAGAAGAGACGTTCTTCACTCCGCTCGTGCAATCCTTATGAGATTCTTTATGCTGGCAGTCTGGTGACGCAGTGGTGCACCGGCTATGGGATCTTTGATTTCGCATGCATGATGGAAGCACTTTCGAAGCCTGAACTCCTTGATCATAAGTATCATACTGCTGTACCTACCGGTAGTACCGGTAGGAGTACCGGTAGTGGCTTGCTTCGCCCTTGCTTTGCCCTGAGAATCCTGTCGGACAGTTTCTGCTTGGCCAGCAGATTCTCAGCCCGCCAGCCTGCCATGCACTGCAAGGGCGAGCATGATCCGATCACGAAAAATCAGGTACCTACCGTCGCTACCCCACTCCAACATTGGCAACAGGGATTTCAGATTGCGCTGCCCAGCTGGTACCTACCCTCTACCGTAGAAATGATCAACAATAGGTACCGTTCACTGTCTTCCTCTGGGATCCTCCCCTTCAAAGCTCAACGCAGATATCATGTGGCCTCCAACTTCACCTGAACCTTTGAGGCCAAAAAGTGCCCATCTGCAATTTTTCTTTCCAAATCTCTTCGTAGGGAAGCGAACAATTTGAACTACCAACGATCACACAGGTGCACAGCGATCATGGCAGCTACCAAGGCCTTTATCGCCGTCCTAGCTCTCTCTGCGCTGACAGCCGTCAGCGCGCAGACGGTCAGTGTCTACAATGGCACTTACTCTGCGACCACCCCAAACAACGCGCTCTTCACGGGGCCGATCACACCGGACCCGTGCACCATCGGGCCATCTTACTGGTGCCTGAGCGACGCCAACATGAGACGGTGCCAGGTGTATAACGTCACTGTCGGAGTGTGCGGGTACAGGTGAGGCGTCACCCTGAGGTCATCATGCATGGAGAAGAAAGTTGAGGGTAATCTATGGGGTATATATGCTTGGTGAGAGTGGTCTGGCAGCTTAGGCTGAGCTGGGAGGAACATGAGATCGGGGGTGCGGGATTCTTGATTATAGTGGGATTGGGGAGGGACTTCCAACAATGTTCTGTTGAGCTTGAGTCTGACATGCAGAGCACTTGCAAGTGTGTGGGCTGTAGGGGCAAATTGTCTGAAGAAGGGATTAGGGGACCGAATACATAAGAAAATGTCACAATCCAGCTTGTTGCTTCCGGTTGACGGAGCTGGGGAGCTTGACGGAGCTGGGGGGCTGGTCTTGTTCAGAATAAAAGCCATTTTGGCTTCCAAGCGAGCTGCTTGATTGAGTGCATCTTGAGCGCCAGGGTGTGCCATCTACCGCTACGGGAAGGGGGGGCAAGTGTCACCAAGGGGGTTGAACATCTGTCTTTGTTACGCCCACTACCTTTAGGTCGCTTTCATATTTTGATGACAGGCTGGGCATTAATTGGCAGCTTTCTCTTTGCCAACTGGCTAGCGGTAAGAGCATGTTCCTTCCACCATCTTCGATCCCCCCCCCCTTCCCCCCCCCCCAGTCGCCCCCCTAAAATTTTGCTCTGTGTTGCCAGGGAAATGATTTTACCCTAGTTGAAGCACCTTTTGCCATCAGACAGTCTTGCCCCAAACATATTATTACCCCCCAGGCAGCCTTCCCCCGATCAATGACAGTTGCAAAAAGTCTGTGCCAAATAGTCTTCAAACAAAACAACGTTTTGAAGCAATGAAAACCTCCTTTGCAGCTCTGGCAAGTGCAACAGCAGCTCTGTCCAGGACTTTTGCGCCCAGAACCCCACCGCACTCCGCTTCAATGGCGGTCTCACCAACGCGCCCCCCGGCAAGTTCGGCTACTATGCCCTTGCCCTCTACTGGGCACCCACTTCCTGCAGCGCAAACTCGACCGCCGGGGGGGGCTTCTGCTCCAGCTACACTCTGGTGAGTTTTACACCCACCCCCCCCTAATGAGTTTCAACTGTATCGTCACCTCTTCTTCATGCTCTCTCCTTCTTGAAGACAGGCTGCTTTTATCCTCCGTCTGCTTTGTGCTGGTAAAGGTTCCAGAAATGCTCCAAGGCCTTTTGTGGAATTCAAGTACGGACAAGTTCAAGGACCTGAAGACTCGCGCCTCTTTCTGCATTAGACCTCTGCACGCAATGGAGTGCTGTTTGTTGGGGGTTTTGTGCATCCAATTTGGAGTGACTTCTCGCAGACCAGAATCTTGGCGTTTCCAAGCGATACTCTGGGGTCCCCATTTTGCCTGTCACTGTGGCGCCTTCTTACAATTGACGAAACTGCTGCTGATTTTTAATCGTTTGGGCTCAAACTGCGAACTACCCAATTTCCTTCCATCGAGCTCAAGTTTGACAGACTCGGTTGCGCACACAATCTTCAGCTGCGCATAAAGTGATGGACAAAGTAACTAGCCTGCCGAGTGCTTCTTGACATGGTTTCCACCCAGTGAACTTTCAGGCGTAGTCGGCCTTTAACCCCTCACGGTAGGGTTTCTCAAGTAGAGGACTATTCTCCAGCCCACCTAGGCCTTCGTTGAGACCCTTTCATTGCGAACAGAGGGCTGAATACAACAGCGGGGTGAATACCAGTCGATTACCGTCCTTGCTATTTGACAAGTGGCTGCATTCATACAGCTCATCACGCCGGCAGCATTCTTCCATAAAGCATGGATAGGTTATGTCTAGCAGTCTGACGCTGTGGAGCTCCGTTTCATTTCTCTTCACAACGAGGAAACTGTCAGCAAAAGGCTCCCAGTCCGTCCACCTTTCAAAATTGGGCCTTTGCTCACTTTCCTCTCGTGGGCTGTCTCAGGCTGGCACCCAGGGCTCTCAGAACCTGGTTCTACACGGCCTGTGGACCGACTACGGTTCTCTCTACACCACCGAGCCTGCTGCGCCCGCTTACAACGGTTCCTACCAGGTACATATTGCATTGCTATCTTTTTATCCAAAGTGTCGACTTTGCACTGGAGTGTGGCACGTTTGAGATTGTCTTCTTTGCTGGAGCTCTGAGTTGCTGCGTTCTATGCCTCTGCCTACGTCGATGGTTCTTGTAGTGTTGAATGCATTTGGGAAGGGAAAGGTGTGAGTTGGCAGTCGCTCTTACCTTTAAGCAACCTCACTCAAAGAGTTTCTCATCGGACGGTTTGTTCCCAAACACCTGACTGGCTGCTCTCATCTAAAGTGGATGGCATAAGCTCTCTGAGAGCCCCTTAGAGTTATTCACATAAAGTCCCGTTGATGTCTCTAGGACTCTGATTGGAGACTAAAGCGGCTTGACTTAGTTCCACAGGACGTACCACCTTCCGTGACCGTTTCCGCTTCTGCACGCTAGATTCTACCAGTTTGCTTTCACTGCCAGTCACCAGAACGGATGGACACAGTTAGAATGTGTGCTGCTGTTTGTGTGCTGCTGTCTGTCCCAGGAATGCGTTCGTATCTCAAGACAGATATCCCGAAACGGAAGGCCTTTTGGAAGCCTGCAAGAGAGTTCGCTACAGCTCCGCTAGAGGGGTCGGTCAGAAAGTTCTGGTGGCATGGACGGACACGTGGTTTGGCTTTGGCTTCATTTGATTTTCCAGTGTCGTTCTAGGAAGTCGTCTGATTGTCCGAAGATTCAGACGAGAGATTTGCTTAGTCGTCCTTAAGTCAAGTCCATTCCCGAATTCAGTGTGCTCCTTTGGATGATAAGTGCAAGGACGTCAGAAAGACGTCACTTCGTATCAGACTGCTAGGGCGGGGATTGAAGGCGTTTCAAAGAGCAGGATGCGCCCTCTGTGGATCTTGGTCAATACACGTGTCCATGTAAAACACACTCTTTCGTTCTTGACTACCCGTCACTCGCTCGTACCCTTTGGGTCCTTTCTGCCCCCCAGGTTAAGCTGCTGACCCGCTTTGCAAACAGCCTCGCGAGCTTGCATGCACCACTTCGAAAGGGCACCAGGTCCTTTCGGATCCGATTCAGGGGTTCGTCTAGGAGTCGGATCCATCATAGATTGTTTCCGTTACACAGTCTTTTTATCATTATTAGTCTACGAAGTTGAAAGAATGAAAGATGGAGTCATAACATGGGCTTGTTTCTCTCCTTTTGTTTTGAACCAGAAACGACTAGACGTTCTGCCCAAATAAGTCCATACGATACCCTCTCCGGTACCATTCTCGCGGGGTATTTAATTAACAGTAGGGTAACCGCACTGGGAAGGGCAGATTTTGTTCGAGGATTTGCATGGGTGCGTGAAGGTGCGGAGCAGGTACGTCTTTGGATTAGGATGATCGTGTTTGTTGGAGTCTATATCATTGTCTTGGCTCATTTTCTTCCTCGAGTTGCATGGTTAGAGGCCCCGTTGCTGCTCCCTGCTGACAAGAGCCCACTCCTTTCCGCAGGGCTGGAACCAGTACTGCTCCGCGACAGGGCCCGGCAGGATTGACTACTCCAGGTGCCACGTCAACGGCGGGCTCTGCCCGTGGGCCAATGCGACGGCCGCCAACTTTACGCAATCTAACTACGAGCAGTGCATGCGCGCCAACGGTGTAACGCAGTGCCAGGTGGAAGAGGCGACCGTTTCGGTAGGTCCACGTTGTCTCATTGCTGGGTGTTGATTGTGAGTTCGGACGTATGAGAGAAATCTCGCGCAGGTCAACTACGAGCAGTGCATACGTGCGAACGGCGTCACGCACTGCCAGGTGGAAGAGGCGACTGTGACAGTGAGTTTTCTCGCTGGATTTTAGGGTTTAGGGTTTAAGGGTTTGTGTTGACGGTGAGCTGTGGGGATGCTCAACCTTGACTCAAAAGCTCCTCGAAATCGTCGTTCGCGAAGGTTACAGAATGGGTGCCGCTACCCTGTCGATTTGATATGGTGTTGGAAGCGTTCCTTGCTTGCGAATATAAGAGACCAGGAGGGAGCATTGAGGACCTGATGGTGAGGGTAGGCATTTTCTTCATACTCTGGTTGACGTCATCCCAGCGGGAGTTTGCCCCATGCAATCGCCGCCGTCAAAGCTTCCAGGTTCAGGGCAGGTTCCAGAAGAGCCCGACTGTGGTTACTGAAATCTGCCAGTGGCTCTTCGAATTGGAAGTCAGATGATATTTTGGGATTGTGAGTGGCAGTCGAAAGAGGATTTTGAGCTCCAAGAACACCACAATCGATCGAGGAAGAACGCGAATGAAGCATCCTTTCGGTAGGCTCTAGCTCAAAGGGCGTGGCTGACGAAGGACTTCGTTGGGGCGCTGTCGTATTCGTCACGTTTCGATCTCGGTGGTGTCTCCATTCTCGAGGGGTTCCGCAATTCGGCCGTAGTACTTGCAGCTGCCCTTTGGTTTCATTATGTGGAGGTCGCTCCGCTGTCGTTGCTCGTGCTTCTTTTCGAAATAGGTTCGGCACCTACATTGCGAAAACCGCTAAGGCACGTGCCCAGGTTAGGAACACCCGCGCTGCGGCTCTGTGGCTTAAAGTGGATTTCTGCACTCGCGAGTGCATCTCAGATCGGACGGCACAAATGGATTTGTTAGACGAACCGAATCCGTCCGACTCGTGCCGCCGCCAGAGTTTTCACAGGAAATTCTGGTTGCTAACCAGGCTGATTAGCAGAGTTGAGTCTCGTATCAGCGACAGACAACCGGGCTTTAGTCTGAGTTGTTCCAGGGCTGGTAACCGCCCAAGTGTGGTCATTGGACACTTAACCAATTTTAACCAGCCCGTAACCGCCCATAACCATCCGTGGGTAGGGGCCATAACCCGCTGTCAATCCGGCGATGCCGTCGGCATGACGCCTACGCCCACTATAAAGTTGCTTTCGACTTGCTTTGTAAGTTTCAGGGATAGGGGCACCCGTGAGAAGAAAGCTCGTTGTCGAGGAAACTAGAGTAGGCGTGGCTTGCAAGGCCTTTCGAAAAGCGCATCGAGTGTAGGGTTGATGTGACACCGATCCGTAGTCTCTTCTTTTGCCGTATACATGCTGACAGTGCGACCTAGGAAGTTTCAAAATACTCTGCTTTTCTCCTACAGAGAGACTTTTTACAGCTGACGATGGCGCTTAGTTCTGACGTTGGCGCTCTGGTGTGAATTACAGGCCCTGCAGGCGGACATGGCCCGGTACGCACCGGGTTTCCTGGGTGCGGACCGCACCTTCCTCGACCACGAGTTCTTCAAGCACGCCTCCTGTGAGTGCCTTTCTCTCGTCTTGAGCAAATCTCCTAATTACGGTTCCTGTCAGGTCCCCTCGCGCGTGAATGTTGCCTTTCTGACCAGTTATTATTGTTCCGAACCTGGTATTTCAATCCTCAGAATTTTCTCGTGAAACGAAACATCTTTCGCGCTTGAATGCTGCAGTTTTGACCAGATATCAGTGCGTCGCATGTGGTAAAAATTTCCTGCGGTCGTTGCTCGTAACTCGCAACGATCAATCAACCGTGTCGTTTCTACCAGTCGAGAAGGTTTGGGTATGAGCAACCTCTGTGACCGGGCACGCTTGACGCCGCCACGTTTGGGGTGCTCGTTTCAATAGTCGCTACTCTACAAAGTGGCAAAAACAGTGAGCTTTTCCGCTCGTGGCGCCCCTATGAACGAGGCTCTCCGGCGAGACACAGTCCCCGACAAATGACTGACCACGTGCTTTTTCGGGCGATTGGTCGGTGCCTCGGCCAATTGGTCGCTTCGGGGAACCGTTCCTCATTTTGACGCCCTGTTTTAGCAACGATCTTCTTACCTGCAGGTCGGGGGGGTAACCTGACAAAACCGTCTTCTTTGGACAGTGCACTGATTATGTGGGCGGTTACCTGACGGGACCCTCCTCTTTGGACCGTGCAGTATTTTTGTAAAGATCCATATGGGCGGTTACCTGACAAAGCCGCCTTTTTTGGAAGGTGCACTCTTTATTTCGCAGATTCAAGCCTGTATCCTTAGCTGCGGATCCTTTACCTGCGCATGTGTGGGCGAATTCCTAACCGGTAACAAGACCGCCTTCTTTGACACCTCTTTGACCTAATGGAACTGCAGTTTTGTTTCACTACTTTCCAGTAACCCTGTATGGTCTCTCAAGTAGCACAAATTGCTTCTGCAGGTGTGGGCGGTTACCTGACCGACAATAAGACCGCTTTCTTTGACACTTCTTTGACACTGACGAAACCGCAGTTTTGTTTCACTACTTTCCAGTAACCCTGTATGGTCTTTCAAGGAGCACAATTTCCTCTGCAGGTGTGGGCGGTTACCTAACCGACAACAAGACCGCCTTTTCTGACACTGCTTTGACACCAACGAAACCACATTTGCAGTAACCCTGTATGGTCTCTCAAGCAGCACAAATCCCTTCTGCAGGTGTGGGCGGTTACTTAACCGACAACAAAACCGCCTTCTTCGAGACCGCCATTGGCATCACCAAGCAGCTGACCGCCAACGGTTCCTGGGCCGATGTGAACGTGCACCAGAAGCGCGGCACCGCCGTCGATACCACCGCCTTCGTCAACTCGATGAACAACACGGCCATCCCCCAGTGCGACAGGAACTGCCAGCTGTCCGAGGTGCGTTCCGGCTTCCGCTTTGCTGTTCCGCTTTCCGTTCCATTTGTTTCCTGGGATACGGCGTAAGGCGAACCAAGATGGAGAGGATTCTCATGTGATGAACAACACGGCCATCCCCAGTGCGGCAGGAACTGCCAGCTGTCCGAGGTGCGTTCTGTTATTCGCTTCGCTCTCGTTCGTTCCGTTTGCCGTTTCGGTTACAGAAAGTAGGTACGTAAAGTGAGTAAAGTTGCAGTTTTCTAACGTCCCAGTGCGACGAGAACTGCCAGCTGTCCAAGGTGCGCTCCAGCTTCTGCTTTGCTTTCGTTCAAAGAATGCGGTTTCTGACTCTGCTGATTTGAATGAACAACACGGCCATCCAGGGTCTGCCAGCTGTTCGAGGTGCGTTCCGGCTTCCGCTTTGCTGTTCCGTTTTTAGTTCCGTTTCCTTATCTGAAAACGTAACGTGAATAAAATGAAGAGATTTTTCCTGTGATGAGCAACAGGGCCATTCCCAAGTGTGACAGGTATTGCCAGCTGTCCGCGGTGCGTTCCGGTTCCGCTTTGTCGTTCCCTCATTTGATTTGATGATATGAACTAAGCGTGGGGTGTTTGATTCAACGTACAACACGGCCAGACCTCAGGGCGACATGAACTGCCAGCTGTCCGAGTTGCGTTCCGGCGTTCCGTTCTTAAACCGTTCCGTTCTCCGACTTCGTCTGCGTTCTGCCGTGGTTGTCTCTTTCCGGCGAAGTATCTGAAAGCTGTTTTGTAAAATAATGATAGAGAAGAGCCGGAAACAAGATGGACTTCTTTATGATAAGAAGATGCCAGCTGTTCGGGCTGCATTTCGGCGTTCCGTCGTCTAACTCCGCTGTTTCCTGTACGCTTTCCTCCCGTTCTTGTATCGTGTATCTTGCATCGTACTCTCTGTTTCTGCTTTCATTTTGGTGTTGATCCATGAGACCTATTTGATTAAGAGTCGCCACAAGGAAGTACGACGAACCCCCTTCAATGTTCGGCGCGGCCAATTCCCTGCAAGAAGTGCCAGCTGTCTGCCTCGATGCTCTGTCCAAACATTTTGTTCTTGATATGATTTCGCTCTCCACTTTCTAAAGAAGATTTCGTGAAATCCCAAAACTTTTCGCCAAGCCATTAAAGTGCTCCTCCCCCACGTTTGGTAGTGCGGACGAGGCGACCGCCACAGGTCGGCTACTAGACCCAGAGAGGACTTGATCAATTCTGTCTGAACTTATCTGTCGCTAAAGCGACAGAACGCGTCCTATCATGTCATGCTAAAGTAACAAACGAGTCCTTCCGTAAATATGACGTCACGTGGTTAATTCTCAGGTCTGGTACTGCTACGAGCGAACGAGTGCTTCCGTAAATATGACGTCACGTGGCTATTTCTCAGGTCTGGTACTGCTACGGGCGCGACGCGGCCGGCTTCCCGACCGAGCTCATCACGTGCCCCATCGGCACCCTGGGCTCCAACAACTGCAAGTCTTGCCCGCAGATCTTGATTCCTGGTAAGCCACGTGTCCTCAGGTCACGTGTCCAGTTTCGTTAGGCGTTTCCAAGAGATACAATTTTCAAGTCTTGGAAGTTTAAGAAATAAGTTGAAGTCCGAATGTGCATGGCTGCTGTCAGCACATGTGACTGGTTGTGCACAGTAGCCCACTAGGATTGGAGGCGCTCTTGACAACAGAGTCGGCAAGTGCCCGCAGATTGTCATCTCCGGCAAGCAATTTAATATGTTGAGAGTGGGGTTTTGCACAGTCATAACGAGCATCATCACACTTGCCAGCAAACGTCTTTCCCAATAGATCAGAACCCCATTCAGTACGGTCTTGAAACGACTTTAAGCACGCTTCCGACTGAATAGTCCCCTTCTTAAGAACATATGGGCCCTGAAAATTCCTAAAGCTGTCAATATCGTCCGAAACGTCTCCTCATTTCGAATCAACACTGGACTCAATCTTCTCTGCCCATACTGAAAAGCGTACTCAAAACCGGGTCTCGATTTACCGTGTTCTCTGACCGGGTCTGGTTACCGACGGGTTTTTATCTGCGGCTCGACTTAACGTGCTGCCAAGTTTCTCGGATCCGCTATGTTCTCGACCTATTTGGCAGGCATGTTCCTCTAGAGAATCCCTCCCAAGCTTCTAGGGCACTCCGACCTTAGGATTTTACTGTACGCGAAATGCGGAATGCTTAGTCAGCACACTGGCCGTCTCTATAGACCGCAAAACTCCCCCTCAACGCAGAGCATGAAAGAAAACGCAGTGATCAGCTAGCCTGACGCAGTGAGTTCGCAACTTCCAGTCGGCAAGGCAGCCACCTCGTTCGGCTGCTAAGCCAGTCCCGGCTCAAACGCGCAATCGCGCACAACGTAGACAGCGCGGTGCATACAGCGCCGGGTTTTGACAGGTTCATTACTTCTGAAACCTTGGAGAGAAGTCGGAACTGCTCCGTGAGTTCTGCGGAGGACCAGTCTTGCTGATGCTGACCCCTCTTCTTCTCCGACCGTTGCAGATTACAGCGCGGGCACCGTCCGCCGCATTGTCTCCAGCCGCAAGTTGTTGTAGGCGAACGAGTCTAACTTATATTCGTTACAACACGTGTCAGACAAGCAAAATTCTGTAACACGGGTCAGTCAGCCGGAGTTTCAGAGTTGATTTTGTTTCGAAGCCAAGACATGATCCCGGGACCTTGATAGGTGACACGTCCCTGAGGTCCTTCTAGAGTTCTTAAATTTGCCCGGTTCGAGTAATTTTATAAATTGATAGACTTGGTTGAGTCATAAACGAGTTTGGAATTGAGCGAGTTTCGTAAGAAGGGAGCAAACCCGACGCGGAGTGGTTTCACGCCAGTTTCTAGTACCAATATTGGGAGGCGCTATCCTCAACAACGGGGATTGTTTGTCGAACTATAAAGGCTATGGAATGCGGCTACCAAATGCGGCATGCGACATCTCCCAGCACACATGTAATTTTAACATATTCATCTTTTGCGGCATGATCTGGGAATCTCTTTGTCGAACCGTCGCGACCATAGTGCATGTACATACTCTCTTTGGCTTCACACACATATGTATACACGTGTGCTCTGAGTTGAAGCTTTCAACTTTGATTCCGTTGCTTCTGCAACCGTCAGCTGGTCATCTTCAAATTTCTCGGTCGTTTATTTGTTCGACCGCCTCCATACTGCGCGTAACAACGTTGGTCAACTGTGGTTTTGCAAAACCCTACGAGCCATGCAATCTAGAAGCCTGGCCTTCACAAAGTCTACCTCTCAACCCGGAAACGACGGTGCCAAGCACCTCGTATGAACACCATATGAGGTTAGAAAATTCTGTAGACACACAGCATTCCTACCACCAAAAGTCGGACACCGTTCACAATCATTGGGCCAACTACGCTCGAGATGCCCAACAACCACCGAATGCTCGACCGATAATTTCAGCAGCTGTGATTCAAACAAAACGTACAGTCTCAAGACTTCCGGCCCATCAGTAGCATATCTTAGCTCCTCGCGAATTGAGCGACACGATTGAAGGCTAAGTTGCCTTTTCATGAATATGACAAACCGGCCCCTAAGAGTGAGAAAACAAAGGCCGCGCTTTGGAAGAAGCATGAATTGCAACATGGAAGAGAGCTTGAACCTTCTGGAGGTCTTCGTAACCGTCCTGATTGAACATTTTCAGTCACGTGGTCACTCTTGAATCCAGATATTGAACCTCAACCTCGACGACTAGGCTGTCGTGTGCTCTAGCAAGTGGCTGAGTAACCAGTTGCTGCAAGCTGTATCCGAAACGCCGCCAACTAAGGAATCCTTTTAGATGGGTTCTGCAGTGGGTGTCATATTCGTTCCATGTTGCGTAGCCCCTCGCTCGGCTAGGGTTAAAGTATGCTGGGTCAAAACCGGATTCCTCCCAATCCGTCACGACATCTCCATCGTCAAGGATCACTCTGAATCTGGTTGAGAACCGGGGCAACGTAGCCTTGACGACGGGCACGCCACGTGGAGAGTTGTACTCGGATTTACTAAGGGGCTTGAACAGATGACGGATGCCCTCCCGCTCGATCTGAACCGACCAGAAACTGCCCCGAGCCGCTACGTACTCAACGCTTGGCTGGACCGTTGTCAACTTTTCCATGACAGACGTAAGCACGCACTTGACCCTAAACCCACCCGCATCAGGGTCATTTAGAACGACCACTCCCGGATACAAGGCCTCTAGACCCCTTACAAGCCTCCCCAAGTACCAATACCGTGCCTGATCCAGAAGCCGAGAGTCCGGTTCCGTCGGGACCGTTCCGGTCGTCAGGTGTTCCAGAACGGAAGCCCACCTGTCCGGATGACACGTAATGATCGCGCGCCCGTTCTCATCGCGCGGGTATTCCCAGTCTCCGCAGTACATCTTGTACAGAAGAGAGTCAGGAGCGGACGCCAGGACCGTCCGCGAAATAGAACCCGTCTGTCCGTTGGGCGCGAGCACGTAGTGGAAGCGCGCGCGCTCCTCTTCGCGCCGTGCGCCCGCGTCCCTAGCGTCGTCCAAAGAAGTCTCGAGCCTCCGAATCTGCGCGGCCTTTGCGCGACAACCGCGCATTTCTACCTCGAGCGCAGCGCAGAGCTGCGCGACGTGCGCTTCGAGGTCGACGCTCCTCGCGCGGCTCTCCTCCGCGGCTGCCTGCGCCGCGCTCTGCTGCGCGCGCGCGCTCCCCAAGTCGGCTGCCAGCTTCTCGCGCTCACATTCCAATTTCGTGATCAGCTTCGTACGCGCTTGGTCAATCGCTTCCCACTCAACTTTCTCGGATACGCATGCGCATTCTTTGATCTTGTTTTGCGTGATTGTAGGTTGGACTAAGGGGGGGAAGCTTGGAGGATCAGAGGAACTAGAAGCGGGAGGAAGAGCGCGCGAGCATTCCACCTTCCTCTGTCCGAACCAGCTGAGCTTTGCGGAGGAAACCATCTGCAAAACATTAGAGGCCCGTGTTGCAAGAATCGCAGAGAAAACCCAAACAAACCTCTCGAGTACACATCGTTCTTTCAAAGTTGCATCTATATCGCAAGGTGCTGTCTGTTGTCTCGATGGGGTTTAAAACAAAACTAGAGCGGGGAGCAGCTTCAGGAACCTCTCGGTTCCCTTAAGGGATTTACCAGCAGCCAGACTCACGATTGAGCATCTGCATCTGCCAAGTAGTCAAGGAGTCTCGATGTTCAGTCAATCACACGACGTTGTGATAAGCCATCTGTCCCCGTGGATGAACTTTCGCAAGCTTTTGGATGTTCGACATCAGGTACTTGATGCGACTGTCTTCAAAGCCTTTGAAATATCTTGAGTGTCTGAACCGTACACAGCTCGTCAAATCTGTGACGCTTTGTTGCACGACAAGTCAATAAGTAGAACGACTCTGCGTTTTTTTAGGACTCAAGCGCAATCAGCAAAACCTCACAAGTGCAATTAGAGAACCCTAAATGTATATCAGATGTAGAACTTTTGTTCATATCTCATCTGCTTGATGGTGCAACGGTGTCTAGTTGAAGTCAGACGTGTGTCCAAGCGATGGTTTCCCCTTGGACCGGCCAGATTGCAATCTAAGCATGCGGCGGACGAGAAATGACGACACGGCAACCATTCACACGCGTTCTGTATAATCTCTACTGGGGAATCAATTTATGTCCCCTGCTAATCCACCTTCCAAATACTACCTAGGCGCCGGATACCACAACAAAGGGTATGCAACATCGACTTCAAGAGATTTTGAACAAAAGACTTGCCTCAGTACGCCTGCAATGAACTTAAACGCGTGCCTCAACACGCAGACTGATTACAGGGACTATTGGTCCTGAGGATGACCTTCACCCTCAATATTTCTCGCCTTGCAAGTTTCATGATAACATTGGGTGACTAAGCTTGCTGCGGCTCATTCATAAGAGCCAGCAATATTGTGATGCCTACAGATGTGAAATGAGACCACAGGACTCTTGAACAAACTCTGAGAACCGTTCTGAAACGTCTGAGGCGACCGTCTCACCTGACCTATCCAGGTACTCATGACAGCCTGCGAGCCTGCGTCTTCGCAAGGAAAAAAGGACCAATGTATCCCTTTTTCCAAAATCCTCTGAGCTAATCGGTTTCCTTGGCGCCCCTGTTCCTTGGACATGCCAAGGATAGCAATAATGAACACATCCGCAGGAATAAGGATTCGCCAAAGCTACAAAGGCTGATTGTAAGACGCGGGCGCGCGCGCTCGAAACGTCGCCCCGCTGTCGCGGCCGGCTTCAACGGCGGACGCGGCCGCAGGAGCTCTGAGGGTTTGGAGGTCCACGTGGCCGCGGCATCCGCCTGTCGCAATTTCCGCCGCTGCAGCGCGATATATAAGACTTACATAGCCATGTTTTTCTAGCTTTATAGTTATGGCACGGCTGAATCAGAGACCGTCGCGCCAGAAGTGTGCATACGAAAGCTTTGAGCTGGTAAGCCGGAGCGCTATTTTCCGCCGTTATGGGGCCAGAGGAGCCAGAATCTTCCAAAATGCAGGAGATCAGCTTCAGCTTTAACACGCCGGACAAGAGCTACCCGCTCATATTTCTGAAACTGGTCAAAGAAACGCCACACCCAGAGGCATATTCTTCAGACAGCCCTGCATCTGACTCGAGGACGCTCGCTAAACATCCCGAAAGGCTGACCGTGAGCCCTTTTTTTGCGGCGCTTCTGCAACGCTGGGCTTCCAACGGCCTCCATGCAATCGGTCCAACGGCAGTAAAGGTGTTTGAGCTAGGGTGGGAGGATCTGGAGGCTGCTTCTCTCGCTATCCAGATTCTCGCTGTTATTGGTGTGGACACAGCAAGCCGTCCGGTTCTCCGGCACGGAGTTGCGCAAGCCCTTTCAGTCCTGAGGGCTTGCAGATACGTTTTGCTGGATTCTGGGGTCAGCAGTACTTGGAAGCCTCAGAGTGGACCTCAGGGAAGATATTCTCGCCACCTTCCAGGATCTGCCAGTGGGGTTGGAGTTGACAGGAGAGCTGGGGGAAAGGCTAGCAGAAGAGAAAGGCAATAGAGGGTCTCGGTTAAGCGAGGGGATCTTGGGAAAACTGTTGGAGGGTGCCCTTTCTCTAGAGAGTGGACCAATCTTCTGCAAGTTCTTTCCCAGCAAGAGCAAGATGGACGACTCTGAGCGGCCACGCCTGGTTGTAGACGAGATAGCAAACTCAGGGTGGCTTGGACTGGAATCAAAAACTGTTCAGATGATCCTAGGGAAAGAATTCATCAACCTTGGTTTCGACAAGGGAAACAAGCTTCTGCAAAAAATGGTCGTGAGGGAAAATCCGAATCACTGGCTCAAGACCTCAGTCCAGCAGTGGTTACACCCCCTCGTCCGCCACGTGTCCTGCTTGGGTTGGCTGTCCAATCTCTGCGTCAAACACGGGGTAGCGCTCAGGATCGTCAGAAGCGCAGTGGGTCTCTCGAGAGGCTGAAGACTTCGTGACGCTTGCTGTCTTGAAACTTCGCTGTGGTCGATAGACCAGGGTGAAAAGCCCCGTGAATGCGATGCTGTACCACGCACTCTCCAAGCCCCTCAATCAGCTGTTCGGCTTCACTGCCACCGGACCGTGGTCCTCTGCGGAGTTCGATGGCGTCAGCAAAAGGAAGCTGGTTGAGATCTGGCTCCCCTCTGCTGCTGCAGTTTAGGAAAGGGGAGCTCCTTCCCACCCCTCGAAAATGGTCCAAGTCCCCCGACTACTACTTCAAGACTGCAACTTCTATCACAATAACTATTCGTGCGGTGATCATTGGCAACGTGCATTTCGGCACCTGGGTCACCAACATAACCCGGTCAAGATCAGCCTTTGCTGACGTAGCTGCCCGGTTAGTCGCCATCCAAAACGCTCCGGCCCAGGGCACGAAAGAGGCAGTACTCGAGATGGCGCTTTGCGAACACTTGTTACAAATCCTACGTGGCAAACCTGGCGCAAAGCTCGCAAGCTTTTGGGCCGAGGTTCCCTTCGCCTGTCCTTCCCTTCGAAGTCACCTGCCAACCTCTCTGGAAGCTTCGGCTCTGATCTTGGCATCGGTCGGGAACGCAAACAACGGCGTTTCCTGCACACGTCCGGTGTCTGCTCCTAGAAAACGTCCTGCCGATTTTCCTGGATGCGGACGCGAAACGGACGCTCAGCAAGCGAGCAGCTCAGATATTTTGGACCGTCTTTCGTTCCTTAGTCGTGGGCAAGCAGGAGAAGGTCGTGCTGAAGTGGGCGGGCGCGCTCGCGCATACGAGACCAGTAGGAAAGTACAGGTTCTTGCTGGACGGTGTGTTTCAGGACTGATGTAAATCAAGGGGGGCCTAAGTTGGGACAAGGAGGGGGTATATGGCATACAGGTTCTGCATAGGTAGCGGTTTTCAATGACACGCTCATTCAATCTTGTGCAAGCTCCTGCATTTTATGTGGCCGGGCGGTGAACGATCGAAGATCGTGGTCATTGTGGTCATTCCCGCTGAATCTATGGACAGACTTGAATGCACAATTCAGATTCGCATAAACTAGCTCTTGCATGGCCCCTTTTACATATCCAATTATGCTTCACTAGTTAATCAAGCACAGGGCATTGAGCGGAGAAGACGTACATCCCAGACTAGCCCCGCGAGTCGGCACTGAGCGCATGAATGATGCATTGCGGTTGCGGCGGGGCTTGATCAGCGCGACGGTCAGCGGCAGTTGCACCGGCCGGACCGTCTGGTCAAGACGTGACTGGTGACTGGCGCTGACGGTACCGGTTCCACATGGGGACTTTGCTTACACTGTTAAACAACGTCCTCAAAGCCTACTAAACTATAGGCTGGCGCAACTTGCGCTCGCACGCCAGGCCAGATCGAGTTCAAGTACATTGTTGTCCGATGATATATTACATGCGTGTTCAATTGTAGGAATGACATGCCATGATGCATGGGAATAGGATCTGTCGATCGAAAGGAGTCACGTACTGGGACATCTTGATTACTGTGCATAGAAACTTGTTTATACAATTAGTCCTTTGGTCCGTTCTTAAGTGCCATATCATGCATGCTGATTACGCGCGGCCATGCAGCCGGCATTACAGAAGTGGTCAATGATAGTTGCAGTGCAATAATTGATTGGCTGAGATCATTGGGAATCATTGCGCTCACACTGACAAACACAGATCTGCCACCATGCAACGTGGCCGGGCCGTCTTTATTGTACAAACAGCTTGTTGGTCCAACATCTACAGGGATTGAATCGCGTTTGAGATTCGATTTGTGTGCGCAATCGGGGACCTAAGCTCTCGTCGGCAGCCACTTTGGCACAAGTACAACCTTCTCACGTTCATCAACTACGTCCTACGCGTGCATATGTACCTGCAGAGTTAATCAACATACACGATGACCACTTTACGCTCCTTTCAGTATTGAGCTTGGCCGCCGCTTATGCGCGTCCACCCGAGAAAACGCACTCTGCCACCGGCCGACCACCCGCTTGTGCTTCCGCCGTTTCTGGAACCAGTAACATATAGGCGGCACGAAGAAGACGCTCAAAACAAACACCGTGATGCATGCGCACATGATCATAACGTTCCGGAAGCCCGGACCGTCCTCGATTGGCGTCCAAAGCACGCCGGACACGTTCATCCCGAAAGCGCCCGTGATCACGGCGAGGGGCGAAAAGATGATGGTCACAACGGTCAGGTAGTACACCTTCTCATTCAGCTGGTCCGCTTGCCACGTCTTGAGCGAGTTCTGCAGCGCGTCGATGCGTGCGCTGCTGATCTGTATGCGCGTCTTCTTGTTCTTGACCCGCTGCAGGGACGACGTCACAACTGCGTCAGCTAGAGGTACCACACGAAAAAAGCATGGCGTCAACCAACAATCAGGACAAAGACCAAGTTTTGCACTCACAACGGAATAGGAGCCCGTTTATCCACGTGCTTTTCAACGATCTTGGATACAGGTCATGACAGCGAATGGCCGAGCGATGATCGATTTTTCAACTCAACGACTATGCTTCAGATAGTACGCAGCCAATTAACGACTTGGCTCGAATAAACAGAGGCAGAGGACCGCCCTCTCTTGGAAAAGCCGCTTTCTTGTCCGCGACCAATCGAATGGACACAAAAATCCCCGCAAGCATTTAGCGACTCGACTTGGCTCATCGAGACGGGTGCTTTCTCAGCGAGGAGGGTCATCAAGATGAGAAAGGGGAAGGCGACTATCCAAAAATAAATGTGGGTTTGATCCAGCAAAGGAAGAACAACGAGGTCGCCTACTTTACAAGCCGGAGTGCCTTGAAAACATGCGTCCCTAGCGAACGCACGTCATCTATTTTAACCAGATCTCGGGAAGGACTTGAAGGGACGGGTTGAAAACCCGACAACAACGAACGAAAATAGAGCATGGAGACCAACCTGGACAAGAAAATGCTCAACACGTTCAGAGAAGGTAAAGAGAGTAGAAGAGGATGCATATTTCGAGAGAGGTTGATTCTGATTCACCTTGGCCAATCCCTCGAAGAGCCTTGCGCACTTGTCGCTGACGGAGTGAGCTAGCGTCAGCTTTTCTTGGATGGAAGGCAAGATCTCGTCAGCGTACGTGGTTACCTGCATCAGAAGCGGACACCGAGTTCCAAGCTGGAACAGAGAGCAGGATCGACGTCCCGCAAAGAGCCTAAAAACCTCCCTCAAAGCATTATGTCTGCAAGGCGATGTCAAAGGCGGGGTCGACACTGATGAGTGAAGTCCGAATTCGAACTGAACAAGAAAATTCCAAGACTTTTTTCCGGAAAGGAAAGCAAGAACAGCCTTCCCTGCAACACTCGTTCCAAGTCGAGCGCCATCTTCGAAAAGCGCCGGTTCCCCCAGGAGTCGCGCTTTGACCCGTCTGTCCAAGCGGATCCCCTCTCAAGGTGGCGCACAAGCAAAGGCCGAAAAGACGGCAAGAAAGGCGAAAGTCTTTCGATTACAAAATACGTGACAAGACAGCCATACCTGCAGTACTCGCTGCAAGTCCAGCGCCATCTTTGAAAAGCGCCGGTTCTCCAGCAGTTGCGCTTTGACCCGGTCGTCTGAGTCAATCTCCTGGTCCAGGTAGTCGAGCTCCACCTCGAAGTTGGTTACCAGGTCGCGCAAGTGGTCCTGGTAGGCCTGCAGGATGTGGGCGACCAACTCCGGTACCGAAGACGGGATCTGGTCGCCGAGAAAGAGGAAGTGTTAGCTGCACGCTCGGACTGGTTATTCAACCAAAAAGCAGAGGATATGGTGGATGATATTTGTGAAAGCGAAGAGACAGTAGTGAGGATCACAACACCGGAACGGAAGGTGGCGCCTGTAGATTGCGGGCGACCAGCTCCACTTGTGGATTCATTCTCTGGTCGCCAGGAGGGAGAGTTAATATGGGCTTGGTTTTGTTGTCTTAGTAAGAGGCAGAAGACGAAAGCGACACGGAATCGACTGGAGCTTTTGACCTGGTTTTGTATGAAAGCGTCTGAGCAACCAGATTTACGTCGCAAATTTCCGCCGCCTGGATGCGCAGTATTAGCGGGTGAACGTAGACATACCCCAGACATCTGCGGGCGGAAAAGTGTGACAGCTGTGGATTGACCGCGACTAGCCCCTCAAAAAGATGGAAGTCGCCCGGAACAGCCAATGGCTGACAGTCAAACGACGGGTTCTGCAGAACGCTGATGAAAGCCCGCTCGAAGACGGCCGGACCTACCTCTGGTCTTTCACCGAGTTTAGCCGTACCGGTTTTTCACCATGCTTTACATCCTTACCTGTTCCAAATCGGGGCAACGATCTCATGTTCCGCTCGCGCCCTCTCTCAAAGGGAACAAACGAAAGATTTAGCTGCTAACTTTTTGTCCTCCTTGAGTGGCTCAGCAGCGGCGGGAGATGTCCAGCACGTTCACACATCAGACCTTTCTCCCCCCCCTCAAAGGAAAGGCTCTCAAGATTGAAGGCAACCCCCTCCCTGCAAGGTTGCGATCGAATGATGAAGAGGCACGCACCTGCCGGTCTTCGACGTCCTCTGAATGGCTTAGTCGAGGCGACAACGTCCAGTGCAAGCACACTCAAAGACAACCTGCTTCGGCTTCAAGAGCATCGACAATTTCCAAGCCAAAATCGAAGTCAGGCACATACCTGCTGGTCTTCGACTGTTTCTGGATGACGCTGCTGCGGTGGAGACTTTCATTACGTGCACACTCTAAATGCTCCAAATCAAAAAAAGAACCGTCTTGCGATCCAAAAGAAGTCTGGCACGTACCTGCTGGTCTTCAACATCCTCCGGATGGCTTAGCTGCAACAGGAAGTCCAGGATCTTGCCCTGCGCCCCGATTTGTTGGTGCTCCTCCGCACTCGCCATCGCCAGGATCGACTTCTCGTCTGCGGGGTCCAACTGAAGACGCGCCAGGTCTCCCATCGACAGACTGACCAAAGACCTGGCAACGACAGGGAGTAAAAAAGAATCTGACTTCAACAAATTGCTCACATAGTGAAAGGTGGCATCGCAAACTCACGCCGACATGCGACCTGTGACGAAGATACTGCTCAAATTTCGAATGGAACAGGAGAGGAATCAAACTCTAGGAGACGAGATCTCTCTCTCTCTTGGCATCTGACTGCTGCAGATGCCTACCTTATAAAGCTGACTGCCGCAGATGCCTGTCATATGAAGAAGAACGCAACAAATTTCTAGAATCATTAAGATAGACACAAACGGATCAGAGCGGCACGTGTATCTTGGACGCTTGAAATTGGACTGCCAGACGGTTGCATACCTTGGAGTCACGAGCGCGGCCAGCTTCGAAGTGAAGTTGCTGCTCAGGGGCCCCACAGAGTTGATGCGGAACACGAGCGTGCCGTTGCGGATGCCGCAGAAAGGGCCGCTGGACAGCAGCGGAAGCACGTCGTGCAGTTTCAGGGGGTTGAGGACCTCCAGTAGGGGCCCCCCTAGGGAGGCCAGATTTCTGCAAAACAGGACTTCATGTTACAACTCCATCAAATGAACTGTCAAATACAAGCACAATGTTAGATATAAGCAACCTGCAATGAAGAAATCTAACGTAACATATTGGCGGAGTGATTCACTTGCAGCTTGGGAAAGTGGAGATGCGCACTAGCGGTCAATCAAGATTTTAGACGAGTTCCAGTAGAGTCAGCTACAGATACGTTCCCAGGTATAATGTTGTTCAACTGTTTAGTCATGCCGTTCAGTCAGTATAAGTGGTCAGAAGGTGACGATTTTGCACGAAAGATGCCTACGAATCAGTGGTAAGAAGTAGCCAAAACCGAAAACTCGCACCAGATAAAATTGCGTGTACTTAAGTACCGCTCAAACACAGGGTGAATAAGAGGCAGGCAAGCTGGTGTTGCACTTATGCTAACAGATCACCGGGTATGTTCAAAGTCTAAATCAAAACTCGGATTTCCTGCAAGGCTCTGTGGAGCGTTGCTCTACAAAGGCACATTCTGGGAAACAGAAACATCTCAACATTATCTAGTTCTTGATAAGTCTTCCTATCAGTCAAGTACCCAAGAGTGCGGTTGATCATTCATTGAACATCTTTCTTGTTGTCCTTCAGGGCAAAACAAATGCCGAGCTTCCTCTTGGTAAGTAGCCTGTGCAAGACATCAATCAAGAACAACAACCTCATCAGCAGCAACTGTACACACAATGGGAAGTTCCGTTCTCTACCTGGGGATCTCCACATGGTGCCATGAGAAGCCCTGGTCCCAGTCAGCAATGCGCTTGATGTTCCACTCGCGGGGCGAACAACTCCCATGGCCATCAAAATCCAGGGCAAAAGACTTGGGGAACAAGCGCAGCGCAGGGTACCGCTGTGAATCAATCACGGCCAACGAGCGCTTCTTCATGGACCCGCTGCGAGACTCCACGCCATCTCCATCCTCGGAGATACTGTTGAGGTGGTCAGACTCCAGGAGGGGCCGCAGAGTTTCTCTTAGAGCTGGGGCGGTTTGAGACCGCCGGTAGACATGAGGTAAGTCTGCCATTGTGTTTATAGGCAAGTAGAATCCACATTCACCCCCCTGCTCAAAGCTGCCAACCTCCAATGCAAGTACCTAGCGCCTTTTTGACTGGAGGCAGCATTGCATGTGTGACACAAAACTTACAACCAGTGAACTGTCAGCTCCTCCAAAGTGTTCATAAAGGCTGCATTGGGGGTGGTAGGGATGACCCTTGCAGCGAAGCGTCCATGAGCATGGCCTCCCCACTTCTTCTTCAAAACTCCTGCATCCTTTGCTTCAGCGGATTGAACCCAATGTGCTAGTTCTGTCCAGCAACATGCGCAGATTGACATTCAGGATGGGCTCAGAAAAGCACGCAGCCCCCTCAATTCCAAAGAACTTTTTCAATTCAAGGCTCTTTGCAGCGTCTTTGAAATTTGCTACATATACACCAAATGCATACTTTTGGAAGCTGCGTCCAGGGCAAAAAGAATCTGAAACTCGAAAGTGAAACCAACGAAGCGAAAGGTGCATGCCAAAATCTTCGATTGAAAAAGTGCTCCAAGCATGGTATGCCCGGTACCTACCTGCCTTCCATCTTTCAAATCTTTGGTACAGCATGGTTACGGGCGACCGGGCTGTTCAAGTGTCCAATCGTCGAACGCACGTCGGCCGAGGCAGCCCGCACTGTTCCCTGTCAGACTGAGGCCCGATCGGCGTCGGTAACCACTTTCCAATCTAACACACCCCAGCGTTTCGTGGAGGGTACGTACCGCGTCTTCAAGATTCTGAATCTGCTTCAAGCAGCAGCATCTTCTTCTCAATCCTTGCAATGTTGCATTGCTTCCCCTGACTTCAGAGTTCCTTTGCAAAGCGCTGGTAGGTAGCCTCCGCTTTCTTGAGGTACCTATTCGACATGGCGCCTCTCCCAGCAATGGAGTCCCCAGGCTCCTTTCTGTCACTTCGGTAAGAGCCAGCCTTTCTCTCTTTCTTCAAACCAGCTCGAAGGAGATCCGGACGGATTTGCCCTGGCATTGTCGGTCCACCGTTTCCAGAAGGTCCGCAAGATTCAGACAGTCAACTCTAACAATCTGCAGATCATGGATAGGTGCAGCGCCTGCGCAGTGGGGCTACAGACCCTGACGGATCCCAAATGCTTCCTAGGCATGAAAGCAAGTCAAGCAGGTCACCCCAACTTCCACAATGCAACGCATCGCACCTGTCGCGGGCTATGTAACCCTCCTCCTTCATCCAGCGTCAGGCGTTCTTGCTTCCGGAAAGAGACTCGGTCACAGAAGCGGGGTCGCCTTACGGTGGCCACATTAGCATTGGACAGAGAACAGGTCACAGACGTCGTCGCCAACTCGGAAAGAGCAGAGAGCAGACTCACAGAAAAGCCGCGAGCGGTGGTACGCGATAAGCGGCAAAGAAACAGGACGGGACGTTTGGTTGACGGTCCCGAGGGAAGGAACAGCGGCAGCGCTGATCTGCAGAATGTAGTGTCAAGTGACCCCTTTTTGGGCCCTGGAGGGCTTGAATTTAAAGTCCCCTCTGCTCGCCACGAAAGCTCGGGTCTGGCCAGCACGTCTGGGAGCAATGGAGTGCCTTCGAGCAGGCGAAGAGGATCAAACAATGGGCGCGCTCTAAGGGAAGGGTATCATAGAAGCGGAAAGGAGGTCCCTCCTAACAGCAGCAATGTGGCGGATGAGCTGGGGCTGAAGGGTAGCAGTATGAATGGGGCCAGGGGTGGTGACGTGATTGGGGCCAGGAAAAGCGTACTTCGGCGGCGAGCTTTTGCAGAGGTTGAACCGTTGCAGGTGAGGAGTGGTGTGGAAACCCTAAGCTTCAACTTCATTAAATCCTGGATTGTTGTGAAGCTGATTTTTCGTAAGGGATGGTAATCCAAGGACGTGCTCTGACGGTCAGCTTTATCTCACGGTGACTTCTCCAAGCAGACTCGATGATGAGAGTCACGGACAGCTTGAAACAGGCACGGAGCAAAAAAGTTGGCAGATGGGGTCCACATCTTTTCAGCAATTCTGCTTAATCACCAGGGTGTGTAAGCAGTTTCGAAAGCCGCGTTTGAGTGCAGACCTAAACCGCTTTACTTTGAAACCAATTGTTTCCTTCACAGCATCCAACTACTGGTGCACCAGCATTATCAGAAGTGAGCGACTCAATCAGCTTATTGACTGTCTGCTTGTAGGATGAGGCTCTTCGGAGAGCAGTTGACGAGGCATTTCCACTAGCTGACATCACAAGTTCTGCCGACGGACACCTACTCCCCTTACAAAACTTAGTTAACGGCGTAGTTAACGTTAACCCCGAGCCTTCGATAGACCCTTCCCTCCTTCTTGACGCCCTGACACAGCCCCCCAGCATCCTGCGAGAGATCGCTGCGAAGGGGGAAGGTTCGAGTACCCTCCCTGCTGCGCCACTCACTCCCAGCTCAGAAACCCTCTCCAATGCAACGCCGTCTCAGGTTGTGCAAAGCTCCCCTAGTGTGAAAACCCCCTTGAGTGCGGACGCTGTAGAGCGCGCTCGTGCTGCTCTGCTAGACCCTGCCGTCATCGCAAACTGGGACAAAATCGTAGTCAGTGACTGGGACCCGCTCCCCGTCAGTCTCATTCCATTCCGGGGGGGCTTCGCAGACCGACGGGGGGTCGTTCGCTCCGCGCAGAACCCCCCCAAACCGCACCCGCTCACGTCGCTCTCCGCGCTCTACAAGGATGTGGTCGCGTTGTTCGACCCTGCCGGAGTCGATAGCTTATTAGACCTCCGGCGAGACGAGGGGCTGTTAACACGACCGGAGTTGCTCGAGCTGATAAAGAGGTTGGGAGAGGCAGGGGCCAGTGTGAAAAAGCCCCTGGCAGTCTTCCGGTGGATGCAGAGACAGGAGGACGTAACGCTAAGGCCTACGGAGGCGAGTTACAGCGTCATGGTCCGGTTGCTTGGGAAGCTGAACGCAGCGGACGCGGCAGTTGGGCTCATTCGGGAGATGGAAGCCAGCGGGTTGGAGCGAAACGTGCAGACGTATAACGCGTTGCTGAGCGGGCTTGCCAAGTGAGTGCTCTTCTGTGCTCTTGTGAATGGGCCGGAGCCGGCTTGCGAAATGACTGTGCTATGTCTCCCTTCTCCGGTCAATTGCCCTCTCGGTAAGCGGGGCACTCCATGTAGTTGATCGTCTACCCCTTTGTGTTGCACTCTTTCGTGTGCTAACTTCTGCTAAAGGGGTGTCTTGTAGTAGTCAAAAAAAGGAACCAAAAGCCGGATCCTGGTAAGACGGCAGAAAACAAGACTACGTCAAAATACGCCTCTCTGGGTACAAAAGATCACTTTGAAAGGGTTTGGAGAGCTACAAGTGGTACAGATGAGATTGTCATCCCAGTCTACAAGGAAGCCAGCCCATGTTTTGTGTGGTTTGATTCCTGTCTTGGCCTCTTGTATGCTGCAGACGGTGAAGTGTCACATTCGGAAGTATTCTGACACAATATTAACGCTCCCTTGCTCTCCTGTGACAAGAATTGAGGTTTATCCGCATTTGTTTCTTGGCTTTTGAAACCTGCGGCCAGACCTCTTCAAACGATCAGCACTCAACTCTGAGAGCATTCTTCAAAACCACGTCACAAAGCTTAGTCGACTTCACCTTGTTTCTGCAGGCGTGGCAAGTTCGACGAGTGCTGGCACCTCTTCCAGCAGATGCGAAACCGGGGCCCTGTTCCCGAAGTGTGGACCTACAACAACCTGATTACAGCCGCAGCGTGGTGCCTCCCCGGGCGAGAGGCGCTGAAACAGGGCCTTTTCCTGCTGGCTGAGATGCAAAAGCAGGGTCTCCGGCCGAACGTTTTTACGTACAACGCACTGATGCAAACGGGGGTGAAAGCGAGGGACTTGGCCGAAGTGAAGCGGCTGTTTGAGGAGCTGCGGGAACGGGACTGCCGGCCGGACCTGGTGACGTTTAACACCGTCGTCAAGGCGTGCCTGGACAAACGGGACTGGGAGGTGAGGCGGTGTCAGAATCTGGGTCAGTGAAGCATTTTTAGTGCACTTATGGAAGTTCGGCGTTTAGTGGTCGAGGGAGGCTTGCGTTTCCTGCTTCGAAGTTTGCAACGTTGCTTGTTCCGGGTTTTTCTGGGAACTTGTCTGTGGCAAGTAGGACGATTCCCCGCAGCTACAAATGATTGACATCTTCCACGAGCACTTTATGGGCTCAGGAAGGGGAACGCAGCCGTGGTGCTTGTGGCTGAGCGAAGTTTCAGGCTGGTTGATGCATCTTTGAGAAGTGGATTGAAGGAAACCGCTAAGGAAGTTGTTCTACCCCGGTGCTCGGCAAGGTCGCAAGCGTCCTAGCGACGCCAACTGCTGCCTTTTTACCCAACACCACAGTCTTCGTATGCTGTCTTGCCGGATCGGAAGGCCCCACTTCTCGAGCATCTATTCTGACCCTTGCGTCTAGTCTCCAAATTTGCATGTCCGTTTTTCAGCAAGGTCCCCAGCTGCGCACAGCCTCTCACTCCAAACAGCCCAAACTCTCGAGTCGCCTCACTTCGGATCTCACCCCCACTCTGTCATTAGATACCAGTCTTTGCTGAGAAGGTGATTACAAGCCCCGCATATCTGCAGGACGGTTTCATTTCTGCAAAGCAATCCAGGCGGCCGAGTGCGTGCCGGACACGACCACGTATGATTGCATCATCATGGCCTTCAAGCAGCAGTCCATCGCACTCCTCCAAACACACAACACACACAAAAACTTTTTCCTAACAAAGCAGTTGTGTGTCCTGCCATAGCGGTGCAGAGCGTGTTTGAGTACCCTAAGTCAACCAGCGGGCGACCTCAGCGGTCCTTCACGTACAGCGCTTCCTTCCAGTCAACTAATTGCACGATTCCACCAATTCCTTCGACAGACAAGAAGACTCACGATTGCTCTGATCATATTTTCCGCCCATCTGTGCAGGGCGTGTTTGAGTACTTCAAAGCGATGCCGGCGGCCGAGTGCGTGCCAGACGCGACGACGTACGACTGCATCATCCTGGCCTACACGCAGCAGCAGCGGTTCGACGAGGCGCTCTCCATGCTAGATCAGATGCGGGAGGCGGGATGCAGGTCCGTCAGATGAATCTGCGCGTCAAATTCGGACGGTTTTCTTGATTCACAAGCCTGGACGACTTTGTGAATCTTGTAGCCGGAATCGTCTTACGTAGTCTGTGCTGCTTCAAGCGCCAGGAGCTTTTGCGTCTTTCAAACGCTTCCGCAGGCCAAACCTTTGGACGCACATGTCCCGCTACACTTCGCGCCCGGAAGAAGGCTCGACTCGGAAGCCTTTGTCACAGTACCAGTGCTTTCACGACCGAAGTCCTGCAAGAACATCGGATTTTTTCAGCTACGTTTCTTCACATCTGTTAACTTCTAAAAAAGCGTCCTGTTCGGACGCTAGTCCCAGGTGGACCTCCGGACATACAAAACGCTGCTGCACCGTACGCTTGGAAGCCATGCAGACTCCCACAGACAATCTGTTTGGGTTTTCACTTCCTTCTAAGTTTCCTGCTTTTGAGTGTCGTCATGCTGACGTGTCCGTCTCGGTCGCCCTCCAGGCCGGACCTCCGGACGTACAACTCGCTGCTGCACTCGTGCGCGGAGGCTGGGGAGGGCGACCGTGCGCGGGGCCTCCTGCGGAGCATGCTGCGGCTGGCGATGAAGCCCACGATCTTCCACTGGTGCTCGCTCATGAACGCGTTCGCGAAAGCCGGAAGGTGTGACGACGCTGCGTCTGTCTTCAGGTAAGGTTTGTCTAATCTGGGAGACGTGATCTGGTTTGTGCTTTACTTTCTACTTTGGAGCTGGCGATGAAGCCCACGATCTGCCATTGGTGCTCGCTTATGAACGCGTACGCCAAAGCCGGGAGGTGCGACGACGTGGCGTCTGTCTTCAGGTGAGAATAGCAACTGTGTGCTTTGAGTCTTTCCGTGAGTTGGATTGTGAGCTAGACCTACCAGTTATTATTCTAAAGCTCGGTTACGAACGGGTTCGGGGATGTGCATCGAAGCTGCGTCTGTCTTTCAGGTGAAAAAGTTGAGGAGAGGAGCGTAGGGTCTAAGGGTTCTCGACTCTCACTTTCCATCGAAGTCGGTCTTTGACTCTAGCTTGTGGCGCCTTCGCCGAAGCCGAGAGGCAAGACAAAGCTGCCCCCGTCCTTAGGTCAGCATCTTTCAGTTTCAAAGCGACAAGACTTTGCGCTACAAGGTCGGAGACTTTCATGATCGCAGGCGAGATTGAAGCTCATTGTTTGTTCATTAGTGCTCATTTAAGCGTTTGCCAATCCGAAAACAGGCCTAGCCATCGTTTGTAACTACCCTTAAACTGGTGAGAGCTGACTGATTCGGTCCTTTTCTAGTGTTCTGTCAAGCTGTCTTACAGCTCGGTACGAGCCTTGGTTGAGTAACGAGTTCGTAAGGGTTCACTGGATGGATCTCTTTTGTAGATGCCGCGGCTTGCGTGTTCAGTTTGCTGCTTCGAAAGATGTGACTGGAAGTCCGTTTTCTAGGAGTCCAATGATTTTGCTGCCAGTAAAGGTTGTGCCCCGTCCTGCGAGTGCGCTTGATCGATCTGATGAGGGCTTCCTCGGGACCCCTCAGGACCACCCATATGTCACCGACTTCACAGTCGCTTTCAAGAGGCGCTATTCAGCAAACCCTGTAGTCCCATTTGCAGGGATATGCAGGCTGCCAAGGTCGTGCCCACCATATACGCGTACAACATCCTCTTAGACGCATATTGCCGAGCGGGCAGGTTTACCACTGCAGAGGGCCTCCTACGGATCATGCAAAAGAGCCCGTGCAAGCCCAATATCGTATCATACAACACGCTGATAGGGGCATACGCCCGCGCCAAGGATCTAGAGCAGGTGAAACTGGTGTTCAGGGAAATGCTCAAGGGGGGGTATAGCCCGAACAGCCAGACGCAACGAGTTGTTAGCCAGGTGTTCTTAGACGCAAAGAAGGAGCGCGAGGCGACGCGGCTGTTTTGGGAGGCGAAACAGGCGGAGAAGCGGCGGAGACGGATGCAGGTTAAGCAGCTAGAGTTGCTGAGTAGAGTCGTTGACCAAGGTGTAGACTGAGACACAAAAGCAATTCGTTGAGGTGTCTTCCGGCATGTGTAGGATATGTCTTAACTTTCAATTGTAGCGTTCGATGAAGAGGCTAGGTTGCCTAAGGTTTGGAGATAGCATGAAACGGTAAAGCGGGCTGACTGCATACCTAGAAGTATCCAAGCGATCGGGTCCATCATTGCGTTATTGGCGAAATAAGCTTGGGGTGATGGAGTTGCAGTGAGGCGGTGAATGTACGATGGCCATGTGCATCGACGTGATCGATGCTAGTCGTGATAGCTCCGCGCACTACATGATCACGAGCCACTGTGATCTATATCGCAGAATCATGTAGCTTTTCAACTTTAGCTTTTACTTACGCTAACGGCAAACAAGTGGACATGCAAGACCCGGCCTGGACGGTTCGGTCCGACAGCTAGACGGTCACTCATCATCATGCATTCAACCGACCTAGGGCACCGTACCATACATCATGTGTTTGATTCGAGGTCGACCAAAGAATTAACCAAACCACATTGCAAGGGCCGGATTGACTCCGTCACATGCAATCATTCATATGCATGTCGGGCCAATCAAATGTCAGCCAATGTGACCTGTTCATGCGCCGTACACACTGTATATGTGTTGCATTGCAATGATCAACTTAACTGATCGGCCATGATGTCCGCCCAAAAGAGGGGTTCGGCGGACGCCAGCGCACTTATGTAACCGTTGCCCGGCGCGCCTGAGCTTGCATGATATAGCTGCATCCGATCTAATCCAACTAATAAGGCGCCGCCAGATCGAGTGCCGGCACTTGAATAGATAGCTAGAAGAGCACAGAGGTACGGCGGCAGTGCCTGCGTGCACGCGGTTGGAAGATCTCGTTGTAATTTCACGTGTTAACGTATGTCTGCGTGCCTGCTTTGAAAACAGCATGCACCGGTTGCCCCTTTTGAGCTTCGCTCAGATCAACGGCCAGTTACTTAGCGCTTCATTGAAAGCCGGTGTCCAATCGATCAAGCCATATTGAGAGTACGATACCCGCCAGCCGTTGTTCGAATCTCGCAGCAAAAACATGAGATTCGGTTGAGCCACTACTCGGTCCTACTTATAATGTTGGGTTCTACTTCGAACCACTATCTACAGATCCAGTTTTGCACTGCTTCTTGTGGGTCCGCCAATGTAGTCGTTGATGGTCCTTGCTGAAGAGATACACGAAAGTATTAAGTACAGGCGGCCCTGATCATAAAGCTTCACACTGAGCTGCTTAGTTATTATGCACAGTAGCGATTGCAACGAACTAGAGCAGTCAGAGCAGTGTCGGCCTGACGAGATCCCTGTTGGGCTTCGCATACTTCCAAAGCTTAGGAGCTTACCTGCTCGTCTCACCTGACGCAAAATGGAATTGCACAAACCGTCTTTGTAAATAATTTCGACAAGACACAAAAATGCCTCAACTATCTTCATTTTCTTATATTGTCAGAACTCTGTTGATAGACCTCAGTCAAACAGGAGATTGGAGTTATACTCACCTGCAGTAGTATGCCAGCTGGCAACTCGCGCACCGCCCAAACCTCCGCCCCCTCGGTGTCTCCGGCCCCTCTTTACACGCCTCCCACGAGCACACCACCGGCACGAGCTCCCGTCCCGTCGCGCCCGCCGCCAAAACCTCCCACTCTAGTTGCGTCGCCCGCGCCTCGGGCGGGGGCGGCTCGCCGCGCAAAACGACCGCCTCTAGATTCTCGAACAGCTCGTCGTTGGCCGCGTTCATCTTGGCGCGGTGCGGCCTCAGCAACGAGATGACGTCATCGCGTTTCATCATTTCGAGGCACTCGCGCAGCTCCATCAGGCGGAAGAAGACCATGTTGCAGATCACGACAGCGCCGTCGCGCACGCCCGGGGGGATGAAACCCGGGTTCTGCGACCGGAGAATCGCGGCGACGATTCTAAAGTATCCGTTTTCTAGTACCCACTGCCGGCTATCGTGGCTGAGTGCCATTGACACCACGAATCGAGCTGCATACTCGCGGCACTGCTGGACCGCCGTGGCGTTAAGCGCGCGCAGATGGTTTTCCGAGAGTAAGCGCTCGAGGCTCGGCATGAGGCCCACGGCTTGCTGTTCCGGGAGTTGTAATTGACGACGGAACGATTCGGAGGAACGCGCGAAGTTTGCGAGCCCCTCGAGGCCGTTCATCCAGATGAGGCGCGCCATTGCGGGCGCTTTCGCTCCAACGTCGCTTTCGGACGCTTGCAACTGCAGAGTCGGAGAAAGAATGGTTATTTGCGTTCCATTATGCCACTGAATCTGCTTTTCTTTCTGTTCTATGGATTTTCCAACCTGCCTCTTGCTTGCTGCCTCTGAAGGTCTGTACGTTTCAGACACTTGACTTTATCCTGAGTTGGCTCAGCGTTGTTTTGAACAGCCTGCATAGTGATACAAGAGGAGTGGGTGTCCTATGCATGATGTCAAATTCGGGTTTGGGGATTGAGCTGATTGCAATCTTGGCCACTGATCGTAAATAGATGTTGGAGATAATTATACGCCGTGTTTAATACTCTTTAAACACGTACAATATTTCTTAGCTGATTAATGATGTATTGTGAATAGTTGATGTGCTTTGTGTTGGATTCTATGAAGACATTTAGACCTCATGCCGTGTCAGACTTAAACAAAACATCAGACCTGACATCAATCTCCGCTAGATTAAGCTCCCATTAAGCGCCATCAAGCCCACTAGAGGTCGAAGAGTCTGGACTCTGAAGAACGGGCCTAGTTGACATCTTTTATGGTTTTCCGGAGAATTCAGCAGCTTGTAAGTCCTACGTTTTGTAAATAGCGACGCAATTCCAAGTTTCCATAAATGAACCTCAGAGACGAAATGATGTTAGCCACTGCTGAGGGCCAGTAGAAAATGAATTCACAACCAGATTCTGTCACAAATTGCGGCGCAATATTGAATAAAGGCTGAACCCACGGGTTTTTCCCTCCATTGTCTCCTGTGATCTCCTCAGTACAGTCCCTACCTGGGCTGTGAGGTACGACGCCAAGACCTTGGTATAGTGCTCCTCCTTCAAGCAAAACTCCACCACCCCTTTGCACTGGGCCAGCTTCACAAGCGCGCGGGACGATATCATCTCCATTTGCAGCCCCCCAGATGACATCAGCACCCTATCTAACAGCGTTTTCAGGACGGCCCCTCGTCCGAAAGCGGAAAGCTCTTGGAGCGTCCAAGAGAGCTGCACGGACGCTGTGCGGTCCGACTGAATGCGCAGCCGTATGGCCTCCAGAGAGTCGATCGCGGTGCTGATATCGAGCACGTTGGTGGAGGTCAGCTTTGTGGCTAGCTGGGGGACAGTCTCAGCAAGGGATCCCCCGGTCTGCGCCATGTTCCCTGGACTCGTGAGTCATGTACTGCACAGGAGTGACAACCTAGCCAGTGGCAGAACAAAGAAAGGGATGATGCAGTTTGCAGAATGCAACCAATTCCAATGCCTTTCCAATGTCCAGCTCCTGCTCAAGCCCTAGCTCACTCCGAGTATCCTTGGTATAGCGCTAGCATATTTCTTTCTGGAGCTCGTTCTTTCTGGGGGTGCAGCCCCTCGGGCGAACGTCAACCGTTCTTTTCGACCGTCTGATTTTTACCAAGCCCTGCTCGCCGTTTCTCTGAAAACCACCATGATTGGCCGGCGAAGAGCACCCCCCCCCAGATTGATCTAATATCTTTAAAACGCGCGCGCGAGCGCCGAGCCAGGTAGCTTGCTAGATCATGGCTTTACGCCACATGTGATTCTGAAACTCAAAGTCCCTGGTGATTTGTTCAAAGTTCGCTTGGAGATGGCGCGTCTTACGAGACAGAAGACGAAGGCGGCAAGGGACTACGAGAAAAGGTTCAAGAAGCAGACTGAGTTTTGTCAGGAGGTACTGGCGTTGGCAACGTCGGACATCAACCGGGCGTATGAACTTTGGTGGCCGGGAACCAAGAAGGATCACCCTTGGGCGGCTGAGGCAACGACGGATGAGGAAAGAAGGAAAGGTTTCAGGAAGTGCGCCAGATTTTGCTTAAAGCAGAACAAGGGTTGGAAGCTGACGAATGTTCCAAGAATCCAGGCCATCTTGGGAGAAATCAGGATGTAGAGCTGGTAAGGCGAAGTGTTGCTTGTCTGTGTGCATGAACGTACAAGAGACATGTACAGCATTAGCGCCAAAGGCTAGTTTGTATCAATGCAAATTGTTCAGAACTTCCATTCTTCAGCAGCACAGCTCCGCTTTCCAGCATTCTGTCCGCAGCACTGTGGTGCAACCTTGAAAGTAGTCTCTCAGAGTCACCTCAAAGCAACCTGAAGTAAGAAGCGAGGAAATTCAACTCCGTCCAGCGAAGTCACTCAAGCGAGACCCAGTGTGGCGCTTGGTGTTCTGGATTCTGTTAGCTAGCATTCAGCAGCTTTCTGCCAGTTGAGGGGGATGCCGGTTGAGAAGACAGGAACTCCGGTGGTTGTTCAGGACACAGTGTTAGCTTGACCCCCTGCCAATGTTAGTATGGCGACCGCAGGCGACGCTGACCTCGCGGTGTTCTTATCAAAGGAGGGTTTGATTATTGAAGAGCGGACGGGGCGAGGCAGGTGTCTAGTAGCAGGGCGCACGTTCCTCCCTGGCGAGCTTATTCTGACACAGGTTGCTCCTGCCGTCTCTCGATTTTTGAAGCTACCACTTGATGCTACGGCTCTTTCTGATGGTGCATCGAGTTCCTGCACTTTCTTGTTGAGTTCCCCTGAACGCAAAGATTGTATGATAGTAGTTTGGCTTTCCGTTTTCTTTATGAGCCTTCTTCCAGCATCTGCTTAGAAAACCGTGATGCATAGTTCAGCGAGAAAGAGCTTCCCCTAGGTTCCTGCTCGTTCTGACAGTACCAGAAGCTACCACCAGCAGGTTTTGAAGACACTGCCCTTTCCAGGTTCTCTTGATCCTTCTTTCGAATATACATCGTGGTATGCCCGTTGTTCACGTCTGTACTCATCAAAAGGCAGTGTCCGACGCTGGAAGAGAAAGAAACGTTTGGAAGGTAGATCTTGCCTGCCACGGTTTCGGAACCAACACAACGTCCAGATTTTCAGCCTTACCTGGACCGGAGTCCTTGGAAAGCTTAACCTTTTCTTTGCCTTAGCCTTAAAACCTTAGCTTGAGGACCTGAAAACCGCGCTGGACTTTTTACTCCGATATTGTGCCTTTACCTTAGCTTTCTTAGCTGATCCAAGCTTGAGAATCTGCAGGCTCCATACGCGCATGTCCTGGATGAGGCGAACCAGGGCAACAGGTGCGACGCCTGCTTCGTGGTCGGGGGCGAGGGGCTCAGACGCTGCGGGGGCTGCAAGCTCGTCATGTACTGCGACCAGAAGTGCCAGGTCAGCAACCTTGCATTGGTCAATAGTAGACACATTCGTGTGTCTGTTCCCGTTTTTGTTACTAATCTTTAGACCTCTACCGCTGGCAATTCAACATGCTGGTGGAACCAAAACGCAGGGTGCCCCACTTTTGTATGCTAAACAACGTCTCTATTTCGATCAAGGCTAGCGGAGTCGCACCGCAGGGCCCCTTTTTGTAAGGACGACTCTAATTCAATTGCGAGTGTCGGCTGTTGTGACTATTGGAATGGACTTTCACAAAACTTCCTTCGTAATTTTGGAAAACAAAGCACTTCCGGGTTACCAGCGTTCAACAAATCTCCTGAAGCTGGCAATGCCGCTATCCGCCCGCTCATAAGCTCAAACAGGCCTGTAGCGTCTCATCTTGGCTGCGATTCACGTGCACGAAAATAGGCCCTTTCTGAAGCGGAACCTCGCAACTTCAAGCAATCTAGTTTGACACGTGTCCCCTTGGCAGCGATCCACGTGGCCCCTCCACCAGCACGAGTGCAGAGCGATCAGCGCCCTCCGGCGGCTGCACGGCACCGTCCCCACCCCAACGCTGCGGCTGGCTTTTCGTGTCATGGCTATGCGAACATTGCAGGTGAGAGACGACCTGCTTTTCACGCCTTTTGAACAATCCTTCATCAGTAACGCACTGGTTTGAAGTTCGGCGTTTCTACCACTGGAGGATGCCTCTCCTCCGTCTCAAGCAGGGGCGATTTGGTGGTGTAGGTAAGAAGAGATTGCCTTTTCGTTTTAGAGTTCGGCCACACTTAGTGGTGAGCTCAGTGCTTACAGTAGCATTCTCACCGGTGCTGCTTGTGAGGCTTGTTGCCTTGACTGCGCTTGTCCTGTGGATATTTTCAAGATGGTGCTTCGCTTAAAGAGGGCGTCAGACTAGATATACCGTCTCGACCGGGGAAATTCAAAACCAACTTGGGCGCACTGAAATTTCCAGCGCAACTGGCAAGTGCGCTTGACTTTCATCATGAAAACGAGCGATCGAAACTCGGTCGGAGCAACATTTTCCCTTTTTCCGCACGCCGCGCAGTTGGGGCTCACACCGGTTTTCACATTCAACGTCACGCGGGCAAAATTTCCGTGCGATCGAAAAGTACCGTACGCGGCTTACGTCATGTGGGACATGTCCCACGACGCCCTCTTTAAGAAAACGAAAACTGAGGAACGAAACAACGTTATACTTTCCTGAGAAGTATAGTCTTCTTGTTGCAGGCGACTGGCGTTCGTCCCAGAAACGCAGTCGACGATTACGCTCGTGTCGAGGCTCTCGTCTCCCACTTGGAAGACACCCCGCGAGACACTCTCCTGCTGTACGCGCAAATGGCGACTCTCGTGAAAGCAATGGGTGACGTCGAAGGGAGCAAGGTCGCCGTCGATCCGCGGGAGGTGACGGAGCTTCTGGGCAGGTGGGCCGTTGATCATTTCCCTGTCGTTTTCCCCTTTCATTAATCGGATGTTTGCGTTGCTTTTGAGATCTTGGCTTTGTTTCTGGTCCTTGCCCTCAGCTAACCCGTTGCTTTCGCTCAGATCTGCAGTCTATCCCGTGCTGATGTGACAAGTGGCATCTCGAGTCCAGAGTTTCCCCCTGGTTAGTCTGTGAATAACGCTTTTTTGAGCTCGTCTACGTCGGAGATGTCGATCTGAAAGTGGGCGCTTCGGTCGTCTCAAGCAATATCTCACAAAGCCTTTCTCTCTGCAAAGTTGTCAATCGCTCACCCGTGGAAAGCCACGTATCGAAATCGGCCAACGCAGGAGGAATGGAAACAACCGCAGAAAAAGTCTACAGTTGTTCGCCTCCCCAGATCAAATGTCAATCACAGACCTAAGCGGAGACTATTCTCACTTCAGGTTCGCCTGCAACGCCCACACCATCTGTGACGAGGAGCTCAAGCCGGTGGGAATGGGCCTGTTTGTGGTAAACTCTTTGGCTAACCACGACTGTAACCCGAACGCGATCATACTGTACGACGGGCCAAGGGCGATGATGAGAGCGTTACGTCCGATTACAGCGGGGGATGAGGTGGGTTTGGCATTTTCGCACGTAACGCTGGTCACTGCTTGATGGCAGGTTATAGAATTAGGTCCACAGTGAACTGGACTTTCGCCGCACGTGTATCTTTTGTAACACTCCAGTGTAAACATCAATCTACACAGGAGTCCGCTAATACGCTGCCCCACAAACGATTCTGACATTCGGTCGGAGCGCCTTTTGAGACTTGAAATTCAAATTACCGCCGTCAAAGAAGCACGCCTTTGCAGCACGAAAGCAGACAGAATCACCACCTCGCTAGTGCACAGGCTGAATTTAACCACTGCAGTTTTACAAGGTTTTTGAGCGCACAGACAACTTTCAGGCAGGACTCTTATGCTGTTTGTTGCCTTGCAGATAACACACGCTTACATCGATCTAGCAGGCAGCCGAAATCAGCGAAGAGAGCGGCTACGAAAGTACTACTTTGAGTGCCAATGCGATCGGTGCGTCCATCACAGAGAAGATCCTGTTGACTCGAAGGTTGCAGGGCTAAAGTGCGCTGACGAGAGCTGTGGGGGATCCCCCGGATGGGACTGGGAACTGGGAAAAGCAGCGAGTAAGTCGGGTCTAGTTTTTGGTGCCACCTTTTCAGATCTCCGGACGACTTCTATTCAGTATTTGGTCTACTTGAAGCTATTTTATAAACTTTGCACAGAAAGAGCTGAAGGGGATTCCCCGGATAGGACTGAGAGCTGCGGAAAGCTGCGACTGAGTTGGGTCGAGAGTCGTCGTTACTCTTATGAGGACGGCTCCGGACACGCTTCCCGATCCCTGGACCTTAGAGCTTACTCTCTGCTCAATTTGGATCTGATGTTTGCAAGACGAGCGTTCTGTTTGCCGAGATTGCATTCTGATTCTGAGCAAGAGAGGTCTTTTGGGCGCGGGGAAAGAACGAAGCCCAGGAAAGTTATGACGAAGCCCTGAAAATTTTCAAAGAACTGGGTGTGGAACGCTGTAGACAGTTTCTGGTCAAGACCGGAACGTTGTTCTAGCGGGATTGCTACGTCAGCTTCACGTTGCTCCAGAACAGCAGTCTGCTATAAATCCGAGTTGACAGTAAAAACCGTGAGGGCTCTGGTATTCAGATTGAAAGTGCATATTTATCCCACCGTCATTGTTTCACCTTCCAACAGCGGAGTAGTTCAGTACATGTCCAAATAAGTGTCGCTCAAATGAGCAGGTACTCGTGTTCCTGCCACCAAGTTAGCTCCGAAAGGCGCTGTCCAATGGAGAAGTTGATCGAGGGATTCTCTTCCTGCTGGAGCATCTTACGGATACACTCACTCAAGCATTTCTATTGCACGAAACATGCGCTTATCTGCCGTCGTCTCGTTCACAGGAGACAAAACCGGGCGGTACGTATGCAAGTGCGGGCGGGCTGTGCCAGCAAACGAGGCTGACGCCCGGAAGGAGGAAGCTAACCGGATTCTGCGGGAGGAGGAAGCAAGCGAGGGGAAAGGCGAATTTCAGGAGGCGCGGTGAGCGTCGACCTCGGCACCGCTGTTTGAATACTCTTCTTGAGGACGTGTCGGCCACACGAAGTGGCCGAATATTTGGTGAAGCAGCGTCGCGTTTGTTTTCACAACTTGCGAGGCTGAAGGTGACAAAGCAAGCAAACCACGTTTAACTTGGGCAGCGAGTCTCTTGAGGGGCGGCGTCATAGGGGCCTCTCGTCTCGCATTGGCGACAGAACAAGGCTTTCCTATGATCCGGAAATCAAGCTAAGCTGAAGCGCCATTCGCCCTACGAAGAAAGCAGCCGGCCTTCCTCGATGTCGCGGGCGTCTTCAGAGTCCTCGTAGATGATCAGCAGTCATCTCACAGGGCTGGATTTTCAAGAGTATCGTCCGTAACGGTTCCAATTTCAACCGGTAGTCATTCCAGATGAATCAAGCCTATGTCTAAGCGAGTGGTTGGACTTGTGCCAAAACAGTTGCTCGGGCTGATCGACCCGAACGAAGCTTTCCACAACTCTGCCGTTAAAGTATCTTCGGTTTTGCCTGCAGCCGGCTCCTGGAAAAAGCGCATGGGCTTCAGACGTCCGTTCTGCATCGGCTCAACTGGGAGCTGGTTCGGACGTCCGATGCGCTTCTACGCGTGTGCATGGCTCTACAAGACTGGCCGGCTGCCGCGAGTTGGTGTGAACGCACTCTTCCGGCGTACGAAGCATGCTTGCCGCAGCCGTCCGCACTGTACGGACTGCAGCTGTTCACACTCGCGAAGCTGAAGTGGTTCTTAGAAGATGCACAGAGCTGCTTCGAAGCAGTACGAAGAGCGTGCGAGATCTTGACCATTACTCACGGAGAGAAGCATAGGCTGGTCCTCGAGGCCAAGGACTTGTTGTCGCAAGCGCAAGCGGAAGCTGGTCAAAGAAGATTGAGATAAGAGTTACGCGCACGCTGTTTAGCTACATATACGTGGTCCTTTCTCCTCGTTTCGAGATCATTGGATAGATATAATCTGGACGCAGGTTTAGATTGGTTGGAAGTCTACAATTTGCAGTAGAAATTCGGAGCATTGAGTCACGACTAGGCCGGTCTTCATAGTCGGTAAATCCGCTGCATTCGAATTTCGGAAGCGGGGTACTGTAGTTTGGAGTCAATAACGGTCATGCTGAGATGCAGCATCATTTCAGGCTGGCTGCCAGCAGTATGAGTTTTGCAATATGCGGATGCATGATTGCGCAATCACTTCTCGCCCGGCCAATTGATCATTCTAGTGTATAGTGGAATAGATGCCGCACTGCGGCATGCCCTATATCAGCGAACAGTGACTATCTCAAGGAATCATCGAATGATGGCCATTTGCGCTGAATGCACATGTGGGATTGCAAGTAATCATGCATTGGCCGGGCCCGGCACTCGATTCCGGTTACTATTTGTAACTTACCTACTCCGGGCCGGCCCGTCGCGGAGGCTATATGAGCCTGGTATACTTAAGGTTGCGCGTCGACCGAAAATCTACACCCCCCACTTTGATCTTGTCAGACCACGTGGTTCAGGAAACCCTGGTTTCGGTAGTGGTTTGCAGCAAACCCTCCACATCTGTGCGCCCTATATAATCCAATTCTGCACCAAAATGCTCTATCCAAAGCACATGGGCAATGGCCATGAGTGGTGGCAATTGCCGGCAAGGCTTCTCTGAGCAGAAAAGATGCTCATTTGATACTTATAGGCGACACAATCACCTCAGTGTTGCAAACCTCTTACAAACCCATATTTATGAAAAGCAGGCCTCTGATTGGCTCAGAAACCTGGGATGACCTCGGAGGTTTTCGGTCGACGCGCAACCTAAGTCAATTAGCAGTGACATCATGGCATACCGGCGGCGTACTGCAGAATCGAGATATCAGCATGCAGCTAACCTAGTGCATGCGGCTTAGCTTATGATGCCAATCTAATATGTATCATGCGCACAAAATAAAGCTTGCGCAAAGCAATCAAAGGCCCGCGCGGCTTAAGCAAGAGAACACGAACGTATATTGCAATTCAACTTGCCCTTAGACAAATTAAGCTTCTAGTACGTGATTGGATGCATTAGGCTTGGGTAGACAGTCATGCACTCCGAGTCCTCAGAAAGTCACTTCCTCTTAGTCTTTTCTGAGGGGCCAATCAGTACCTCATGCTTACTGACTGACGGCGTTTCCGTTCCTAACACACCAGTCAATGAGCACTCTGTCCAGGAGTAGCCCGCGTCTACCCACGGGCCTCGTGAGGGGGAGCGTCTTCGCCCATTTCCGCGCCACCTGCTCTTGCCGGTCCATTGTTAGCGCGCTAAACGACGTCCGGAAATCTTCCACCGTCTCCGTTGTGAGCGTCCGGTTGACGTCCGCATCCACCAGAACTGGAAGGACATTTGTCAGGAACGGGCAGCGGACGTCCCACAGGATCAGATTGTTCGGATCCGCTACAGCTCCTAGAATCAATGCCGACGTCTCCAAAAACAGGGGGAGGAGCGGCTGATCTAGAGACGGGGCCTCAAAATTAGGGACTTCCGACCAGAACTTCGTGACTTTTGCGGCGCCGTACGTCTGAATGTTCTCAGACGCTTCCTGGTAGAGCATCTGCGCCAACGCCTCTCTTTCCCTAGCCTCTTTGGCCGCTCTAATTTCCAAAAGGCGACTTCTTGTTGCGGATTGCCACGGGTGCCACCTCCAATTGGAGGTCCAGTGCAAGATTCTCCAATAGTCAGTACCTTTGTTGTCGTCTGGTGGCGTGAAATGAATATCAGGGACAGACCTCCATTGTCTCCTAGACGGGGACAGAAGCTCCCCTTCTTCGAGCCTCAGCAGGACTGGCAGCCAAATTCTAATCAGCTCCTTTCTGCTCAGCTCATCGAAGAGAGCGGGCTGTGATTTTTTCCTGGTAGCAACGTCGAACAGCTTTCGAAGAGGCTGGAAGAGTGCATGATAAAGCATTGCGCTCAACGGACTGTTTGCCGGTGTGTGCTTCAGTATCTTCTCCGTTGCTTCCTCACAAAGCTGTCTGCTTCTGAAGATAACCATTCGGCTTTAACCTCCTCAAGCGCTATTCCGCTCCTTAAGCACAAAAACGACAGCCAGCCTACGCAAGAGAGGTGACGGATGAAGAGATGGAGACTGCTTTCTACTCTTGCAGCATTCGCTTGCTTTCGGAGACATTTCACGCTCAAATCAGCTAAAAGGCTCCTTGACTTTTCGAACCCGACAAGCCTATGCATCTGAGCTTCCACAATGCTATGGAGGATCTCAACTTTCAAGCCTAGCCAGCCTGAGCTTGCCAGTTCTTCTACAATCAGACGTGGCCTCTCAGAGCTGTCCATCTCGCTCTCGGGAAGAACGATTTTGCGGAAGATCGGTCCGCTTTTCAGGTGAAGAGCAGCCGCCAAAACGCTCTTTATCAAGCACTCCGCCCTGTCAGGCCACTGACGGTACCTCTCGCACCAAGGCCATTCAAGGTCTAGAATTCCTAGTCTCTCTCTCGTTTCGTGCGGTAAGTACAGCCCCAAGTCTTGGTAGGTTGCGAGAATCTTCTTTTGATCTTCCGAGTTCCATTCAGAAGCGTCCAAAAAGGTCTCGAGGAAATTGATTACCCGCCTATCGCACAGGAAGTATCTGCATACCGTCAGCACGGAGAGGGCTTCGCCTACGCTGCGCAGATTGAAAGGAAGGCTTAGCAGCTCTTCTTTGGAAACGCCGCAAGCTATGATGAACAGGATAGCCAGAGAGGCAGCCTGCGGGTCCTCACACAGGAGAGAGTATGGCTCTGCAACAGGAGACTGTGGATCACCTAGAATGTCTGATCTCCACCGGAGAAGCATTGCCGCAAAGAATGGACTTGCTGTTATCAGATCATTGTCTGGCAAAGCAAGGAGTCTGGCGTTAGAAGAGGACGTCGGAAGGCTTGCCAAGTGCAGCAGCAGGAGCGGGCCAGCACCGTCAGCTACACTTGCGATGATTGTGCTGCTTTCTGGCACAGATCTGGTTTGTGCTTCTTTGAGATTTGAGCTTTGACATCCAGATTGGGAGCTTCGGCTCGACCAAAGTACTTTTGTACACCTTGCCAGGCGACCCTTGAAACACTCCCACCTTGACGTCGTCAGCAGCCCGAGCATTTTTGCTGCATTCTGAACACGAGCTTCAACTTGTGTATATGTAAGAAAACCTCCGGATCCTCGCACCCCAGCTCGATCAAACACCTTCATTGCATTTGGACCGTTTGCAAGGAGGCCGTTGGAAGCCCAGCGCAATGCAGAAGTGCCGCAAAGAAAGGGCTCACGGTCAGCTTCTTGGGATGAATCCGGATGAATAGCAAGCGTCCTTGAGCCTCCCGAGTCAGGGCTGTCTGAGGAGCCTCCATTGCTCCATCTGTGGCGTTCCTTTGACCAGATTCAGAAATATAAGCGGGCTAAGCTCTTGTCCGTTGTGTTAAAATTAAAGCTGATCTCTTGCGCCTTAAAGTGGGCGTCGTACCGGGGCGGCCCAAAACGTCAGCACCGGTCACGCCCAAGCAGAAAATCAGGCACGGGGAATGCTACCGCCACTTTGAGTTTTTGGCGACAGAAGCGCCGAGGGCCAACCCGTGCAGTCGCCATATGACGTCATTCGGATGCATCCGCAGACGCCCTCTTTAACAGGATTTGCCTCCTCTGGCCCTATGACCGCGTAAGAGAATTTCTGGATTGCAGCGCGCCAGCGACGCCGGTAATGATTATTGAACAAAGCAGTTAATTGCATATATGCTCGGCGCTGCCAGGAATTTGCCGGGGGCGGCTGCCGCGGCCGCAGGGGTTAGGTTTTCTTAGCGCCCGCGTTCGCTTGGGGTTACAAAACGCCGGAACCCTGCGGCCGTGTGGGCCCTCAAGGCGGCCGCCACCTTCGGCGTCATCGCGTTAATCATGTTTTTGCGGCCGCGTCCGAAGGCGGCCGGGCTATCGCGAAGCTAGCGCAGCACGGTGCACGGTGACCGTGCAGTGTGCACCGAGGCCGGTACTCCCTGCCCAAAATGTGTACATTATTATGTGCTGCCGTTTTTGGTATTAAGTTGTCAAAGCATGATCGACGCATTGCAAGATTCGGCTCAGGCTTTGCATGGACTGCCCAGTGCCCATTGGCATAGGGTTTCGTGATAACAAGGACACTTGCAATACCGGTAGATATCATCATTCGGCACGCACGTAGAAGCCATCACAACTTCACAAAGCAAGGATTCGCCGAGTCTCTTCAATGGATTGTACGAAAGTACAAGCAATGAAGCACATCACATCAAGGCGTTTAGGTCCCGTCAAACGCCGCCTTTGCAAGTTTTGTAAAGGCCGTCCGTCAAAAGAAGACGGAGCTCGAACACCAGCCCGCCGCGCGCATTTGACTCGAAGTGTTGTACATCAACGGAAGAACTCGGAGGCGATTTTGAAGTTGAAAGGTGCGCTGTTGGCGCCATAGCAATCCTGGGTCAGTCTCTCCGTCAGCACGCAAAATGACGCCAGAGAAGCTTCAGGCTGTGAGAGATTCGCTTGAGGAGGTTTTAGGGTTGACAGCTCAGGTAATGGAAGAGGAGGATGTGGAGATTTTGGTGAAAAACCTCTGTGTAACCCCCAAGGCTTGCGAGGATCTCCATCTGGAGACACTCAGAGATGATCCCTACCCAGTGCCAGCGAATATCTTGCAGCTTATTGAGGGCTACAAAAAGATGCTGGCAGAGGGCTATAAGGAGGCAAAGAAGCGGAAGGGTGAGTTCTGCTTGAAAGTGCCAGAAGGGCTTGTCCATCTCATATCATATGCTGTTCCTGTGCTTTGAGACTTTTGAGATGCGCCATGCTTGTCTTGGCAAGGCTGTGCTGCTGTTGCTCCGATGCCAGCAGGCTCACATACTTCGTTCTAGTCCGATGTTGGTGGCGCGCTTGTCAGCTCGTCAACTTGTGTCTCAGTCTAGGCTTGTAGAGTCAGGAACTGGCAGTTGCCTAACATATCTTCTTTTGCTGCCTTCAGTGGAGCCGGACAAGTCTGCAAGCATTCTGAAGGAGCTGATTGTGGAGATACCGTTGTCTCTGCCACCTGTCGAGGGACTTCGCGACTTCCTGAGCAATGTCAGCCAGCGGATTCCGGTGACTCAGCGGGTTTATGACAAGCTGAGCCTGGTGGAAAATGCAAACGAGGTGGTTCGAGTTTGCTTGGAGCAAGAAGACGTGAGTAGTGCGAATCCAATGGGTTGCTGTGTAGTCTGGAAGGTTGCTACAGTTTGGCGTTAATTTTCAAAAGGTTGGTGGGAGGGAAGTGTGCGCCTGTCCTGGATGTCGCCATTGACTCAACACGTCAGTCAATGTCTTGGACTAGAATTTAGAAGTGGCCAGCTGCATCCGACTGAACAAGGGGCGAATCGCGAGTTTTGTGTTCCTGGCATCAGGATCAGTGCAATTATTGTCTTTCACGTGTTTTCTGTGCTTGGAAACAAAAAATAGGCGGTCAAAATCATCGGAATCTTCAGTATTTGCAGCACCCGCTTTACTTAGAAAGACAACTCCTACTTTTAGGTTCTGATTTCAAGCATTTGAAGCCTGTTCTCTGATGGCCGTATTCTGAAGGCCATTCCAGTGGGTTGCATGAGCCCCTGCTGGCATAAGTTCTCTGTCATTTGGATGCAAGTCCCCTCCGTGTAGCATCATCAGAGGCCATGTTGAGAGGACTCTCAGGCTCCTGATTGAACAAGCATTGGAACGCTTCATAAGTAAGTCCTTCAAAAAGCTGAGGTGCTGCACAGATTTGTTGTACATGATGTACACCGTTGCTGAGTCTTCGGTCTCTTGTGTTGCAAGCCAATATCGTGACAACCTACGTCAGCCGAATCGTTGAGAGCATCCACATCATATGGAATCACAGGGCGGAGGAGGAGGAGGAGCTCACAGCATATGGAATCACCAAGATGCTCTTCGATCCGCTGGCTCAAATCAGCGAGAAGATCGAAGATGCGCTGAAGCTTGGCCTAGAGTACAACAAAAACGTACAGACAAAAGAGACGTTCAGTATCCCTCACATCGCCAATACGCGCCCTGATGGGACTGCCGTGGCGAAATACGCTCTTCTCCTAGCTGGAGAAGAGAAACCGGAGGATGGCACACTGCAGGAAGCGCTAGCAGATCTCAAGGCGAAGTTTCGAGAGCCCTTTAGCAAGCTACACTACGGCGTCCTGCCGTACATAATCTGTTACACTGCGTCTGGGAAGCAAGTTCAATTCTACTCTCTACAGGTGAGCTACGTAGACCAACACCCACAGCATTGGTTTTTCTGTTCCTGGCTGGTGACCTCTCGTAAAGAATGAATGCTTCTGTCACGGAGCTCAAAGAAGGTTGAACTCGAGGGTTCTGGACATGCTGAACAAGCAGAAATCATTTTGAGGGGGATGGGGAAAGCAGGGTCCTTTCTACCTCTCATTTCGCTGTGCATTTCTGGTAGCATCCATCTCTGGTATACCAGCAATGCGCAGGGATAGGACGGGTTGGTCTGAAGTTTGGTCTAAGCTTCAATGTTCAAACATTTGAAGGGAAGACACTGGCGGATGGTACTTTCAACATAAGCCTGAGCAATCACAAGCCGACATTTCAGAGTGAATAAGAGAGTGCTTGAACAAAAAACAAATCAAGAAGTCGAGTCAGGCAGACGTTGTCACGTATAACAGCTGTTTCAGATGAGCATCATTCAAGCTTCTATTTTCGATTCTGCTGGCTGGGGATGTCGGGTGCTATTGTTTGTCGTTGCTTTTTCAGAGTGTCTTTACTGTCGTGTAAGTGTTGCCTGTTTCACTAGTCCACCTTCGCAGCAAAGGTATTAGAAGTGAGCCCTGCATGCATTCAGAAGAGGGTGTCGGACTCCAGATGCAGGTTGCTATCTGCAACAAGGCTTCTCCAGGGCTTTGACCTGGTATCTGAAGAGGAGGGGCCTGCCCTGTGGAGACAATCTAAAACTTGATTTCATCGTCCCTGATCGTGTTGGTGCTGCTGCTTTTGCAGTTGGATGCGATCACCGGTGTCATCCACTACAACACGCCTGAGGGCCGGGCCAAGGTTCTGCACGTGGTGACCAATCTCTACAGGCTCCTCTTGAAAATGAAGGAGACGCTCCCTGAACCAGGGGGGTTGGCACTATTCGAGAAGGTGAAGCGGCCGAGCGGAGCGGTCGTGGAAGCTGGCTTCTATAGGTTGGTCGTCCTGCTATGCTTTTCTGGTGGAGGCTTGATTGACGCAGGGTCAGAGAAGTTCTGCGTCCAATCCTAAGTCGAACGACCTTAGGACTTCTCGGCACAAGATTGCAGATGACGGGTATGGTCAGCCTCGTCAGGGCTTGATCAAGCAGTCTGTCGATATGCTTTCACGTGAGACTCTTTGAGGAATGCCACGGCTGCCGTACTCTCTTAACGGCAAAAAAGCAGGATCTGCACGGACTGGCTTTCGCATTTGCCTCAGCTTAAGGTTAATGTACGAAGCGCTTTTGGGGATTGCGCCATGCGGACAAGCTCCTGAGTTTCTGAGTAGGACCTCAGTGCCTGCGATAGAAGCTGCATTGAACTTTGTCATGCCCGTTCGTCCTAAAGTGAGATCGTGGCTTTGTTACGATTCTTGCACTGACTGTCGCCGGTGGCTTCTTACATGCTTTCCTCTGGTGGAAGTCTCGGTTGCACCCGTCTGCCGAGTATTGTGTCTGTTTGCGACACCCTTTTTGACAATCGCACCAGTAAAAACGCGACAGCTGCACCTGTAAAATGCGACAGGCTCGACGATCGAAGCAAAGGCAATCCCTGGCAGAGGAACTGAGTGAGAGTTTATTGCTGAAAGTCTAGAGTTCCTTTCAGATTTTGGAGGCGCTCAAGCTGTACTGCATGGTGGGAGTCGTCGGGGAGATTTCCAAGTAACGCTCCCTTTGCTGACCAGTCCTTTCGTTTCGTCCCAGGATTGCGAGCTTGCAAGGAACTGGAGCAGGCGGGAACTGTGGGCGCGTCCGTGAACGTTCAGCCGGAGGCGCCCAAGCTGTACGGCATGGTCGCAGTCCCGAGGAGACCACGAAGTAACGTTTACTTAATCCATCCGTCTGTCCGTTTCGCCCCCAGGATTGTTCACGAGAAAACTAGAGCAGGCGGGTATCGTGGGCGCGTCCGTGAACGCTCAGCCGGAGGCGCCCAAGCTGTACGGCATGGTGGGAGTCGTCGGGGAAATCACCGAGAAAGTCTCACTTTGCTGACCAATCTGTTCGCTTCCTCTAGGATCGTCTATGAGAAACTCGAGCTTGCGGACGTTGTGGGCTCCGCCGTTTTCGTCAAACTTTCAGTGACTCAAAAGGTTCCGATCAGGGCTCGCCTCAGGGGTTAAGTACAAGGCGTTCGAAGTCCTTAAGCAGTGCGTCATTCGGCAAATCAATACAAGTATTTCCGCCACTGTTCTGCAGCGTAAAGAAAACGATCCGCGGGGCGGCTAGCTTCTTTGAGACGGCGGGGACCAGTGCGGAGCACGTGAAAGCGGCGTACCAGGTGGCGAAAACGACCCGGTTCCTCGTACAGGCCGCGCAGGGGCCAGTAGTGCACAGGGACGTGTACCTGGTAGAAGGGAAGCCACTTGGTTGCCCGGCGGTGGTCAAGAGTGAAGAGGTGAGAGTCTGCAATGCTTTTTGCCGTCTCTTCGTCTTTTTTCAATTTCTCATCAGTCTTATCTGGTGTTGATTGGTAGCTTATGGTGAACCTTGATGACGCTAGCACATGGAAAGCGGTAAACACCTGCTGGTGACTTTTCATTGGTCCTACAGCGAGGGAGCTACTTATCAACGGTCACTACTTTTTCCTTGTTGAAACTCTGCAGAATTGGTGCTGGTAAAGTAGGCTTAGCCCGGAGATCACTTGAGTATCGGCCGTGCCTCTGTTCTCCTTTTTTTAGCTTCTTGGCGAGCGCAGGAACTCAGTAAGAGGGATGTTTGGCCTTGCCGACTGCAAAAGTCACACCCTTCGACATGTTGACAAGGAAGGCCTCGCTGGATCAGGGTGCGCACTTGACGTGGGTCCTCCTCGAGTCGCTCAGTTGTTGGCAGCTTCGACTATCAGAGGCTCATCGGCAACCGTTGGCGATTCCGTTTGATCACCGGATCCGTCCAGTGCTATCCATGAGCACACTGCCGACGTGGAACATCATTCTTGACACAGTACCTATCGAAACTCGTACCCAACGCAAGTCCCATGTGCTTTGGCCGCGTGTGGATCTGGAGCTCATTGCAAAGCTCCTACTTTCCAGAGCGCGCAAGGAGCACTTTCAAACGGAGTTTCTTTCGATCTCGTGCAGGATGTGCGGCGGCTCGTTCACGACCTGTTGCACGGGCTGGACAAGCTGCATACGGCGAACATATGCCATCGGGACATCCAACAGCCCAACGTCATCTCGTGTCTGGATGCGTCCAACTCGTTAGCCAGGTATATCTTGATCGATCTCGAGTCGGCCGCCCCCGCCGGTGCCTCTCTCCCTGCTGTACACTACGATGCCTGGGAAGACGAGACATTGGTCGGCGGCAGGTATGTCGCAGAGTCGGACTTGTATCAGCTGGCAAAGATGGTTCAGATCACGGCCAGATCAGGGGCGGTGGAGCTGTCCGAAGATGCACGAGCCCTTCTGAAGGAGCTCAGGGGCAAGCAAAGGTCAGCCTCATCGTTACTACAGGAGAACTGGGTCAGCTGCAAGTGTGGCCAAGGCCTCGCAGTCTGAACAATGACTCAATCTGTAAGCCGTGGTGCAAGAGATACATACTGGTGAAAAGCACAATAGTTAAGACGAGGATCTCGCTAAAACATGATTTAGGGTGCGGGTGTCCGCACAATGCATATTCAAGACGTTGCTTGTTGGTTTGCCAGGCTTGTTCATCATCCATGATCACGTGGCAATAACATGCGCAATGTCTTATGCCGGGAGCAGCCTAGCACCAGATTGTGTGTGTGTCATGTGCAATAATTTCATGGAATTGTTTGTGACAATGTATCGCTCCCGGGCCCACTGCGCACTGCATACAATGGTCTTGATATCTCTACTTGCAAGAACCAGCCAGCTCGGTACCCTGAGCAATAAAGCCAGGCATGTCCGTCAGTGCACATGCATAATGTGACGCAACGCGCCACCCGGTCGAATGAAATTCCTTGCCTATGCAAAAGTAACTGACTCAAAGGAGTTCGATGCTGATTCTAATGCGCAGTTTTTCGCTGCATTCTGTCCATGCGGATGGCTGACGATTCTAAACAGAATTGGTGCTTTCAAATATAGAAACTTAGGTCTTCGGTTACCAATTCTGAACAGCGGCCCGTTGTCAATATGCTATCAAGCAAGACCGTGAAATATATCCGAGCTTATGACAAGAACCGAATCTACCGGTTCCACTAAAAGGGGGGTCGCAGGATCGCAGGGTCACACCCTGGCAGTTTTTGCGGGCCTAGAGGCCCCGACCCCCTGGACCGAGGTAAAAAAAAAAAAGGAAAAAAAAGAGAGGAACGAGTTCGATGCATATCCAGAATCCATTTAACCTGTACTTAGCAGAGGTCGGTTATGAAGGATCATAGTCACAGTACGTCAAGGTTGGGACGTGCACAACTGTGATTCATAAGAAATACTCCAAGGAACTTCCAAGGCTTCGGAAGCATGTGCATGCTGCCGGCATCTGACCGCCCCATCAGCTCAGTCAACCTGGAACTTGGGTGCACATCCAACTGTCGTTCAAAGATACCTTTGCCGAGAACGCGCCGACAAGACGCGAGAAGCTCGGCATCAGCAGCACTTCATGATAGGTTTGTACGCCGTTTTGACCTCCGCACTTGACTTTTGCATTATGCCCCCCACTGTTTACACCAGTCTCCAAACACACCGTCGAGCAAGAACCTATACTTTCCCACAGGCCTGGTCCGCGCGAGCGCGCCTGCCCACCTTAGCACAACCTTCTCCTGCTTTCCTACGGCTAACGAACAAAAGACGGTCCGAAATGTGTCCGCCGCTGTCTTCTTGAGTGTCCGGTGCTCGCACTGTGCTTTGATCTTCTCGAGCGCTACCCCGTGTTTGACGCACAGCGCGGACAGCCAACCCAAGCAGGACACGTGGCGGACGAAGGATTGTCTTGAGCGCTTAACCGAAGTTTCAAGCAGGCCTACGCTCTGGAAGCTCCCTCATCACCATCATGGCCTGAGTCGTTGCCTGCAGTAGAGCGTTCGCCGTCCCAAATCCTAGCTCGAGCACTAGCCCTGTTCCTAGGATTGTCTGAACAGACTCCCGATTGAGTCCAAGCCACTCCGAATCTCCTATCTCTTCAACAACCACGCGCAGCCTCTCAGAGCCGTCCATCTGGCTCTTGCTTGGAAAGAACTTGCAGAAGAACGGGCCACTTTCTAGGGACATTGCACCCTCCATCAATTTCCGCAAGAGCTCCTCGCCAAAGGCAGACCCGCTGTCGCTCTTCAGATCTGCCAGCCTTTCCTCGAGCTCCCCTGACAGTTCCAAACCCCAAATTCTCGAAGGTGACCAGGATCTCTTCCCTCTCATCTGAGGTCCATTCTGAGGCTTCCAAGTACTGCTTGCAATATGTGACCCCAGAATCCAACAGGAAGTATCTGCAAGCCCTCAGGACTGAGAGGGCTTGCGCTACTCCGTGCAGGAGAACCGGACGGCTTGCTGTTTCCACACCAGTGACAGCGATTCAGCGAGGATCTGGATAGCGAGAGAAGCAGCATCCGGATCCTCGCACCCCAGCTCAAACACCTTCACTGTCGTTGGACCGTTTGCATGGAGGCCGTTGGAAGCCCAGCGTTGCAGAAGCGCCGCAAAGAAAGGGCTCACGGTCAGCTTTCCGGGGTGAATAGCGAGCGTCCTTGAGTACGAAGTGGAGCTACTTGGAAGATCGGCTTCTATCTGCGGCGCTTCTTTGACCAATTTCAAGAAGACAAGCGGGTGACTGTTGTCCGGCGTGTCGAACTTGAAACTGATCTCCTGCCTCATGTTACTCTCTGCTTCAGTTGGCTCCATAACCTTGAGCCGGACCTGCTAGCTGCGTGCAATACAAATGGCGAAATCATTTTGAACAAACCACCTCACTAAAGTCGTCTTCTTGCGCTTTGAGAAGCGGGTGGCGCGGCCGCGCGCATGCGCTCAAACACTCGAAACCCTCGGCTCTGTAGAAAGTCAGAAACTTAGAGGCGCCGCGTGGCGCCGCGCCGGGACTACCGCGGCCGCGTCGCCGCGGAGGCGGCCGCGACGCTAGCCGCCATCAGACTTCTGCCAGGTTTGGATGACGAAGCAACGCATCCGAGGAGTGCCCGTCAGAACAGCTCTCGGTCTTTCTCCGAGTCTAGGGTAGCGAGATCTAAGAGCCGCATCTTGGAACCACCGGCATCTCATAACAAAAGCTTATAAGCTCAAGCCTCAAGGACCACACGCTCCTTGCAAACTTGGTGTGTCCTTCCAGCAAAGAGCTTTAAGGGACCTTCACAAATCTTTGAAACTCAGGTAGTGTTCTCCTCAACTAGGGACCGTGCGTTTCGGCTAGACAAAGAGTGGACACGTACTTCAGCACTCTTCGAACGTCACATTCTCTGTGGTAAGTCTCTTCTCGTACGCGTCCGTCTTTTGCGTGATATACAGAGGATTCACAAATTGCGTTGCACGAGAGTTCTGTGGATGTCTCAAGGTGGAAGTGAAAGCGAATGTCAAAATGGTCTCTCCTTGAGAAGAAAGTTTCTACTCTTGTTTTGATCACAATATACGTAATATACATCCCTATCAATCCATAGTCATGCAGTCTCGAGGGTATTGTTCCAGGGCTTTTGAAGGAGGATGCTGATGTCCAAGGTTTTTGTTTATGAGCCTCTTCTCGAAGGAGCGATGGAGCCTTTTGGTCATTGTTTACTACGCATATAATTGAGATTCTACCGAATTCGATGACAAGCAAGTGTTACCGCCAACTACGACAGGACGTCAACTAGGACCTGGAATGGTGATAAAGGCGGGATCTCATAAAAAGGTTCAAATAAAAAATCAGCGTCTTCGACCACTAGAAAGTCTTCGTATACACCATAGAAGATTTTTTGAAGTAGGAAGACCAGCCCTTCCTTTGTATCTGCGGTCAGTCTGCTGCAAACGTTCAGGACACATTGACTCTTTTGGTATCTCTCATTGCGTTTTGTTCACGCTCTTCAGACTTCTGCCTTACTCATGCTTTCCGATACCAAACTTTATCACGGAACAATACCTCCCTGTCCATGTCGTTCTGCCCTTTGATTGATTACTTAGATGGCGACGTGCTCCAGGTTCGCGTAGACGGGTCCAAATTCGGTGTCTTGTTGGGAGGAGGCTTGATCGATATTTACCAGCGTCGTTTCAAGTTTTGGGGAGATTGATGTCTTGAGTTCCACTCAGAAAAGTAAATTCTCCATATCCTCCTACTGTACAGCTTCATTCCGTATGATGCACAAACAAAGCGGCTAAGCTTCCACATCCAAAACTCAACCCCGACTGACATTTGTTAAAGTATCGTTCTCATAGCCAGAACTTTGGTGGATCGGCCCCAACCTTTTGGAGTCTCTTTAGCGCTTACAGGTTTCCGCAGATTTGTTGTTAGACACATCAAGTGACCGACCTTCTGTGTGTCTGCTTTCAGAGCAATTACGTAATCAAAACCCGCAAAAGAGTTAGCATTCCAGAACGTCACCAGCCAGAAGCAGAATTTCAGGATCCACTTTTTCAACTGCGCAGGCTTGAATCCATGGCGAATAGTGCGCCCGAGATTACATCCTTTCACGGTCTCTACCTCTTGATTGGTGTCGCCGTTGTCTGCGGGGACATCTTCTTCTACCCGGCAATCTTCTACTGGTGCTACAACAAGGTGGCCACAGGGATGTTTCAGCTCCCGCATATGAGCTACTGGATGGCGGTGCTATCTTGCCTGGTTATGCGCGCGCTGCTTTTCCAGCCGATGACGCGCGCAGACTTCGCGTTCTCATCCAACACTTAGAACTCGACCACAGTCACGAGAGGTAGCAGCGTGGTATGAGAGAGCAATCATACGCAGTTTTTGATAAACGGATATTGCAATCGGTGATTAGATAAGATTCCAGATCAGTTAAGACTGCTGTTTTCAGGAGACAGATGGGCAGACATTGCACAAACTGCGGGGTCATTAATGGTTTGTGAGAGAATTTCCACATCGCGTTCCCTTTCGATCGCATGTGTCCGTGCATCTAGCATTGCGGCTATTGGCCGTACATGGCACATTTATGGTGGGACGGATGTCAAGTGAATGACAGAGTTAAGTCACTCGACGAATTGCATATGCAAAACGTAATGAAGTTTTACGGCTGATCATGCCGTCCTGCACTTTTCAGCATCGGACTTTAGGTACACACAAGTTGCGCTTGTCAATGTTTCGTGAGAGCATGTTACATCGCGTTTCCTTGTGCGTGTGTCCGTAATAACCATTGTTGCAACCTATTGGAATGTTGGCATTCTTTTTGAGACGCATTCAGAAGTGATTGACAGTAGCTGAAGTAAGGTTTTCAAGTCTTGTGGTGTATGAAAAATGAGTGAAGTTGTGGCTGAGTATGCCGGTTTGCTCACGCAACCAATGCACATGATCTACGTCTAGGAGAAACATTCCAGACGATGCAACTAAATATATGCATAGTGGATTGAAGATGCAGTCGACTGATCTGAGGATCAATCTGACGTTGAACGCGCTCAATTTTGTTTGTCAGTATGGGGTGCATGGGTCAAAGTTCAATGGGCTCCTCCTTTGGATCCATCTGAGCAAGATTAGGTCCACTTGAACAGATTCCGATGACCCGACGGTTTCATTTGGTGAATCGTGTTGATCAGCTCGTTCAACTCGTAAAGAGCCTTTTGAAATGGAGGTGCATGATGCCAATTAGTGTATACATATGAAGTACAAAATTACAGCCGAAACGACCGCGGTAAGAGCGACTTTGGTCCGATTCGCGCCATGAAAGTGTCTCTCATTTGTGCCAGGTTTTTGCTGTGCACAGGTGACCAGTCTCACAACGCTCATCCTTGTTACCGCCAGTCCGGAATGGTCTTTACGTTCCTCATCTTGGCCGCGGCTGACATTCCCGGCAAGCCCCCTTCCGTTTTGCTCGATCGCCGCCTCCCCGCGTCCGTACTCCGACTGGCATGCGAACCAACCATACTCTGCCGTTTCTCATGTACAAAGCCCCCGGTAGGTGACTTCCGGGCGCTGCTCTCGGGCACCGCTCCTAGACCCCGCGCCCGCGAGCGCTCATAAGAAGGCGGCTCAGCGGATCCGCTATGGCCAACGCTGTAGCTTATCCGGTGGCTCGTCAACGTGCTCTGCTCCTCTTCCTGCTCCGAGTCCGTCGAGTATTCTTGCGCCACGTGGACGTTCCTATTCCGCCTATCAGACGCAGCCGTGTTCGACCGCCCGTACCGATCCTCGCCGTCGCTCACCGACCCGTAACCCGCCTTGTAGTTAACGCTGCTCTTCCGCCGGAAGCTCCCCTTAACGCCCCCCCGTCCGCTGTGCAAGTCCTTTTGCAAGCTCGCAAGCTCGGTCCCGAGCCTCGTTATCTGCTTCCGCAAGTTCTCATTATCCTTAACCATCTTGGAACCCGCCGCCGTTTCGTCGCCCTCCATCGCCCTGGATCCCCACGCCTCCTCCATGTTTGCCCTTACCAAGCCCTTAACCGGCGTCCTAACCTCCGCGTCGCTGTCCGACAGATCGTCCGCAGCGCTCGCCCAGCTCTCAGACGACAACGCGTTCCCGTCGTCATTTCGCGAGGGGCTGCTAACCGTCCGGTTAGCTGCGGAGGTCTGCTCGCTAACCCATCCTTCTCTCCGCAGGCTGGTCGGGCGGGTTATCCTAACCGGGCTCCAACTCCGCCCTTCTTGGCCCGCTTCGTAGGTTTCCTCGTCACCGGAGCTCCTTTCACCGGGCGCAATTTCGCCCCTTCTGAAGGCGAAACTTTGGTCGGAGCTAATGCTCGCGGAAGAGGCGGGTCGCTGTGACAGGCCTTCCCGGCTCGGAATACTTGGCCGGGGACTGTTTCCGGCGCTGCGGGTATGTACCAAAGAGAACGGGGAGGCCTTGTAACCGCCCGTCGGGTTGCCCCGGGGACTCACGGGGGGCGAACCTGCAGCAGAAAGTGGCATCGCGTTTACGGACGGTAGAGCTTTTCAGACACTATCACAAGTATCTTCCGCGAGTGGAAGAGTCTTTCTGGAGAGTTGCGAAAGTATATCGTTTCGGGAGGCCGGCAATCTAGAGCAGAATCGCAGCATCCTGGATACATGGAAGGTGAACGGATTTTGAGGATTTTGAGGATTCCATTTGAGGATTGCAAATGCTCATTGAGCACTACCACTTCAGAGACTAGCAGCAATCAGAATAAACACCCTGTAGTTCCTGTAATTGGTCGTCGTGCTTACCTAGACTTCCGGGATACGTGCTCAGTCCGTTGGCGACAACGCTCGGCGGTTGCGCCGTCACGGAGGGGGAGGACGCTGGGCGGGGGCTCGGGAGGGGCGACTTGCTGCGCGGGGGAGACGCGTGATGGTCGCCCCCTCCGCCAAAGCCCATCGCACTGCTGCTCTGAGCGTGCGACTGGGCGTAACTGCCCCTCGCGTTTGCGTTAACCCCGTTCTGGAAGGCCGCGAGATAGCCCCCCTCCGCGTGCGCGGCCGCGCTCTGGGCGGCGACCGGCGCGGCCGCGTCGCGCGCCGCGTTGTCGCCCAAAACGCTGGCCCGGTATTGCTCGGGGGGAATGATTTGCAACATGTCGAGACGCATTTTCGGGCGGTTTTGCCCCCCTGCGCCGTCTTTTTGGAACCGGTTCGCCCCCGGCCGGATGTTGGGGACTTGGCCTGGGCACCCGTTGTCGTCTATGGTTATCCCGTTTTCGGCGGCGACTTGGATGATCTGCGCGTGGTCTAGGCCGGTCGCCTCGAGCACCTGCCAAAGGCTGTTGACGACGTCGCTCTGGTCCTGGATGATCTGCAAAGCAAGACGAAAACAACGGGTTGAAAGAAAACTTTTGCTTGAACCCTCCTCCGTGTCTGTCTTACCAATTTGAGAGGCTACATCGAGTCTCTGCTCCGTTCTCGTTTGAGTAGTGCAGGTCCTCGTGATTCAAACTTTTAGCTTACAGTGACACGCAGGCAAGAGATATTGGACGGGGAACGTGCCTTTGGGTTTTCGGACGCACATTCATTAACAACTTTCCTTTCTTTTTGTCAGTCAAAGCGTCCGGATGTCCCTGAATACGAGCAGCTACCATAGTTCTCACCTGATCTCTGATAGCCATCTGAATCTGGAGCTCCATGTTGGTCATTCCCAACAGCCGGTACTGGCTGAGTATCCGTAGGAAGGTGGTGTTGTGGTCACTCTGGATGGCCGAGTCAATCTTTTTCTGCATGACAACAGAACGCGTAGTGCTGAGAATCGGGAATAATGCATACAGGTCCTCGTGTGGTCGAGTCACTGAACCAAAGCATTGAAAATCTGCAGATTGGGGTGTCGCCTTTCCGGGACGGAAAGGTGGGTCTGTCACCTTGCTTTTGGAAGCGCTAAAATTCTGGTGTGACATGTGATTAACTTGCTCAGAAAATTGCACAGCCAACAAAGCTCGTAAAGTGAATCCTTCCTCCACAGTACTTTTTAGCAATGCTCCCTCTTTAAAAATGACTTTGCATGGTTGAGCTAGTGAGCCGTTGACACTAAAGAAACAACTTACACGGGCAGTGGACCTATAGAAGTTCGACAAGTGCGATCCACATTTTGTTAGCAGCGCAGTTTTCTGATTTACCTGCAATTCTTTTCGCAGGGCCTCGTTGTTGGAAATGTCTGCCTTGTACCGCGCGCTGGCATCCTCGTTCTCGCGCAGGTTTTCGAGAGCCATCTGATGTCGTTCCTGCAGTAGTATGAAGGTCTTTTACACAATAAAGCTGCACCGGCCAACGATTCAATCAATTTTCCCGATTGATCCAAGGGATCAGAGAAGTCTGAAATTATTGGATCAAGTAGGATCAGGAGCCGCAACAAGAGCAAGCAACACCATCTATCTCAGACAAAGAAACTTGGTCTGCAGACTGAATTTTGTCGGCAGTGATAAGGTTGGATGCACTTTAGTCACGAACGCAATCCTTGATGCTCGGACCAAGGAAACGAACAAAGCAGGCCTGAATTATCTACTTTCTCACGATCAATAATACACAGAATCTTTTCACGGCTCTTCACGAGCCTATAAAGAGTCAGGATTGAAATTGTAGCTTGAGAAAACTTTCATACCCTAAGGGTTTCTAGGTCGTCGTCTGGAGCCATCTCCCCTCCCTCCACGCGCGCTATCGCCGCCTCGATCTGCTCCACCTCGTTTCTGTTCTCCAGCGTGATGTCCTCCAGTTCGAACAGAGCCTTTTGCAGGTTGATCCGCTCATCCACATTCTCGCTGATCTCGGTACTGCAAACCGGAGGTAAAGCCGTCAGAAATCAAAAGCTCTGGCTTTAAGCCTTTAAATGCTGGCCATACATTCGTTTTTCCTAAGGCTAAAGCTCCGGCATTCTGACAGCTCTATATGCGGGCCATCTCTGCTGATTCTAAGAATGAAGATATGGAGAGGAAGACCAGTTCGAGCCTTGTCGTTCGGCCGAAGAAGGAAGCTCTGTATTCTGGCCGGATCGTGCCTGCAAATTTGACTGCGGAGTTGGAGAGAAGAATATTTTGTAACAGACTACCCTCTCGCTATCGGTCAAGATGAAAAGCCTTGTGTGAAATCCATGTTTTCACGTTCTCTCTAACGTCGGTAATACGGAAAAGTGAATGATTCAATTTCTTCTTCCAAGCCGGGAACTGTAGGGTGGCAGCTGATACAGCAGCTGTACACGTTTTTGAAATTCACCTGAGAACGTCGAGCCAAGCCAACTCAGCATCTTCCGACTTTGAGTCCCGCGCCGTCAATTGCGTGTCCTTCTCGGTCAACTGCTTCCGAAGGGTCTGTACCTCAATCTGCAGTAAAGGTAACCATTCAAGCGGCAGTTCCTTTACAGAATTTGACTGACGTCGGTACACAGGCGTTGCTGAAGCAGAAAGCAAAGGTTGGCGCTTGCAAGATGTTCCGAGGCATCACTCGACTTCGTGTCGTAAATCCCACGACGCCGTGCCAGCAGGCATCGTCGGAGGCGGAACCAGTGAAGAGGAGTGCAAATTTTTCCACTTGAAACCACTGCCAACCTCAAAGGAATGTGAGCAGCTTACCTGTAGTCCGTCAATCATCTTCTGGTAGTCTGAGATATGACTCTCCACCGTGCCTACGTTCGTCTGCAGCGGCAGAAATCAATTCATCAGAGCTGTGCGGAACTTAACCTTGGCATAACCGAGAGCTTTCTGAAAGCCTTGTAGCACTGCTTGTGAAGGAAGCGGAGGTAGCTCGCAGGCGGTACATCATATAATTTCCAAGAATGCTTTTCAGCACCAAGCTTAGGCATGTGGGCTTACCCGTATGTGCGTCTTGATCTCTTTGGCTCTGTCCGCATACTTGAGCGTGTTGGTCGTGTGCTGATACTGGTCGCTGCTGGAGGAGACTGTGGCAATCATAGCCGTCCGCGAGTTGCCGCTAAGGCCGTCTTTGAGAAGCCGCGTCAGCTTACTGCAGACGAGAGAACAGTGAAGTGTTGCTTGGTCCAATAAATATTGAAAATTGAAGGGCGCTGATCAGGAAGTGAAGAAGTCTGATAGACAGAAGATGACAGGCTAAGTTTGAAAGCTTGGGTCGCGGTGCTAGGCAGACCCTCGGCAAAAAGGGCTGGCGCACCTTCGGAATCACGGAGTGGGTGAGGTCTTGTCGACAAGTTTCTATCCCCCAAATCTACAAATATCAGACTGATCCGCGTGCTCGTCAGCAGATCTCTCAGTTGAGGAAAACCTATAAAGTTCAAGAGTCCAACGTGTCCAGATAAACAAGGCGACGTAAAGATTCTCACCTGTTCCTATAGGGCACATACGAGAGCCCCTTCTTTCCCTGCTTTCCAAGCGCGTTGATGCAGTTCGCCAGCGCAAGAAGGCTCCGGTTGATGTTGGCCCCGTCTCGCAGCTTCTGCCCCGCGTTATTCGTCTCGCTCGCGCGCTCACTGCAGGCACGTGAAATAGATTGATCCATTGAAAGCAAAGTTTAGCGATCATTCTCCCCTGTCTGTTGCAAGAAAGGGAAGCTGCGCTGATAGAGAGTCAAAGGGATTTGTGGCCCTTTCCCTTCGATCAAAGTAAGGAGAGTAGTGCAATGTCTGTTCGAGACGTCACGTGTTGCAAGTGGCTCATCCGTTATCGCAGTATAAGTTTCACGAAGGAAGTTTCATAGTTCCAGATTGTACCCACCTGCCAGCCAGGTCTACAAGGGACAGCTTCCCTTTCAAGACCGGGGCGTTGTAGTTGTTCTTCTCCTTCCGCTTGACGACGATTTCCAAAACAGCGTGTGACCTGCAGCGGTGATTGAGACAGCTCGTCGCCGCGTACTCTTGTTAGCGAATCTCATACAGTTAGCAATACAGTTAGCAGTCAGCGAATCTCATACCCTATGCGGTGTCCATTGCTAAAGCCCTTAATGTGATGCCCGGGTCTTAGGACAAAGTGAGGTCGACTCCTATCATTGCCGACGTCAACTTGTTTGCGACAATTCTGGTAGAGGCAACGCTCCAGACGTTGTCCAGTCCGTCCTGCCCTAATAGTGAACTCTGGCCCTGCTTTCAAAGCCATTGGTCGATTCTAAACTGGAAGCTTACGATCGAGCGTCTGACTCTGCGGCTCACCTTGAGGAGGTTGCGTTGGCATCCGTGGACTCAGTTTTCCGCCGGCTGTTTCCCTCCTCGAGCAACTCCAAGATGCGGTCAGCCGAGTTGACCTAGAGGAAGGATGACGACTTAAGACAGGCTCTCGTGGATTCACTGTCTCTTACATCTGGCTATAATGGAGAGGTTTGACTCTCATTCAAGATATGAAAGCGTTAATTCTCGTGGGGCCGCGCCAGAACCTCTGCTTACGTGCTCCTTCGGAAGAAGCATTGAGAGGGCGGACAGAGTAGGACTCCGTGAGGTTCCTTAAGGTCGTCGGGCAAACTGTAGAGCTTGCAAAACAAGCCAGCAAGAATCCTCATGTCGGCAGCGTCGGAGGGGGAACCCGACTTAGGCCCATTTCTCCCGCCCAAAATAGCCCTGCGATGAGTGTCACAGACAGCTCCCTTGACTGACCTGAATCTTCTTCAGCCCCGCAATCGTGATGCCCTGTTCCGGGTCTTCCCTCAACTCCAGATGGCCCGAAGATCGCTCCAGCAGATCGTAGATAACTTCGTTATACACCTCAAGGTACGAGCAAGTGACTTCAAAATCTATCTCGGTCTCCATCTGAATCCTGTTGAAGATGTCTCGCAGGCTGAGAACCATAAGCCCGGGGTCGTCTTGAGTCCCAACCATGGTGTGAGTCTTTCCACTGCACGAAGTCAACGGAAGAACGGTTGTTCATAAGTAGGTCCTTCAACAAGGAACCAGGTTCGTATAATAAGATTCAGATTTTACCATTCTGTGCTCACGAAGAGAGGGCTCCATCCCCCATGAAAGTGTATGCGTCTTTCAAACAGTATCGCTGCGGATGAGTCGCTGAAGGTCTTGCCATCCACAAAGAGTGTTCTCTTTTCTTGACCACCTGCCACTTACAGCCGGTGAAATTGAAGAGGTTAGGTGCTCTAGTGTCTGCTCAAACCGCATAAGGAACTAAGCTTCCGCGAAATGGTACTAGGGCTCTGCATAAGATGAAAAGAACTTGGCTTGCGGCTCTCCCTCACCTTCCTGTTGCTCCGTAAGCGAAGATCGTCGAAGTGAAGCCTTTGACGACGTTGGGTACCAGCGTGCCAACGGTTCGTTGGTATACGACCTGCATCGCAGAGAACCATGAGAAGCACGCCTTCGATAATCCAGCCAGAAGGTCGAAGATTCGAGAAGATGTGTACAGAAGGTAAGTCTGTAGAAGCCCTAAGATCCTTGCACCCTCCTCTCATCTACTTTGCACTTTCTCACTTCCTAAGATCTTTTCGTGGCTTCGCTAGTTCGATGATGAAGGGACAACTCGCGAGCAGCGCTCTCCTTCATAAATACTGAGCTCTTTCGTCCGGCCAAGTCGGACATGATCAAACACATGATGGAAGCCCCGAAAGTCAAGCGAGAATGCCTTTTGACTTCCCCAAGGCTGACACAATGATGAAGTTGCCTTGCAAATGTTTACCTCATTGCTGTTTGTGTAATCGAAGGCCAAGTCAAACGCATACTGCTTCTCCTTGCTTCGTCCCTGCACCTTGTCAAGATACTCCTTTGCGATGTCCGGGTCAAGAACCACCACAATCTGCAGGTGCGAAAGGGACAAATGAACGATCAGACTAAAGCATGACTCTGGAGTCCGTTGTATGTTGCAGTTGCCAAGCATACAGATTGTATCCGGGCTTTGCATACGCTGACGGGTCATCTAGAAGGTGAATATCTAAATTGGTCTTTCTGCCCAACGCTTCAAACAATTCTTACAAGGTTATTCCGGGATGTTGATCGTGCTGGACTCAAGACAGACACTAGGGACGCATTCCATGACTTGAAATAGTAGCCAAGACTTGCACGCATACCTTGTCATCTACAACCCGTAGGATGTCCCGGAATCTCAGCTTCTCCTTTGCATTTAAGGGTCTGCAGCGGACAGCAACCTGCGAAAGCAAAAGGCCGATTTTTGTGAGCTCAAGCAGTGAGTAACCTGAAGGTGTTGTCAGCATCCGAAAAAAGGTCCTGCAAATCAGCGAACGACTATCTGACTTTGCTTGCGCAGCTCTTTATGTTGTCGGATTGCAGAATAGAAGGGAAGCAATTGAGGACAGCGCATCTGAGGGTAGAATGTATGAAATTTGTTTTGCAGCTCTTGAAGATAGAGGCCCGAGTTCTGAGCTGAATGCCACACGTTCATGAAGCAACATGCGACGAGTCCCCTGCAACGTGGTCACTCTACCAAGCATAAACGAAGAGTTCGTATAAGCACCAGAGATGTAAGAACGAAGCAAACAGAGCGTGGTATGATTAGGGAAGCTTTTCAACGTACCAGCAGGGTGGCTGTCTCGCTCTGAAATGGAGGTCGGAAGTTGATGGACTTCGACATCCTGTCAAACCTGGAGAAAGACTGTGTGCGTTGACTGATTTCAGGCCCAGAATGAGTTTCGTAAGCCTAACACCAGAGCAGCAGAATGGAAGGACAGACATCAACGTGACACGTTGAGGCTTCCACTATAATGCTCTTGAAGAGTAGAGTGCAATCTGCTATGACTGCTTTTTGAGCTGTTTACCATCACCACCATGAAGAGGGTGGCGTTGCAGAAGTCTTACATCTGATTCATGATGCTGGTTTCCTACAAGGTCCCAATGCGGGGGTTGCACTGCAAGCCCCTCCCTTGCCTGCGCTTCCCAGCAAGCAAACCGACACCCATGCTGAGCAAACCTTTGCTTGCGGCTCTGGATGTTTGCCCTTTGTTGGGACAGCTAGCTCATCTGCAGTTGCTTCTGGCCTTTTGGCATTGAGTGAGAAAACATCGCTTGGCCACAGATCTCTGCTCTTGCCCGTCCGCGGCAGGCAATGCTGCTTTCAGAAAATCTGCCCGCAGGGTGAGTTACAAGTGATCCTCAACGTGGCTGATCTCTGACTTCTTCCACTGTGTTCGTATTGCCTCCACGTCTTTTGATCCCCCGTCTTTGGTTGCTCACCCATGCCTACATCCGCTTTCTTACTACGATGCCCTGGCCAGAGTGAGTTCTGACCAGTCCTGCCACGCCCTAATCGTAAATCTTATAAAGAGGACATTGCTCAAGGCCCTTTGGAGAGAGCCAACGTTTTGAATGACCTTCTTGAGAAAAGCACGCTAGATGTCCCTATGCCTTTCTCTTCCCAGGCCTTTCCACTAGACAGTCCGTAATGCTGTCACCTTTTCAACCTCTTAGAGCGTTCACGCTTCTTCCATGGTCAAAGTCCTTAGCAAGCGCCCCATTCCTGCTCGAATTGTTGGAATATCACTATTGTTGGATCACTATTGCAGGCCATATATCCATGCTGCGGCATTGCTCTCCAAGCAATTGTCAGAATCGACCCTTATCCAATGCATGATTCAGGCAGTACTCTTAGAAGATCGATTGCCATCATTGTAATGCCAGAGGTTTGGAGTTCTCCCTCAGACTGCTCAAAGTTTTTATGATGGGGCGCCATGAGGTATACATTCAATTCGGCAGGTCCATCATTGCAATAACAAACTTGGCGGATCTGCATGTATAAGCGGACTGCCCAGCACTGGGCAAATCGACAGATTTGAAATAGTTCAATCGTGCAATCTGCCGTGCTAGCCTGGGACCCATGGCAAAAGAGTGACCGTCCGATTGATTTGCGGCCATTATTTTTATGGTCATATTTGGTCTGCAAGTCCCCGCAGTTCCCAGGAACATCCACGTGTACAATTACAGAGTGCACAAGAGGGAAGAAATCGTCTAGAGCTCTCTACGTGCAGGCTCGTTTGTGCGCGCCAGAGTGCGCACCAGTACTCAGGCTAAGCTCCTGCCAAGCTCTTCACTGTCAGAACCTGCGGTATTAGAATTCTAACATCCTGTATTGCTGGATGCTGAAGCTATTGTTCAATAGGAACCATCCGACCGACAATTTCAGCCATATGCTTGAAGCAGCACTCGCGCAATTCTCAATTCGCACATTGAGGGTCAGAAGGTTAACCTCTCCCTGTGCACGACAGCACGTCGACGAGCAGGTCGTGGTGCGCGCGCCCCTATATCCCCGTGGCCGGGCGACATTGAGTCTGCGCGGCCGCACTAATCCTTCTTCGCGGCCGCCCTTTCAGCTCGCACCTTTGGCTCATGCACAGGGTTTGCCTGCACAAGCTGCAGCACATTTCCATGCAAGGTGCTTTCTGAGGTAGCTCTTCTACAATGCCCAATGCCAATGGCTACCTTGGGAGTGGTTAAGGCGCACACTTCCAGCAGGTTCTGCTGTAGGGCATCGGAGTCTGTTGCTCTGGATTCCTTCAAGTTAGGCCCCAAGCTGTCCGTAGTCCAAGGAGAAAATTCTGTCAGAATGCAGAGCGTGAAGCAGCCTAATTGCAGCCTTAGTGGTCACTTACAGCTGAAAAGAAGTTATAATCGCTTTGTATCAGGGAATCGACGAAGTTGCCAGCAAGCAACATCGACACGCGCCAAGTTTCACATGCAATGCAGAATTGAGCAACCATGCAGGGTCTCCAACGTGGTCTCCGACGTCAGCGGCAGAACATTCAAAAGTACCAAAGGGCAGTTCCTGTCAGGAAAGGGCATGCTTAGCCGTCAAGCATGTATTCTGCCAATTACACGCAAAGTGTCGCTCAACAATACTAAGCCTAACAAGAGCTGCATCGCAACATGTTCCTCAGACGCGCAAAGTCAAGCTGCCACAACATCAAGGCCAGCGTCCAGGGGCGTTCCGCCAAGTGGCGCCGCCAGAGCGAGTCTCCAGCGCCTCACCACTGGCCTACTTACCGCTGCCATTGCGCTGTCCGCTCTTCCAGGCCCTTCAATTGCCAGCAGGTATGTCATCTCTGCGCACCAGTTGTCAGAGGGGCGAACTCAGAATGTAGGTGCGATATGGTGGTTATAGGGCTTCTTTATGTTTACTGAAGGAAGAAGTAGAACGGAAGAATTTCCCTTGGGGAACTGAAGCAGATTGGCTGTTCGCAGCGTTTGCTTTCTTTATGGCAGAGTTGGGGACAAATGGCACACCTTGGAGCAGGTGCCAGCCTCCCTGGATTCTGAGGAATGATAGGGAGGTGAACTGGCTAAGTTCCATTCCTATCCCTTGTTGTTTATTGTCATCGAACCATGTCGCTCTACAAACTAACTATCTCCTTATGAAAAACCTTGGCCCAGAGGAGTGGATGGCATTTGGTACAGGGGTGTGACCCCAAAGCCTTGTGTGTAGACCCCCTGAGGATCGTTAGATCATCTTCAGATCTTGCTTTGAGAGCCGAGCTGTTACAGGGTACCAGCAATAGATTAGCAAGTCAAAAGGCACCTGCTTTCGTTTGTATTCTTGCGATGGCGTTGCACTCTTTCATTTGCCTCGGGTGGAAAATTATGCCACTTGCTGAATTGTTCACATAAGTTTTGGCCCCATCATATGACACTTTGATCAGTGCAGCTCGTTGGTTCGGTTTGAAAGAGCGCAAAAAGGCTGGTGCATCTCGTCCGGCATCTGATGCTGCTTCTTGCCCTTTCCCTTTTCAGCTGAGTCAGTATGTCAATCTGAAAGTTTGGAGTCAAAAGGATCAGTTCAACCGCCTGACTGCAGCATCTTACAGCCAACCCCTTCCCAAGCTGAGCAGCCAGTGACATTTATCTTCTTCCTTTTTCTACATCCTCTAGTATAATGGAATGAAACCATTACCTAGTTCGTATTCTCCATCAATTAAAAAGGTCAGACTCGATCTTCCGTGCAGCATCTCTATCCAGCCGATCCCCGATCCCACAGCGCAGAGTCTCAAGATGAGCAGTCAACAGCTCCATGCTGGGGAGGACTTCGTCCGAGGGAAGGAGGCGCCTCCGCTCCCTGCCGACTTCCCCCCTCTGCCAGATGTAAAGGAGCCTGCTTACACCAAGGTGAGCTCAAATCAGCCTTCCTCCAGCTTTTCTTGCGTTCGTTCCCCTCCTCTTTCGGAGGTACAGTTAGCTGTGTGAGAAGTCTTTGTGTGAGCTAATTTGTCTTTTTGTAGGACAATCTGCTAGGCCTCTAACTTAGTTACTCGGAAATAGGTGGCAATCTCGAGTTCGGCACACAGGGAATCGTATATTTGAGAAACAGGCCCAAAGGAACCGGCTCTCGCCTCATGCTCAATTAACCCAACCCGCTAAGAGTTGTGCCAGCCCACCTTGTTGCTCTGGCAGTGAGGTCATACGAATCAGCTGATCGAACCTGAGCGAGAGACATATATTCGTTCTTTCGTCTTTCTTAGCCCTTTAACTGGCCTGGTCTCGGACCAGACACCGGCTGAATCGGGGGGCTGCTCTTATGTACTTCTTGAGGAATTCTGAGTACTGGGGGTAGAGTTTCTCAGGATTTGGAGTCAGCTTTGTGGTGAACTGACAAAGATTCTCAACCCAGTCTTGACACTTTCCTTTGTAGCTGGTGCTTCCAAACGGGCTCCGAGTTTTTCTTCTGGAGGACCACGAGCTTGGTTTAGTGGGGGGTCAACTCCTGGTTAAGGGCGGAACGAAACGCGTCCCAAAAGACAAGGTCAGCATATGTCTCTGAACTGAGAAGATGTTGTTCCTCACCGACCTATGTCTCGCTTCCATCAAATGGGAACAAGAAAACTCTCACTGACCTAGAAGAAGCAGCGAAGAAGACCGTTTGGCTACTTCTGTGATGGCCATGATGTATGCGTGGACACCCCTTGTGTTGCACTTGGCGGACTTCGTTTAAAGAACGAGGAGAAGAGCTTGTTGCCCACCGAAACGATTGACCATCCAAAGTTCTTGCCTATCACCCAGTGTGATAGGCAAACTGTCTCTGGCATCGCTGGGCACTTGTTGCAATCGCCGCGTCAACACGAGACGATGTGTAATCAGCCTAAGCAGATTGCCGCCATCGTCACACTTGGCATCTGCTGACGGTATATTTGGCTGGCAACGGGTTGCAAACTCCAACACAAGACTCATAAGTTTTCCTGCCTAGTTCCTTTCAGATTGGGCTGGCTGCTATGACGGCAAATGTGATGCGGTCAGGCGGGTCCTTCGATCACCCAGCAGACCAGCTCGACGAACGACTAGAGGTGAGGCGCTACAAAGCGAACTTATATCAATAGGCAGGCATTCTGGATGAACGATATGTGGACGTGGCTCAGCGCTCCGAGTTGCAGAGAACCTTTGCAGGATCTGCTGAAGTAGAATGAAATGGAAGATCTGCGTTTCACGCGGCCGGGAATTAGTTGTCCTTCCTCTGACGGTTTCCGAACATGCGTTATTCGACGGTGTCTCGGATACAATTGCTTCTTGGTCGCCCCGCTTCTTCCCATACTACATGTCATGTAGAACCTAAAATATGTATTCGAGGGAAACCAACTCTCCATTGTCATTTAAAGTAGATAATTTTACCTCTTTGGTGTCGCATCGAAACGGTTCTATGAGGTAGTACTTCTGTCCATCACGACCGTACATCTCTGAAAGACCACTTTGCTTTTCGTAGCCAAAAACGTTCAGCTGATTGGCGGTCTGCTTATTCCGCTGCAGCGGCTTGCTGCCGGCATCGAGGCCGGTGCGAGTACATCCACGATGTCGCTCTCCTTCGGCTGCCTAGCAGAAGACTTAGGCGAGGTGTTCGGACTCTTCAAAGAAGGTACGAGATCGGAACCTTCCTTGCTAGTCAACATAGATTGGATCCTAAGATCACTACGTGTTCAAACCGACTGGCTCGATTCGTAATATCACCCATCGCCAGATGCGCTGAGTCCGAACCGCTTGTTTATCCTGTTGATGGCTTCCCCTAATGAGTCCTTTTAACACATCCGAGGTGATGCTCATAAGAGATTGCATCAATCCGAGGTAATGATTATAAGAGATTGCGTCAATGAAGAACAGCTTGCCTCTTTAGCGCTTGAACTTCGTTTCAAATACGTTTCGGTATGCTTCTGGTCCAAGCTGAGTCGTATCCCATGTGTCCTCCTTTGCGCCCACGTGATCCACTGAAACAACAGCACTGCTTATGAGTATCGGAAATGACCCCTCGCTCTTTCCGTCGAACGCAAAACCTGAGGAAAAGAAAGTCTTGCTTTGTTCTGACAGTGGCGACCAACCCACGCCTTCCGGAGGACAAACTGAAGCTGACGCGCGAGCAGCTACTAGGGCGCATTGCGCGTAGAAACGATGACGTAAGCAGGACCGCTGTGTTACGCGTGTATTGAAGACCGGCATCTGGTCAGCGGACTTGAGAGCCTTCTTGATCAAATGAAACACTCAACGCACGAGACAATGGAACAAAGACAGTTTCAAGGGAAGCGGTGTCTGATATGTTTTCGGTTGTTTCCTTGTGACCGTCTTCTTTGTTGGTGTTGCCGAGATCGGGCTCGCGACAAGTAAACCACTGCCGAAATGGCTCCGAGTAGAGAATATGCCATGCGGACGAAACTCAAATGCTTGCACTCAAAGAAGGCCAGTCTCCGCCAGCGTAACTCTTCCGGCTTCTGCAGATGAGTATCAGCCCAATGGGAAAGGGGTCACAAAGTGAGGCTGATACTCATGATTATGGAGAAAGATCCGAAGCACAGTCCTCGCTTTGCAGCCAGGGGGTATCGCCGGGCGCGAGATGCCGAAGCTCGTGTACGGCAAGGACAGCATCTATGCGCGCGTTGCTGACGTGGGCACCGTCAAGGCGGTGACGAGACGCGATGTGGAGGACTTCCATATGGCGAACTTTCGGTGAGCCTTTAGAGGACTGATTTTAAATGGGCTATGCTTTTTTCAAATGTTAACTAGTTTTGAAAGCGGGCTGCGCTCGTTGCAAGCCTAACTGAGGCGTCCTCGTATCTTGAGCAGTTTCTATCCACCGAGGAGAAAGTCTGTGATTCCAAAGCGAATCCATTACACGCTTACCCACGTGTTCGAATCCCGAAAAGCTTGTGATTAATTCTAATCTTTCTCGGGCCTGAACACGGCGCGATGGTATCTGGGGCGGCTTTGCCGCTTAGAATCGAGCAACTCTCTTGGGCCGCCTTCACTCCAGGCGATGATGCTGATAATTGGTTTGCAATACTGTCAAGAGTCGGGAGAAGTCAAGTTGCTCTCCTCGTCCACTTCAATGGGAAAGAATCGAGATTGATAAAAACCCTGATATTGCAGGCCTGAGCAAGGTTTGCTGGGCATCTGGGGCGGCTTATCCACGTTGGACCTCCAAGATTCAAGCGAGATGGTCTCCTAACCCTAAGAAAGGAAAGTCAAATGTCATGAGAGATAAGCTCGCGGGCTTTCTATGAAGAAAAGAAAAACGCAATGCTTGAAAGGCGGCTGTTTTGTACAGGCCTGAGCAAGGGGTCCTGGGCATCTGGGGCGACTTTTCCACTGCCGACGTCCAGAAGCTGACCGAGCAACTCTTTGCGCCTTCACTTTGAGGTTTACCTGACAGCAAATCTCAGCTTAAGCAGGAAAGCCTGAGTACTAGTTTTTCGTCTTCCGCGAACGGAAAGGGATAAAGCAAAGAAACCCCAATGTTGCAGGCCTGAACAGGGCGTGTTGGGCATCTGGGGCGACTTTTCTACTGCCGACGTCCAGAAGCTGACCGAACAACTCTTCGGCGCTTGGAAACCGCCGACGCCATACCTGAAGGGCACACCCCTGCAAGAGTATCTGGACGGGGAGCCTGCTGCAAACGAAGTGGGCACCAGCGAGCAAAAGAGGGTTTACTTGGTGGACAAACCAGGGTTAACGCAAGGGTGAGCAGGGTTGAGTTCGTTTGAAACTCGGGGTAGCAAAATTTTTGCTCAGCTCTGAAAGGGTCGTGGCAAACTTGGATTGAAGGCAGAACGCAAAAGAACGTGCAGATGACGGTTTACTTGGTCAACGGTCCAGGGTCAACGCAAAGCGTAAGCTGATTTACTTGGTAGGAAGCTGGTGTAATGGAATGTTTGGTTTTGGTCTGTTTCATCGTCGAATGGTGCTTATGCAGTGTGGGGCGGCTGAAGAACTCCTACATTTCAATCTTTTGAAATTTTACAATCACGAGGCTATCCAGAGCACGTGACACTTTGCAAACGCTGTCTTCATCGTCTTCGTTCTTTGTTCTTAGGTACGTGCGATTCGGAGAGTTAGGAGTAACCATCGACGATCCCGACGTGTTTGCTCTGGACGTCCTTAACAACGTGCTGAACGGGTTCGGGGGCCGTCTCTTTAACGAGGTGGGTTATGCTCTGGTTATCCATGAGTTAACAGTTGTCCGTGCTATCCGTGGTTCATGGATGGCCTTATCCGTGGATTGTCCGAAGGTTTCCCTTGAATTGTTTTCTTGGGTCATCAATGAGTCAGCCGTGCTTGTTCCAACTCACTGCCTACCGTCTGTCCCACTTTCCCCCCCACTTTTTTCCCTTTCCTTTTGGCTCTGGCCTAAGCTGCTCTTCAAAATCTTGCGGGCTTCAGTGCTTTCCGCAAGCGAGGGCTTATAGGTCCGCATGTCTTGCGCCAACCTTGCGTCAGCAGGGGCCTTGCAATTTTTTTACTTGGACCTTGTCGATTCAAAGCCTGGAGACACCCGAAGATCCGTGCTGATTTGTCGGCTAGAGCTTTGACCTCTCTTGCATACGGTATGCGGAAGGGATACGAAGTTGCTTCTAACTTATCTCAAGAATGTTGTCTTCTCCATGCAGGTCCGGTCAAGAGAGGGCCTGGCTTACTCTGTCTCGGGAGGCTGGTCGCCCGCCATTGACCATAAGGCAAGTGCCCTTTCTATAGGTTCTTGTCCTTTCCCAAAGCTTTTGCAGTCTCATTAAGCTCATGCATAACCAACATCATTCGAGCCCCCCAGATCTACTGAAAGTAATACCGTTTTTCCTAACAGTGTGCTTGAAGCAGCAGAATGTGGTAAGAGGTAAGACACAATTTACTTTTCTGGTGGCTCTCTCTGGCGGGCAAAAGACGTGGATTGAACATTTTAGCAGAATCTCTTCGCCTATTCACGACTTTATCACGTTTACTAGACGCTCAAGTCAGTCAAAGCTCTCGCCTTTTAGTGGCTCTTTTCTGCGGCTGGAGAGAGGCGAATGGACACATCGGTCGAGATTATCGGGACCCCTTGCCTCGATCCCGGATCGATTTACTCTGTTGACAAGGTCTTTTCTATAAGGATGCAGAGATGCAGACGGACGACGTAGCGAGGTTTATGAGTTTGCACAACCACTACTACTATGTTCTGTTGAGCAGACTTCAATACATTCTGATATTCGCTTCTATCAGGGGCTCTTTTCCAGGTGGGGAGGGACTTAAGTGGAGACTGTGGCTCAGACATGAGCCTGCGCAGTGATCCTCAGGTCTGTCTCGTTCAGTAGAAACTGAAGTCTAGCAACCCTCACTTCTGTCAGGGGCTGTTCTCCGGGGGCGGCGAGACGCGGGTAGACTCTGTCGCGAAGTTCATCGAGAGCACGCAACGGGTTTTGCGGGTGGCCACGACGGAAGAAGTTGGCCCGGGTGAGCGCTCAAGCTTCCCTTCCCTTTTGGAGTCACCATCAGTGAAGGCCTTTCATTTTAGAGCCTACTCTCTTTTCTTTTTGATTCAGGTGCTGGGAATGTGGTGTAAGCCGATCCAAAGGGTAGTACCCAATTGATTCGTGTGCAGTCGAGACTTGTGCATTCACGGAAGCGCATGAATACGCAGATTTGCACGGGAGGATTGGCGGGATTATATGGCGGTAACGAGTGCTTGTCGCTTCGTCTACCTCTGAAGTTAAGCCAATAGGGGCGCTCTATCTGGCCGTTCCGCTCAACCGCTTTTCCTACTTTGCTATGTTCCTTGACTCAAAAGTGAATACCGACATAAGACGAAAGACCTCGTATAGAAATCCTTATGCGCACTACAATGTTCAAACCCTTCGGAGGCAGAATTCTGAAGCTGTTTGTACTTTCGCAGAGGAGCTGTCGCGCGCTAAAGAGTCGTCCCTCAACTCGTTCGTCTTCAACTTTGCCGATAGGTAATGGATGCACCGTGATATTTGATACATTTTGACCTCAAAAGCATTCGGGTCAGTGTACCAGCCAAATAAGACACGTCAACCAAATCTTCACCGAGCTTCGCATCCGAACCCACTCTTAACCCGAGCTAACCCTGCCCGTGCCGCGGGCCATACGGATTGCAACTTCCGAAATCGAATCTCTTGATGGCCTGAGAACGCCACGGCTTCCTCGGAATTGACGTGAAGAAACCAGTCGATGCTTCGAAGATGGTCTGCTAGTGGGTGAAATAATGAAGAATTGAATGCGCGCACGGCCCCAGAAGCACCGTGCAAGAAAGCTCGAAGAAGGTTGAAACGCCACTCTGCTTCCAAGGTTATGTCGTCGAAATCGTCAGACGACAAGGAAGCGAGAAATCGCTCAAGGAGAAGTCCGGACTGCATGCAGAAACTTCCCGAGTTATTCGGTGTCGCACTTCAAAACGCACTTATAGCATTCGAGTCTTGAGGAAGCCGTCCTTAGACGCCCTGTATGTTGCATCTTGCAGAAGTTGCCTCGGCGACGAAAATAGTCAAAGTGCTTGGTGTCTGGTCGCCAATGCGTTACATTGTACAGGATGCCCTCGTTAATCGCCGCCTCTTCTTTCTTCTCAGTGGGGCGCAGCTGTCGCGTATTATGACCTTGGACCTGTTCGGCGTCGACAAAGACTACCTCTTCCAATACAAAGCCGGAGTTGAGGAGACCACAGGGCCCAGCGTTTTGGCCGCAGCCCAGAGACACTTGCATCCCGACAAACACAAAGTGAGCATTACTTTTCCCTGCACGGAGCGTTCGTTGACCTACTGTGTCCTGGTTCTTAATCATGACTTTAGAGTTGACGCAACTTTTGAGTGGACCAGCATTCGGCCCGGACCCCCATTTTCCCTCCCCACGTTTCTTGAAAACTCTCCGGGGGAAATCTACGTCTGGGACAATCGCTTGTGCTCCGTCATATATTACCCTTTTTTAAATATATTTCCCGTATGCTTCCACTTAAGTTTAGCCCCATTTGTGAGAATTGGAGCAATCTGGCCTCCAAAGGGATTGAGGTGCTGAACCATTGGGAAATCGGATTATTCGATGTGCGTGCTCTTGCCTGGTGAAGTGGAGCTGCTGTGCCGACGGAGAGGTGGATGGTTGACTCTTCTGAATGGACCACTTTCTTTCCTTGCTTCCCAGGATGAGAATAGGATTTGATTGAAAAGACATGTGACACAAGAAACAGTTGCACGTTTCAAAATAAGGACGACTATCTATACGTGGAGTCTGCACACAACGAATATGGGCGTACTTTGCTATTGACGATTGGAGCGACAACCCTTGCAGTTGCTCGGTACAAATTACATCAGCGCTGATTAGGCAACATTACGTTCAGACCGGAATTTATGCTTGCGATGAGGTTTGATCATAAGCAGACGACCTCGCTCTGCCTGCTTCTTCAAGCTGCAAAGTGCATCTTTGTACCTCAGCTAGCGGAAACCGGTAACTAATTTGATGACTCTCACTAGTGGTTGCCGCTGTGCGCAGATCGTCGTTGTTTCGGATGCGAACCGGGCTCGGCCCATTCTGGAGGAGCGGGGCTGGATTGTTGAGCCCCTCGAGATTGAGTACTAGCTAGGTGCAAGATACAGGTCCGGCAAATGACTTGATTCGAATTTAGGAAAGTGAATCCAGCGATTTGACATGCTCATTTAGAAGGGCGGGGCTGAATAGTCGAGCCCCTCGAGATCGAATTTTGAGTCGCGGGGTTCAGGTCGATTGCGATAGATGAGTTGAATTGACTGTAGGACGGTGATGCTTTGACTTTCACATGCTTTGTGCGGAAAGCGGCGGGGCCCGTGCTCATGCTTGGGCCAGGATCACAAACCTTTTGAGTAAGTATATACAAAGGTTGAGCTACTAAGTACTGACTGAGGTTTTGTCAGATGCACTGCATGTTGCAGACATCCCTAATTGTTCGTTTGTTCCCTTGCACTTAGACAGCATGGCTTGTTCAGCATCGGTCTCGACTTGATCAGAACTCGATCTTGACATGCATGCATGACAGCATTGGCCACATGAGGTATTGGCTTAAGGACGTCACCTATTCCGCAGCTTGAGCTACTAGGCTCAAGTCAGGTGTTTCCTGAAGCTCAATGAAGTGACACAGTGAAGTGAAAGAACCCATGGAAGGAGAACATGTAATCTAGTTTTTATTTTAATTGGGCTCTTGCACACCGGTTGGTATTCTGTGCCAGCAAAAGCGCAAAGAGAGGCTCTAGGCCGCTGCCACTCCCAACCCACACTGCATGAGTAACCTGTCTGTAGCGTATTGTTGACCGAGACCGATCAGCTCGATCTCCACCCGAGCGCTGGAGGTGGTACAGCCTGGCAGATCTTCTATACCATGTTCTAAAAGACACGCGACTGGAGAAACGACTTAAGGCGACGGAGAGCGTAACCAGTCAATTTGAGTTGCACGTGCACCGACACCATAAATAACAAGTTTGGGGGTCAAGAATGGCCGGAAATTGGAGGCCGCTCCGTTTTGACAAAGAACAATATCAGGTGTTTAAAAGTATTTAAAGATTGAAGCCGATTGAGACCCGTGCTCAACAATGCACAATACCGAGTTTAATAGTCCTAATTCAATGAATATGGGCGACTGCGAACATAAGTTTCCCGCTCGAATCCCGCCGCCGGCGCGGCCATGCAGAGGGCGGCCGCCTGTCCGATCGCGGGTTCGGATGGCGCGGCCGCGCGTATCCCTCGTACGGTCATCATTAGTGTGGTCACATCTGAGGTTGCGCCGACCAGTAGGCCCGGCCAATTTCGAAGCTCGGACGAATTTAGGAGCAATAAGCGGCAGGCCGCAGGTATAATGAGCTTGCCAGCCTGGGACGGGTAGGGTTAGTCGGGGGGTAATAGGGTGGGCAAGGGTGCGGACTCCGGAACAGGTACCGGTAAGTTGGTGGGTTAATTTATAGTGTTAATTGGAGCTTATTATACCTGGCTCGTATTATTCCTAAATTAGTACGTCAGTCATCCATTTCGACCCGCAGATCCTCGGCCTCGCCTCGCGGCCTCGGGTACACCCTATTTAGTTTGCAGCCAATCACAGTATTGCCACGTGCACTTCAGTGTGCACGTCGACCGACTAGGCGGTCAAATAGGATTCTATCCTCGATTCTCAATTCAATTCTACGGTAGATTCAGATCGAAAGACGTGGTGCACAGTGCACACTGCATATTGATTATGCATCATACACACTGTGACTGAGTGGCAGAGCCTAATGCAGTCGATCAACATCTAGAATCACTTCCAGCAAAGAAAGAAGCACAAGGTAGTAGATTTATACCATAGAATACTACCTAGTAACCATAGAATCCACACGAAATGCTATTACCATGGATGACTGGCGCGAAATCGACTGAAAAGTGAGTCCATAGAGCTAACAATCCCTCTTCAAATGGCAATGGGTGTTCTTTATGATGGAAACTTTATCAATGTTACTTTCTAAGCACAGGGGAGTGCTCGGACATTCGAAGCTTCTCAGTCAAAAAGGTTTTAAGGATAAGGAGGCATAGCTCGCTCTGCATTGTTTCCTCAATGGGGCCCTCAGATCCATCAACAGCTGTAATCGAAGGCAATGCAGCAATGCCCAGCGCAAGCATGACACCTGGCAGCTCCTCCTCCTCCGTTGAGAGCTCAGCCAAGGGATCTTCTGAGAAAGCATCAACCCTGAGTTTCAACAACCTCTTTGTGAGCATCCCATCAAAGCTGGCTGCCGATGCTGATAGCAAGAACTCTCAACAGAAAAAGAAGGCGGCATCACTGTGGCGTCATTGTGGGTTGACACCTGGCGCGGGGACGAAGCCCATTTTAGATGGGGTGTCAGGAACTTTGCGGGGGGGTGAGCTGACAGCCATTCTGGGCCCCAGTGGCGCGGGGAAGACCACGCTCTTCGACGCGCTTATGGGGAGGGCTCATGGCAGAGGGGGCAAGGTCTTCTTGGATGGGCGACCCTTTGACGAGAGCCTCCGGGATCTCACAGGTTTGAAAATGTGCCCTGAGCTCAGCATTGGTATCTTGTGCATGGCAAAGTTGATGTCTTGCAATGTGCCCTCTCATCTGCCCAGAATGAGCCCAGAAGTGCAATGGAACTCCCTTCTTACAGTTTTGCCAGGCAAAAGAAGGCAGGCATGCTTTAGTCAACAGTCACATTGATTGGCCAAACCTTTTTGCACACCTGTGATGGGGGACTGGAGATGGGGTTCGTTTACATATGCTTTAAGGAAGATGCCAGCGAGATCTGTACTCATTTCATTCCTGGATAAGATCACACCCGAGGTTTCAGGAAAAAAGCAGGTCGATGTAATGAATCTGAACCGGCCCAAAAGACCCGCCCACAAATCCATGAAGAATCAAGCTGAAGTTCAGCTTTAAACAGCGACCTGTCCTTCAAGCGCCTCGTCTTTGTGAAAGCTGGGCAGATCATGGTCTGCCTTCCAGGTTCCTTCTAAAACATTCAGTTGACTTGTTGTCTAGTGTATGTGGTAACCGGCACAGCCAGATGGCTTGGACACTTGATTACTGGCCACATTTACTGCCCATAGTTACTGGCCACCTTGTGACCTTCTATATGTCTCAAGTCTGCATTTCGTCAAGAATGCTTGTGTCTGTTGTCCAAACGGTGCTCTGAATCCTGTGAAGGGGTAGTTCCTTGGCAGCAAGTGGCTCCTTAACCGTGAACCGCGCCGGCCTATATGTAGTATGCATGGCCAACCGGACATTCTTGTCCGCACCATGTCGACGAGAAGCCGGGGTCAGAAAGAGTGCTGTCAATGCGGGGGGGAATGGCCAGGGCCCCTTTTGCCAAGTGCTCGTGGGGCCACACTCAGAGGAGGCCCACTTCTTCCTGCCAGACAAGGTGGCAACACTTTGATAATGAGTACTTAGTTCTGAGGAAAAGTCCAAAAAGACCGTCGCATTCAGGTCCTAAATCGGGTAGAATCCCAGAACTACAAGCTTCTTGACCTTTGCCCGCCCACTAAACACCCTCACCTGCTGACGTGTGCAGCTTACGTCACTCAGGACGACACCCTATTTCCGTTCCTGACCGTTCGCGAGAACCTGACGTTTGCGGCGGCAGTCAAGATGCCCTCTTGTGATCCATGGGCTGAGAAGCAACGCCGCATCGAGGAGGTAAGACCTTGACACCAGTCGCTTTGCATCACAAATCGAGTGTTTCGTCAAGAGCCCAACAAACAGATGGTGTCAATTGCCTGCACGGCATCGTATGATTGCCACATTGCATTGTGTTGCGGCCGTACAGGCATGTAGCCCCACATGCGAAGGCATTTCGTGTGACTGCTCCTTATTAGAAGCGGACAGTCTGGGAAAAGGAACGCTATCTCATGAGTGCAAGCGGGGCTTGATAGTTTTTGACTCGTGCGCTCAGCAAAAGCCTTAATAAAGAGTCGGTTCCAGCGTTCCAGGAAGCAAAGCTGAGCCCAGGAGCCCTAAGGGTTCTTTCGGTGGTCTGTGGTGCACTGATATTGGGCCTGCTGGTCAGATGAGACCTGCAGTTTTCCACGGGCGCCTAACAAAATTTACTCCAAATGTCAGTTTGATAAAGTGCCTTTCAGCAAACAGCATGAGGGACTCCTGAAAGTATTAAGTAGATCCCGCCAGCTCATAAGCGAGCTTAGAGTGTGCCAACGTCTGATTGGCTGTATCGCGCCCTACACAACCTGAAACCTTGACACCTGGTGACCTTCTCCGTGCACTGGGCTCATTCAGCGCACTAGTGTTTCATTGACTGGCAGTGTCGAGCGTTTCCGGTTTATCTGCCCCTACAAATGATTGCCCGCTTTGAGATCGTTGCTGGGGCCGTTTGCATCTTGAATAACTCTGCTTTCCAGACCGTTTTGCTCCCAAACTTCTTGAAAGGCCATTTTGAGCTTTGAAGCGGAATTGTTGAGGACCGAAACAGTTCCGGCAACCATCATTAACTAGAGAATGATTCACAGGGTGCGCCCAAGCATCTAAGACCAGCTGGCTGTAATGCTCCAAAAAGAGCGCGGCCTCGCGGGGTTGCCACCAATCACAGGACCGGTGTCAAATCCAGTCAGTTCCGCACAGGCGAGATATCTTGACACCAACACCTCCCGCAGGTACTGGAGGAGCTCAGCCTCGGGGAAGTTGCCAACAGTCTGATCGGCGGTGTTTCGAATCGGGGGGTTAGCGGAGGGGAGCGGCGGCGGGTGTCGATCGGGGCAGGAATCGTGCACCGGCCGTCTGTGATTTTGTTGGACGAGCCACTTTCCGGACTCGACAGTGCACATGCTTTCAAGGTTTGTGTCCATCATCCGCCACTATGAATCGGGATCCCGATTCAGTACGGTCTTGAAACGACTTTGAGAACCCTTCCGACTAAGAAGTCCCCTTCTCTAAGAACATATACTCTTCAATACCAAATCATAAAATCAATATCGTCTGAAAGCTTTCTTTCCAAAGATCTATGCTGGACTCAATCCTCCCTGCGCAACCTAACAGCGTACTTAAAACCGGGTCCCGACTTACTGCGCGCACAGCCTCTGACCTGTCTTTCACCACTTCCCCATCGACGTAGCGCACCCCAAGAAAGCGGATGCTTGGGCTGCTGAGGCGCTAGCTCGTTTGCACCCTGTGCATATCTTCGTGTCCGCTTTTGATGTCCGAGGAAATGCAGACAGAAAACTCAAGATTCCACTAGCTTCGGTGCAATTGCTACAAACAAATCAAACGTTTTTTATTTTTCCTTTCCATCCGCAAACAAACCAAACCAGTCGTGGATAACTTATGTTTCTTTTCTTCTCTGGTCTCACCTTTGCCAGGTTGACGTAGGAAAGGTTGCCCTCCTAACCGATCTCGGTTAGCGGGTACCGAACCAGCCCTTAATCATGTCAGAGAAATGGAAGGGCGCTCAAAGCTATTTGTCAACACGTTGTCTCTAGCTGTACTGTACATGATTGCTTCTCTTCAGGCTCGCCAAAGCTTTTGATGATGTTCAGATGGCTCGTCAAAGCCCCAGCAAAGAAAGCGGGGCCATTTGTGTCTAACAACGGGATTTAAAGGCCTCTCACTCTTTGCATCGTGTCGCTCATTTAAGCTTAGGGTCCCAGAGAGCGACAGGTCGACTTGTGCATGTGTGAAGCACTACGTCAATTATTTCCTGCTAACGGGGTTCACTGAAGCTTTTTTCACCTGAACGCGCCTTCCCGAACACGGCGACTGGTGCTTCTTCAAATCTTCGTTTGTGGTCTTTGCCGCAGCTTGAGTCGGTGTCGAAGTCGGAAAACCCAGTTTGAGAATAACACGCACCTTTAGTGTCTCCTTAAGCACATCCTCTACGTCTTCTAACCGGAGGTTTTGCCTTGAAGAAGAGAAGGCTGTCATCCTTATCTTGCGAGTAGATCCTACGGCCACACTTTCATCAACAATCGCCGCTGAGAGAAACGTAACCCGTTCCCTGACCTCAGATCACGCATCCGAATCAAATTAAAACCTCACAATGAAAACGTCGGCCGGAGTCTGGTTGTCTCGGCATGCGAGAAGGGTAATGACCAGGCTTTATCACCTACTCAAACCGGCACAAATCTGACCACAAACTGTAACCGTCGATTTTGTGTCACAGGTTGCGAGCCACTTACGGACCATGGCGCGTGCGGGTGCCATTGTCGCGATGACAGTGCACCAGCCTAGTTTGCGCATCAGCTCCATGTTCGACCACATACTCGTTCTAGCACACGGCCAGGTGAGGGGGCGCGCATACTTTTATGTGAACGGAAGCAATTGTCAAAAGGAAAATCCTCCGCTTATCCAAGACAAGAGAAGTCCGAGGTGGTAAACTCTTGGGAGAAGGGGCGCCTTCAATCTCGAGAATCCGGGAAAGTCTGAGAATGAAGGCAAGAGGTGGAGAAATTCACCCTTTGAGTTCTCCTCAGCTCAAGTGAGCAGATGGAAACGTCGAACTCAAGGGTGATCTTACTGAGGATTTGAGTCGTTTCGTCCAACTTTGGCAAAACGCGTGTTCATGCGGAGAAGATCGAAAGGTTTTGTGGGCAAAACTGCTGTTGGATCGTACAAAAAGGGTCTTGCAACGTCGCTCCGAGTATGTTAGTCTATCCACGCAGTCACAGGATCTCTGACAAATTGCCTCCTAACTTTTTGCCGGTGCGCTGTGGGCGATCCTGTAATCGGGGCTTCTCTCGGAGTATTGCGCGCTTGTTCAGTCGGGACTTTTGTAAACCTATGTCAAGCGGCAGAAAACAAGACCATTTCTCGGCCAGAGACACGTAGACAATTACAGGTCTCCGGCCAAACCTAGGGACGGAGACTTAGCCACGAACAAGGAATGATTTTCTTTACGGCGCGAAATATCAGCTGTAAGTTTCCAGGGCTGCTTTTCGAAGCATCTCGGCGTGCGCTTGTCCGGATTGTTTACGGACCTTCCAAGCCTGCCGTACTTCGTTTCCGCAGGTGATGTTTGCCGGGGCGCTAGGCGACATTCCGGGCCGAATCAGCGCCCTGCGGTCGCCAGAGACGGCCGCAATCTCCGGCGACTTGACTGAAAGCAAGTCCGCCTTAGAGTCGCCCGATAGCGCAGTCCCCTACGGCAATTTTATTGAGGAGTATCTCGAGCTGTTGCTCGACAAGGCGCTCGAGGCGCCCGGGGGATCCCCCGGGGCCGTTCCCGGCGAGAAAGCCGTCAGTCAGCCTGCGCTCGGGGAAGCTGCCCCGGCGGATTCCGAGGCAAAAGAGTCTGAAAACGGCTCCGCTGGGCGGGAAATGGCTGCCGGAACCGGAGCGGCCGGAAACACCGATCAAGGTGACGGAATCCCGTTGGCGGCCCCCCGCCGCATCTCGGCATATGCGAACGGGCACGTTCGGGAGGTCGTGCTCCTCGTCTGGCGGAATCAGCTCATCCAGTTGCGGACGCCCGAGTTGTTCGCCGTAAGACTCATGCTGGTAAGCTCGAAAACAAAGAACCCGACCCGGGGTTTCCACAGTTGTCCTGGAGAAATGTTCAGTCCTGCCTCGGCTACAGCTTTTTCCACCAAGTCTGTGAGACTACCCAGCAGGAGTAGCTCCCAACGCATTCTGAAGTGTTGAGGCTGTTGCTTACAAGCGAGCAATTTGAGCCGTCTCTGACTGTAGTGACCGAGTTGTTCGCCGTGTTGAAGATCTGGGCGGAAAAGCAGCTGTCTTTGAAGAGCAGCTGTCTTTATATGCAGCGCTTTTGCCTTGCGCAACAATGTGCTATCCTTGAGACCAGATTTCGACCGTTCCTCTTTCCTTCACTCGTTGCCCGTCCTTCACCTGGCTACGAATCTGGTCGCCCCATGCAGTCCACCAGATCTTTTTCCTAGTGAGTCATTGTCGGCGACCCATCACAGCAGATTTTGGCCCTTAAGCAAGCGTGGTTATGGGCTGGTTACAAAATGGTTAACTGTCCAATAACCAGACTTGGGCGGCAGCCCGCCTTCGAGCAGTTTAAAAGCCTGGTTGCTTGTCTTCTAACCTGAGACTCGAGTCTGGTAAACAGCCCGGCTATCAGCCAAAGAGTCATGTGCACTGCTGACACGTTCGCTCCGCCGCCAGGTCACGGGAATAGGCATCCTAGTCGCCACACTCTTCAAGGACCTCTCCCCCACGCCCGAAGGTCTCCGGAGCACCTTTTCATTCGTCGCCACGTGTCTCGCCGTCGCGTATTTCGAGTCCAATAACGCGCTGCCACATGTCATCGAAGAGAGGGTGATTGTCGGAAAGGAAACGTTTCAGAAACTCTACAGGTGAGACAGTCGGTTGCAGTTGGGTTTAAGCGTCCGAAGAAGCACGCCGTAGGTGGTGTTCTGGAGTTCAAAGAGTCCTCGAGATTGCTATTGGGCCTGGAGCTGGGCCCATTCAAGAGCCATTTGCGAAAGTCGCAATCACAGAAGATTCCGGAGTGCAAGGTCTGTCGTCATTCGTCGAATTCCGTTGTTAGCTCGCTGAGAGGGATGCACGTGTGATTTCTCGTGGTAAGATGGTAACGAAAATGCTCAGCGTCTGCTTTGATGTTTTTGGCCCCGATGACCGTTGGCGCCTCCAAATCCAACGGCTGACGTTCGATCTTTCTCTCCCGCGTCGAAAATGGTTTGCTGACGTCATCCATCCACGGGTAGGAAAAGGACCGCAGCCAAAAACGTTATCGAGTGGCCAGCATAATCCCGGTACTCTGCTTTAAAACATGTCGGATGGTTAAGCAGAGTCAAGCAGAGTCCGCTTATTGAAAGTGGAAGTCGGGACGGAACGAAGTAGGGCGGCTTGCAGTGTTTCTCAACCGTTTTGATCTCCTGCAGGGTTTCATCCTACGTCATCGCCAATACGGTCAGCGGTATACCTATGTCGGCCGTCCTGGCGCTTATTTATACGCTGGAGGTTTGGTGGATTGTTGGGCTGTTAGGTAAGACTCATCTAGTCGGACTTTGTTTTCCAATCTGTTTGAGTTGCCTTCGTTTTTTTACCCTTGAGCTGGACCACTTTCAGGCCGGTGTGGTCTCCACGCGGCCGTCTGAGACCCGCCGTATAAGACTTGCCAGAATATCAACTTGACCAGTTTTGCTGCTGAAACACAGTCTCAAACGGAGCCCAAATTCATTATTGAACCCATAAAAAGGTCAAGATTCTTGTTTCGGCTTTGGAGGGCGCCTGCCCCACTTAGCGGGATTGACAAGCCTCCAATAAAAATGGCAAACGCGCGGAGCGCACCTATTATTGGATCCGCTGTTCGGCCTACCGGTCCCCTCGTATAGGTTTGACTACAGTCCTGCCGATTGGGTCTCTTCCTTTCTGGGTTGAGGAAGACTACATGATCGAAAATGATCGAATCTGCGCCGTCGTCAAAATCTGACGGCTGGGCACTCCCTGTGCACAGACATAGCGACACCCGTAACGGCTCCTTCCGTCCTCCCTTTTCGTTTTCACAAAAGTTTCGTTCCCGGTCCTTCTATCCCCTTACCCTTCTATTACAGGCTCAATCGATTCTACCTCCTATTCTTGTCATAACCCACACAATCAACGTGCATTATCATTTGCCGCGTAGGTGGCGCCCCCGCTTTCATGTACACGTGGCTGATCCTCTTCCTGTGTTTCACCGTCGGCGGCTCGTTTGCTTCCCTCGCCGCCTCTCTAGTTCCCAGCTTCACCATCGGAGTCAGCCTGGTGATCACCGTTAGCTTCGGCCTGTTTCTGGTCTCCGGGTACTTCCAAAACGGCAACGCGTTGCCCTCCTATTGGCTGTGGCTGCATTATCTGTCACTTTAAATATCCTTACGAAGCAATATTGATACAGCAACTTGAGCGGATCTCTTGCGTTCGCTCGCCACCAGATGGGAGCCTATGCTTAGGCGATGGGGCAGAGGTGTTAGAACAACAAGGGATCACTCCCATTTCGAAAGGGGGCTTCGTGGGCATTTTAATAGCGTTTGCGGTCGTGTATAGGATCTTGTTTTATGTCGTGCTTCAAATCAGGTTGGCCGCGAAAGCTTTCTAGCATGATATCATTCCAGTATTCTAGTGAAATAGCATTCTAGTATTCTCGCATTCTAGTATTCTATGAAGAGGGCCCGCTTTCGGGGGACGATTGTCGTTCTCGGTGAGTAGAAGGTAGATTATTGTAGCAATAGACTATTCTCTCATATCAGGCAATTTTTGGCAGAGTCAAAAGCAGGTGGGCCATGCAGTCAAAGAAGCTTTGCACGATTCAATTGCCCCTGCTTGCAAGTGCACGCTAAAAAATTCAATCTGAAAGGACACCACTACCGACGGTCAAAATCTGGGTTCCACATTCGCGTGACAAACACTCTGCGAAAGCCAGCTTTAGGGCAATCATGGTTCAAATAATTGCTTTGTCCTTGAAAGGCGTACCAGCTCACTGCATTCGCGAGTCCGACTGGAGGGAGACCGCTTTCAACTGAACGCAATTGCTATAGTCGCCGGTTTTGTGTATCGTTCAGAGTCACTGCACCAATGAGTTCAATGCAGATTATTTGACCACGTCAGGCTCGGACCGCACATATCGATCCCACATTTTAGCGCCACGGTCGTGCAACTATCGAAGCTATACATGTGAACGTAGCGACTTATATGTTTGTTGCCCTAATTGAATGCGGGTACATGATCTCGATCGAATCAAATGATTAATCTCGTCCTCTCTGATGATTTTATCAACTCCTATATATCCTAGCTTGACCAGATCAGTCCTCTCGGCTCAAGCCTATACAGGTTTAATCAATGTTCCGTTTGCAGATACTTTCGATTAACAAGGGCTGTCGAAAGCCCCACGAACTGGACCAATCACAAATACCCGGTGACCCTGCATCAGACGGGATGACATACGGACAGACTCGGTACCGTCTTACATTAACTTTTTGGTGATCGTTAACCAGACCGCGACCTATCCAGGCGATTAACATAGGCGCGCGATGCTCTTCATGTGCCAGGGGATCTAGGAAAACTCGGGGCCAATCGGGATAACACTTACTGGAGTAGGCCTCTATAGGTCGCGTCCGGTCGCCCCAGACATTACGGTTGGAAAATTTTCCGATACGTGGCTAGAGCGAGGAGTAGAGCCCTTGTTTTTCTCGAGGATCATCTGACGGGTAGAAAGTATGACTGTGTTCAGAGAGACTTCGAATATTAATCTTTGTACATCTTTGTCCTGACGCTCTTTCAAAAGTAATTAGAGAGGTGGTTCCTCTTCTGTTTTCAAGCTGATGATTAGCGAGCAGTATAGGTGAAGTAGAATACGAGTGAGCTCCTTTTCATCGCGAATTCTAAGCAACATGAGAATCATAAGTTGTAAGCCTTTCCTGCAATTCCTGTCGTTGCTGGAGAGCGTCTACGATTCAGACGTCTGATTTTGATGCATGAAAGGAACTGCAACCAGACACTAAGGACTACGATGCTCAGTCCGCTTGTGCACGAGCATTCGTCCCAATAAGGCTCCGTATAAAGCTAGGCAACAATGATGGGGCCGTATGGGGATGGGCGGACCAGAACAAAAATGGATTATTCTCGAAAGAAAGATAACTACAAGGGTTGAAGCTAGAAAATAATAAGCTGAAACAGATTAGCGCAGACAGATTTGCGTCTACTACGAGCGCTCGTAGTAGACAGTCAATGCATGATACCATACCCGCCGCACAATTCAGATACAGGGTCAACGTTCTTCATCTTCTTTGTCCAAGTTGATCCAAAGCTAGGCCTGCTAGCATTCACTGCACGATTGCGTCGAGTACGTCATCGCCTTCCGATAGATAGAGGAGTTGAAACGACTTTCTGTACTCCGCACCTTAAATTAGGTGTCACCCCCTCCAGGCTGACCAGCAGCACAGAGGCTCGTCATAAAGCGGTCGAGCTCGATTGCCCAGTCTAAAAGCTTGCCATGGTCGAGGGGAGTAGGGCTACTACGTCCATGGATTCCTTGCGTCGTCCACGTGCTGGGAAACTTCTTCAACAGCCTGAGGAGTTTCTTCTTGACAAGAAGCACCGTTGCGGAGGCAGTCATCTCCTTCGCGATCATCATCCGAATCCTTAGCTAAGAGCTCGGGGCTGCTCTCGAGCAGTGGGGACGCGCCAATCTGCCGCTCGGGGCCGCTTGTCAATTGGCTGCCAAGTTTGATTTTGGTTGACAGCTGTTTTAGGGGCACCTCCTGCTGCTTCTCTCCCGTCTTCTCTTCGTGCTTCGCCAAGAACACGGGCCTGTGGACACGAATTTTGGGGTTACAACTTGGGGTGGACTCGAGGGGGGTTCCATGGCTAGGGCTTTGGGGAGGGTGACAACTCTGTGAGGGACCCAACTGGGGGAGGGAGCAGAGCGAGGGTTCTGCAATACAAAGTCCGGCATAGAGGTAAGCCGAGTTGTCCAGTCATAGGGTGGAAGCGGCCCCACTGACACCAAAACCCCCGCCTCTGGCGGAGCATCTTTAGGGCCCAGCAGGTGGATGGCCGAATCCAACTTGCCTCCCCTCTCTAGTTGCGAGCTCCTATCCAGGCCATAGATCAGCCACTCCAGACTTCCGGGAGTGCGCGCATGCCGAGCTGCATACAGATGCGCGATGCCAGCATCTTCGGGGACCATGATGTGCACTCTATGCTCAGAACAGCTCCAGTCCTTTGCAACGCTAAGGCCCCGATTCACCCAGGACTCCACTTCCCGAGCGTTGCCAAGGTGAATCCACGTCATCATGTGGAGGCCCCTGTCTGAAGTGGACGAGCAGCCATGGTTTGGAGCCATTGCCTCTCGCAGGAGGTCATGAGTGGTTTGACGTTTGCTGACGTTGCAGATGGTCAGGTGAGCCAGCTCCAGCCTCTTGGCATCTTGCCAGGTCCACCTTTGGGCGCGGTTCTCCAATTTTGCGTAGCGGCCGGAGTTTTGCAGCTACTAGACATGTCAGCAGCTTGACCAGCAACGCCCCATCGCCGTAAACCTCGCAGCTGGCATCTTTTCCTTTTAACAAAGCCCCTGAGAGAGATTCTACCACGTTCTTTATGAGACTGCCTTCATCAGACCACTGAACAATGCTTGGCGCAGAACTGCGGGGTTTAATTTGTCCATACTCGATTTGAACTTAAAGCTGCGGGCTAAAAGCTGGAAGGGCCGTTGTCTTCAGTGTGCTGTACTGCTGATGCGTTCAAGTTGTTGTTTGTTCAAACGGTGAAACGGGACGTCAGCTAGCAATCAATCAAGCCTAGCCTTGTATCTTGTACCCACCACTGGCTCAAACAAGCAAAAGGTGAAAGGGTCAAGTCTTCCCCACGACTCGAACCCTTATTGTTGGGCTTGGCGCTGAGCACCTATTAAAGCCCTTCGTGTCGTGGACACACAAATTCCCAAGCGGCCGAAGCGAAACACACGCGCCTCGCTAAAATAATAGACAAGTGCTGGCTCGATTGCGCATCGCGGTCGGCCGCGCCGGCTGGTTGCGCTGTGTACGCGGCCGGAACCGCGCGTTCACAGGGTTTGGCGGGTTTGGCTTTTAGCGAATTAAGACGAAAGTGACTGGTTGCCCAAATGTTATCTCTTTCTAGCTGACGTGGCATCCTCTGGGGTTTGTGTAAGGTGCACGGGTTACCGTCGGGCCTCGGCGTTGACCGGTTCGCCACACTACAGTCTAGGTACATTGCAAACCGTATACTTTTGTTTGACTGTCGATATCGAAAAGACTGTCAAAATTATCGTTTGACGCGACGGTATGTGGTTTGCAGCTTTTAGGCTCACAGCGGCATATGGGGCGCCCTTTTTCAGCAGCAGCCGCATATGCGGCTTAATAGGAGGGGCTGTGGACGAACTTGGTGTAGGGCAGTGCCTAAAGTAGCCCGCATAGCGCGGAGCTCGTCCTGAAGCCACAGAGCAGCTCTCGAGATTCTCTGCGTCTCCTACAAATCTTCAGACTGCTCAGTCATGATTTAATCCAGCCTGTTGGCAATCGATTTTCGCAAGAGAAGTCTGATGTACATTTGCCCCCCAGAGCGCAGCTTTCGAATCACAACCCCAGAAACGCTCTCAATAAAGTCAACAGCTTCCCACGCACATCCCCAAGCATTGTCTCACGCTTGAGCTTCAACCTAATCTTTCTCAATTTGCGCGCAGCGGCGCTGAAACCAGGACACTTTCCTCTCAGACCATACGTGGCTCCCATCTTCCGCACAATGCATCAAACAATTGCGACATTTAGTGCTGTGCTTCTGCTCACAGGCCTTGGTCTGGTGACTGCTCAGGGGAATGGGGGGCCAGGTGGCGGTGCAGGTATGATGGGAAGGACTGCGGGTAAGTTTGGATAGGTGCATTGTGCAATGTAATGTTACAGCCTGTTTTCTCTGAGCTTATTAAGTAGGTGAGCATGTACCTGAGCTGTTTGCAAGGTTAAAATGAATCAAGTATTGCCAGCACCGCGGATGGCAAGAAGCTGGTATACTTGAGCTTCTTTCTCTAGGATTGAAGGGACGCTATATCTCCATCAGGCTAGGTTGAAGGTAGTGTAATCTGGACTTTGCTGAGGGCATTCATGTCTGAATAGTATGTGCGGCGATGTTAGAGGGCTGCATCATTTCCGGGCATTTGCCTAATAACTGTGAGAAAGCCGAACAAGCTGGGAATGCCTTTGTCTGTGAAAGTGAGGTCCCGTGCTAAGCTGGAGAGTATCTGCTAGGCTTGAATCACCTGTCTCCGCATCAACAGTGCTGGCATGAGGGAAGAAAAGTTGGCCAATTCCGATCATCCTGGTTACAATCCATGCTCAATTAAAGAATGCGTGCTGACTGGGACTGACCGGTCTTGCTGTTTGTTGTCAGGCAACAACACCAATCCGCTGTGTGGTACCACCGCCAATGCTCCCTCTGTCAACCACACCATACAAGGAGGGGTCAGGTTAGGCAGCCAGACGGCAGACGGCTCTACCCTCTGCCTTGGCAATGCTCGCTTCTCCTTGGATGCATTCAATGTGGCTGATTCAGGAGCTTGACAGAGAGCTTGCCAAGCTCCCGAGGCTCATCGTTATGGCGCAGAGCGTTGCAGCTTTGGACAGTCTTTCAGAAGCTTCTTGGATACAGCTTAGAACGACAATGCCTCCAGTCCTTTTGCTGAGTTGGTTCGCACCAAATCTGCTAGGAATGGCCTCAAACTGTCTTTGAAATGGTGAAAATGCAACATTCGACAACTCGCAAATCTGCCAAGTTTTGGTTGGCTGGCTCCCTGTCATGAATTCGTCACATCTGCGCATCGTCATTCTCCCAGAACTTCATTGTTAGAAAGCATTGATTTCTCTTCCTACTCTTGGCGCCAGTCCGCTGCTGAGACGTCGCCGCATTCTCGTCCTCGTAACCCTTTCCCCCCGGCGACTCCTATCCCCACCTAAACCAAAACTTTGGCCGTAAGCCTGACTTTGACTCATGCTTTGCTTGCAGATACTTCCAATCGAATGGTTGTCCCCCAACCAACTGGACTGACCACAACTACCCTGCACCAAACGGAATGACATACGGACAGGCTCGGTCTTATAACTTTCCAGTTATCGTTAACCAGACCCCAGTTCTCCAAGCAAACATAAGCGATGCTCTCTACGTGGGGATCTCAAACCCAGTCAAGGGGCCGATTGGGATCACGCTTACTGGAGTAGCGCTGTACAGGTAAGTGAGACATTGGTGAGAAACTCTCTGCTCTAAGTCAAATGATGCAATCTCGTCTCCAGAGTAAAATTTGTTGACTCCGAGACTCACCTTACCTCTCCCCCAAGCTTCAAAATAGAGGATTTGCGCAACCCTGCAAGTCTGCCGTTAGGAAAACGACCAGTTCGTTGAAAAATATTGTTCCATTGTATTGCACCGCTGATGCCCCTGGACCGCAAGTAACTTACCGTCTACTTGCTTCTGAGCAATAAAGGCGAGAAGCGCAATTGATCGGTCCTAGACACTCATCAACACAAAACTTCCCGTCCTTCAGCGCCGTGGATGCACTCAATCGTGACGCTATCATCTACGAGGGCCGTACGTTCGACACGTGTGGCGGCCACAGCACGCCCGACCCCGTCAACACCTACCACTACCACTCCATGGTGAGCCGCTTCTCGTTCTGCTGACGTCTCCTTCGTTATGATCTGTCACGTCAGCTCTGGCGAAACAAGTCCTAACACCCTATTTCGTTATGAATTACACTTCGAAAGCGATTTTTCCTTGACCAAGCTCTTGGTGATTTTCACGTGTGGGGGCTAACCGCTCAATTCTTGCTTCACGCTCTCGTTGTAGCGCTTAAAGACGGCTGATAACGCCTCCTTTAATAGACCCTACAATCTGGTGAATGTATTCAGATCTGTAGTTATTAAAACCTTCTCCCACTGGTTGCATTGACTTTGAAAGCCTCTGACCTGAACGCTAGCTTCAGTTGCAGCCAAGAATCTGGGCACTTTTTCGAAGGACCGCTGATGCAGCTATGACAGACCCGACCCAAATTTGCTCTCCGTTTAACCCCTCAACGGTCTCGTTTCAGCCTCATTTTATTCGTCGTTGACACCGTTAATCGGAGGTTGCTTTCTTCAGCTGCAAGTGGCTGCATGGTATAGATAGATGTCTCTAACACCGGTAACCGCATCTCCGAACTCACGTGTCTTCAGTTAAAATTTGAATACTGACAACCATACATACACCTTACGTGCTCTTCAGTTTGACCCTCCCACTTTCGCCTTCTTTGTTTCACAAGGTTAGGCGAACCCTCCCTCTCCTTGACCATTCCCATCTGTTCTGTGCAGCCTGGAGACACGCGGACTATCGCCTATCGCCCATCCCGATTTCACCATCTATCTGCTGTCTTCTTCGTTTTGACCATTTAACGTCCTTTCTTTTCGCTAAGCAAACTCTCCGCCTCCTGTATTACTATCTTCTGCCTCTTCTGCGCATCCTGGAGACTCAGGGACTATTTCCCTCGAGAATGAATTGATCAGGATACTTTCTTCTCTGTTACGACCATCCGACGTTCCCTTCGCTTTGATAACCAAAGTCTCCGTATCCTTCATGAGTTCATTTTCTTCTGCGCAGCCCGGATCCTCAGCGACTATCTCCCTCAAGTACTGAGTCGATCAATTCGCTTTCTGCTTTAATACAACCATCCCAAACGTTCCATTCTCTTTGCTGAGCAAACTCTCGTTTCCTTGATGGATTCTGCTTCTTCTGCGCAGCCGGGTGACTCATCAACCATTTCTCACAACGGCACCCGCAACTCCAACTTCACGTACTGCCCCGCCATGCAAAGCTGGCTGCTCCCGGTTAACACCACCAACAACCACTCGGCGCTCTTTGGCGTCTTCGTCGACGGAGTGCCGATCTATGGTCCTCTGGTGAGTGTCTGGGCATTTCCCGAAACAGATAATTGCCTCCGCTTCTCTTGGTCTCGCCTTGGTGTCTTCTTTGATTCTCGCTGGTTTTGCCCTGGCGGTTTGAGTTCGTCGCCAAACGAGGCTCAAAGTGGGTCACAGTACCCGACAACTCTTCTCTGCGCGCGCGTGTGCGCATGGTGTAGAGAATGCTCGTTAGATCTACGGAGGGCCGCCTTTGCATTGAGGCTTGCGGCCCCTCCAGAACTTAAGCTGCTGACGTCCGCTTGCGGCTTCTTGTCGGATGTGAGCGGGGAGGTTGTTCATTCCCATTGCCTTCATGATTTACTTTTCCTGAAACAGAAACCGAAAAGGAAAGAAAGTTTGGCGAGAGAAGCACTTATAATCGGATGCATCGTGCGTTTCTTTCTTCACCGTCACTGCGACATCCGCCCCTAGACAGAAGAACGACGTTTCAATGTCATGTACTCCCTCATACTGATCCCTCTGGTTCAGTCTTAAACGCATGGGTAACGCGAAAACGGATGGCACACGCCTTAATTCGTTCGGTATAGTAGACTAAGCAACATACACTCTCTTCTCTCCAGGGAGACGGCGGCAAACTTCCGACCGATCTGGACGCCTGCAACGGCCACGTGGACGCCTCTCATTCGTTCTACCACTACCACGCCACCAGCGACTACCCCTACCTGGTGAGCCCCACTGACGTGGCCGCTGCCACGTGGCACTCCCACTGTTTTTGCTGCTGACGGCACAAGTGCGAGGCCTGGAAAGTCGTCGCCTTCTTACGAATGGTAGTCCTCCGGCCGTTCGGTCAAGCAGGCTTTAAAAGAGGTTTCATACTGGCCCTCTCGAAAACACACCAAGACGTTGACGAGAGACGTCCACATGTTTTGCAACTTTGCCTGTTGGAGTATCTTAAGGACTTCTATCCTCTGCGCAAACTCTGGAAAAGCTAGTCGTCATAGCCTCTTTCCAAGATTCAAAGACCCACATCCCTTTCCCCTGAACCTGCCACGTGACGCATGCGCAGGTCGACTGCCTGCGGGGCTGTATTAACTCCACGCTCTCGTACATCCAGGGGGCAACAATACCGGCTTGCAAGCCGGCCGCTCGTAAGTCCCCACACAATCTGCTTCATTGTTCCGTATCGGTCCATTGCGTATTTCTCGCTTCTTTATGACACGTGTACCAACAATGGATCCGCCTTCTACTCCTTCATGTCGATCAGTCATGAGCCTATCGAGACACCCGAACTCCTGGCATTCCTCTCCGGGGGCCATTTGCAAAGTGTCCACTTTGCAACTTTTAATTTCTTCTTTTCCGCTGGTACACACTCTGCGCCGTTGTTGCTTTTTTCCTTTCCATCTTTTCATCCCCTGAAGAGCATTGAGCAATCCATCGCACGTAAGAGCAGTTTTGTTCGAGACCTGAAATGGTTACCGAAGGCGAGCGGTGCCACTGCATTACCAATTTCAGTATCTGAGTTTGATTGGCTCTTTATCTGGTTTGTCCCTTCAGAAAGGAAGTGCTTCAAATTACTCGGTCGAAGCGAAGTGGCTCATTGCTTTGCAAGTCGGACGTGCACTAGAAAAAGAAACGGATGACTCCTCAATTCCCTAGGCTTCTTAGTGCATTCGTCACTTGACAAAAAAAAGTACGAGAAGCTGCTACGTTTATCTGCTTACTCTGAGCGCACCCGTTTTGTAGTTTCATTGTTTAGCAACTTCTATTGACCGCCCGGCGCCTGAGTTACACGCAAAACGGTGAATTCCTTCTCTTCAGAGCAATACAACTACTCAAGTCTCGATGCGGAGATCACGGCGCGTCTTGAGCATGTGGGAGTGATCAACGGAACCATGGTCAACGGAACCGTGGTTAACGGGACCATGGTTCTTCTCTAGCGAGAGCCGTTCGAGGAACGAAAAGGGAGTAGCCCTTTCGCATGTGTTGTCAAACGAGAGGATTGAACGCCGCTCACAGCAGCGAGCGGTGGCTCGTCAAAGTTGTGTGGTTCACTTTTGTAGATTTGCTTGTAGTACCGTAATTTATATGCCACATGAGTGGTCTATTTGCTAAAAGTAGCTTACATTCAAATCACTGAAAGCTAGTTTTAATGATGAGCCAGCAATGTTTGGCTGATCGATAAATAAAACGTGTGGGGCTCAACGGTGGGTTAGCTGGCGCTAGACCTTGTCGGCGTAAGAAGCCAATGCTTGACTGGAAGCTGCTGATTCACGAGTGTTTCTTAGTATCATAGGATACTGTAGTCGATGATACTGTTATAAGCCATGTTTGCAAGGCCCTCAAAGACAAGGTGCTTAGGACACGTTTCCCAGAGATTCAGAGATGTTGCACGTACCTTCTAAAAATCAGAAATTTTGTACTAACTCAATCAGTGACACGAAGTCACTTCTATCTATGGATAATTGGTTTTTTCAGTGCTGCGTGCATGGATCTTCATTGCGGGCTTCATTGACCGTCCGTCCGGGCAAAGTGGATAAAGCCTGCGACAAAAACTGCCAGTGGATATACACTGAGAGTTACTAGCTCTAGTTCCCATTTCAGCAGATCAAAAAGAAATGGTAAGCACGATGACGAATGAAGTGATCGCGACTCTGATTCGGGATCCGCATCCGAAAAGTTCAATTTTGGCTGCATGCGCACATACGTGACACTGCCAGAGAGATCACAGCCTCTCATCACACTCAGTGACGTACCCGACGATTGCATTGAGCGCGAAAACTTTCTGTAAAGGCCCGTCTGAGCGAGTTACTGGCAAAGGCCGAGTGACACTCTCCTGAGACTGTCATAGAACAGTATGCCCCGAGCTAAAAGTCTATGGGCGGGCCCCTGGCAGGTCGGTTGGCTGCCGGGCAGAATACGGCGATAGGAACGTGAACAAAAAGACAAAGTCTCCATGTCAACATGTTTTTTTGCATGCCAGAGTAAGTTCTATCACGTACAGCGATCAGGCTGAGAATGTTGCTCTCAATCAAAGGCGCCCGGCTATGAAGAAAGCTGTCACTTTTTTCGATTCTGCAAGGGCGCACCTCGGTACAAATCACGGCATGCAGCCACTTAGATATGTTTGTCGTATTATAGTCGAGTTTGCGAGTGACGATAGTTCAGCAGATCACCTAGAGAATTCATTAACTAATGCATGGCTCGTCTGAACCAATCTGAGGAGAGCAAAAGGACACCGTCAGGCTGAGAGTTCATTATCTGTCCGCTTATGTGCCCCTAAGCTGTAGGCATATCTGGCGCCGCCGGGGGGCCGCCCTCACCTAATTGCTCAGAAATCTTGTCAGCTGTGTGCTTACAGTAACTGCTCAACCGCACCGGCCAATCACCGCAGTTCCCGGTTTGACAATGGATCCTGTCGGACACTACCTACTTTGATTCTAAGCTCATTGTCCTAACGACCTGATCGCATAGCGGCAGCTAGTACCGAAGTAACTCCATAATCCCTACGGCTGTACTACGACTTTTGATGCTAAACCTATTTGACTGTTAGGCAAGGTACATGCTCTGTTTTGTACATCGCCCGGCTTCTGATGATGCAATTGCGGACGCCATAGGAACTTTCCCTCCACGGAATTACCTGATCAGCGACCACAGCGGCCAGCTGGCCGAATCCTTCAATCTCTGAGCCCGCCCTGACTCACGGTCCTACGCATCAACCTGTCCTGTTCTACGAGACCGACCGGTACAGCCACCTTCCGGGGCTGCCCTGCGGCGTTAATGGTCCGCCTGATCACAACTCCAACCGGCTGGCTCCCAAGCTCGCCGCTCCTAGATTGCCTCGACTCTGCTTCTACCTGGCTACCGTACGCAAACCCGTACGTTCTAGACGCGGCCCCGCTCTGGTGCGCGGCCGCGGCGCCTGACGCGGCGATCGCGGACGCTGTCCTCGGGATCTTGAAACTCTGCCCCGTGCTAATTGTCGAGGGAGCTTGGCTCGACCCGGTTGCGCGCGCACCCAGGCTCGCCAACGCGGACAAACGCCTTTGCCGCGTGGCGACCGCGACGCTCCCGCCCCCCTCGATGAGACCGCCCGCGAAAGGCGCCGCGGTTTCTTTGTACGCGCTCGGCTGCCCGCTCGAGAAAGTGCTCGCGCGCTTGGCGGAGGAGGAGGAGCGGCGGGCGACGGTGGAAGGGCGCACCTGCTGCTGCAAACATAAACGAAAGCGCTTGAGAATCTGAGTAGTCTAAACGAGAGCCGGAATCAGAGGTGACTTTTGACGGTCTTCGAAGGAGCAGCCGATTCCTTTGGCCGGGCGTGCTATTTTGGATTTTGAATGCGACGGATGAAAAGGCTAATTGAAGAACTCTCAGCTCTGTCTTTGAGAATGCCGATGAACTCCGATATATAAGGTAACGTCAAGTAGTGTAACGGCGGACGGCAGCTGCTCTGCTTCGGAACATCATATTGTTGGTCAGTCAGAGAAGCAATAACCCTGCATATGATCCGTGGAACAAGCTAGCTGGAAACGAGGGAAAATAAGTCCCGCTCCCGACGGACGAAAATCGGAAGCATCCGGGAATGCTGCGCGATCAGTACCTTGTCGAGGAGCTCCAGTAGAGTCTGAGTGGTCGTCCCTGTCGCCTGTGACGTCTGCATGCTGACGCCACCCATCCACCGCCGACTGTAGGAAGCGGCATGTGCCGACCGCATGGCCGGCCGCCCCTGGCGAAGGGTACCGCTGGTAAAAGGGGAGGAGCTCCGCAGAGCAGCCGCCTGTTCACGACAGAATTGAAAAGGGTTCGACAGGATGAAGTGTGTTGTTTGAATTTTCCAGCAATACCCTCATACACTCCCGAAACGTTTTCAAGCTTCGTTCGTCATTGAGGCACTCAACGGGAACGAAAAGGGAGGAGCTCCGCAGAGCAGCTCCCTGTTCACAACAGAGTCAAAGAGGTTTGGACAAAATGAAGCCCGTGTAACTGCTGGACTTCTCGAGCAAGACGCGGCATTCGCAATAAGCTTGACTGCTTATACAACTGCAGAATTCCTTCTTCACAATTTTAATTGAACCACACGATCTCTGTGGATTTAAAGAAGTTCGAAGGTTATGCAGCTCTGCACGGACAACTGCTAATGACCAGAAGCTTTTAATCCCTGGCACTTGTGTAAAAGCTGTCGTCTGTCCTTCAGAACGGTGGGGAAAAGTACGACAAAACTTACGTCTCCCTCTCCTTCTCCCCGTGTGCCTATGCTCGACCGTCGACGTGGCAGCCCAAACGCGTAAGGGCTCCCCATCGGCGCTTGGACACGTGTCCCCGAAATGCGCCTCGTGACCGCCGCGGCAGCTGTCGCTGGCGGCCCGGCCTGCGGATTTGACCACGCCTGAGCCGGGCCGTCCAGCCCGCCTCTAGTTACGGGGCGAAGATCCGGGGCGATCGCGTCACCCTGGAAAAGAAGCGATTGAAAGCGGTTTCAAGGGATCGGTCCGAACTTGATGGTTCGATTGACTGCATACACGAAAAGTGGAACTTTCAAAGATGGCTTTCACTTTCCGGCGGTGAGCCGCCTCCAAAAGCGCTACCATTTCATCGTTCAGAGTCGCTAAGAGTGTCTATCATGTGTCTTAAATCGAAAATTGAGACTACATCAACTCCGCTTATCAGGCGGTCAAAATAAATTTGACTGAGCTGTAGCAATTTGATTTGAAATCTGAGGTCGAGTGCAGGAGGCACTTGATTCCCAGCACACGTTTACTCTGCTTTTCCAAAGCGAGATCAATCGAAGCAACTAACAAGACTCTCGAAGCACCTTGCAAGTTGTTGTTAAGCTGACAGATTCATCAAGCCCTTACCAGTTTCCACATCGCAGCCTGGATGTCTCGCAGGAAATGCTGCTGCGGTCCAATGACCATTCCTGGTCTGACGATTCGAAGGTACCCCAGTACCTGCCGGAAGATACGAAGCACAGATATTGAGCTCTTGTGCACTGCCCTTTGTAAGGTCAGAACATCCAAATGGAACTCCTGAACAACTAGGTGAAGAAAGTAAAAGACTTCGTATACAAGAAATAATCGTCAAGGGAAAGACCAGTTCACCATCGCACGATCAGTGGCTGAGTAGACATAGACAAAAGTAACGTGAGTCGACGTTCCTGCAAACCTGCCGCTTCGGCTGGAAACTCTGAGATGCTCACCTCGTTGCACGTCATCCGGTAGTGCTTCATCATGTAGCAGCCGATCAGAACGCCCGTTCTACCAAGGCCCGCTTTGCAGTGGACTGCTAAGGCGCCTGGGTGGGTCTCGACGACCTTGAGAAAACGGCGGACGATATCGTCCGAAGGGCAGCTGAAAGGAGCGATTGACAGACGTGTTCAGATCGTGTGCTTGAGCCTTGAACGGTAATGCTGCTAAGCTTGCTGCCGCCCCAGATGCTCCGAGGTAGTGCAATGGTCAGAGTGGGCCCACACCGCACTTCCTCTTTACCCATCAAAAGTTGCCGCTTCTGTTCCCCAATTCGACAAAATGGATGAGGCAGAAAGTGATGATCAACACAGAGGGGGATACGGACCTGCCATCCGGAAAGAACAACTCGTAGTGAGCGATGCCATGGTCGGTAAAGCGCCTCCGGTCGTAGACCTTGTTATTGAGGCGAACGACCCCCGTGACTCCAGTCTGCAACGTACAGAACGTCGAGGTTCAAAGATTGAGGGGTTTCAAATAGGCCGCTAGCTTCAACAGCCAAGAAAGTGTTCGGAAGCATAATATTCAGATGCTCGTGGTTTGCTTGATTAGAAGCCCATATCATCAGTATTTCGAAACAGCTCGTTTAAGAAATCAATTCTGAATCAGCTTCCACGCAGAATATGCTTCAAAGCTCAGCTCAGTAGAAGTTTCTCTGTAAGTTCAGCTGTAACTGTCATTCCAAGTACCTCACTTGGCACAAGCCGTTTGTACGTACGCCATTTCTTGCCCCTACTTTTGATGCAAGTAAGCATTTTTTGAGTCAATTCAGCACGATTCAGCAATCGCCTCCTACCTTGTAAAAGTAGTCCAGGTAGTCCTCCGGCACCAAGGTACGATACCCGTAGATCTGCAGGGATCAACGCCAAATTTAGGGTAATGGCATGTTAGGAGGTAGTCAGCATCTACTAACCTTCTGTGACAGGGCTTACTTGACTCGGAAAGGTACGCGAAACGATCGAGCCTGCGGTTGCGGTAAACGGTACGAAGCAGGCCATTAGACCGTCTGCTCAGCCATGAAGAGTTTGATACAAAAAGGAAAGCGCACCTCAGTCCTTTTGGCCTGGGGTCCGCTGAAAGCGAGGAGCTTTCCTGGGATGATCCAGTTCAGATCTCCGTTCTCCACCTGCAGTCACATATGAGTCCGCGTTGGAGAGCTAGGTTCCTAGAACTCACTATGCGCCTCGAGACCAGATGAGCCAGAAAGAGTGTCGAAGACAAAATCCTTTGCATTCTCGAGGAGTGTCTGCGTCTGCCTGATAGAAATCAAACTTTTTCCTGGCAGTCACCCGCTCACCTGTTCAAAGTGCTCATAGTGACTGATGTCGAAGTTTCTGAATTCGATCCATCCGAGGGTTGTTGCCTTTTGCAACGCCTGCGAACAAGAGCAGCTTCCGCTTAGCTATTTCAAGAGAGGGTCCTCTAGGATTGGACTTTTTGAGCTGAGAGTCCGTTGCTTCAAGTTTTTTCAATGGAAAGTCACATACCCATAACAAAACACCAAACCTTAGGTTTCGGTTTGCAATATCAGTAGTGAAAAAGTTAATGGGGCGTTTGATTCGTAGTCCGCTCTTATTGCAGCACCCCGGCTTGGATGCACAAAGGTATGCTTCATCAAATCTTCGACTACATTCAACTTTAAAGGTTCTTACACAGAGGCAGTCGTAGACCGTCAGATGGTACGTCGAAGGCCCTGTCGTAGGATCCCGAAAAGGCAGGAATGGTTGGAATGGGAGAAGGGAGCTGTAGGCTTCTTCAGGAGACTTGCTCAAGATGAGGACGGAATACGCTCCGAGCTGCAAAAAAGAGATTGTGAGGATTACCAAACCACTGAATGATCAAAGGGCTGTCTTCGCGACAACCACCTTCTTACACGTTGCTGGCTTATGTCAAACAGCGGCTTCAACCGGATCGAAGCTGGTATGAGAGCAGTTTATCTAGATCAGGCTGTCTGACTGTATGCAAGAAAACAAAGCATTTGATAAGCTTGGGCGCGCTTACCAGGACAGCGGCGTTCGATTTCCTCTGCGCTTCCTGTGTTGTCCAGAAGTATACCTTCTTTCCAAGCCTCGAAGCCTCTAGTCTAAGAGTCTCGAGCTTCCAGCAAAAGCGGTAGGTCTGACCAAGATTGAGAGGCCCGAAATCGTCACAAAATGGTTCATACACCTGGAAGTAGACAAGTGGAAAGTCAAATCTGGAGCTGACATCGCAAAGCCAATGCAATTCTTGCTTACTGCTGCAGGCGCAACCATTCTGTGCCCGCTTTCATAGGGATCGAGGATAGTAATGATTTGACGAAGACAATTCAAACCTTAAACAGGAAAGGCGATCAACTACGAAGTGCTCTTTGAATTTTTTGATGCAGGGCGCCAGTGTAGATGTCTGGCAAGATCTCGTCGATCAAGTTGCTCACCAGATGCGGAAGGTCCGACTCGAGGTTTAGAAGGACATTTGAAGATGCGATTGTAGAGCACCTCGCAAATTCTGCTCTTCGAAGCACGGCAAAGTAGACGCTCCCTTTGACCACTTCACTCGCGTTTGCAAAGTCGTCCCTTGAAGCCATTCTAGTGCTGTCATAGAGTCTGCATCAGGAAAAGCACGGTTAATCATGGACTCTAAAGTTGCTGGATTATCCAACTATAGAATCTTTCCTTATCGCTGTGCCCAGCGGTGAAGGTTTGCAATCCGCGATTTAGGAGGAGTGTCTAAGGCTGCAATTACCAGAAGTTAGCCAGCTTCTCAGAAGTTTCCACGAAATTTCAAAAGGCATCGCTTGGACAAATCACGCTTTCTACAATAGCCTACACCAGTCTAAGCAGACTGGCAAGAGTGTCCACCTCCTGGCTACTCCTAATGTCTGCTTTGAGCAGACCGTTTCGAGGCTGGTGCATATCCCCGCTCTCTTTCATTCTCATTAGAAAGCTCTAAAGCCTAGGCGCACTTGTCACCGCCTTGTCAGCCTCTGTAGCATCACCATCAGCATTGGACTCACTCATTGATCCAATCTTTGTGAAATTCCTGGGATTCAGAATTCGCCATGTTTCGTAAGGTCCCTCGTCATTGATCGAGCACCACCAATCTGCTTTTCTCACATTGTTCAGAGTTCTTTGTCTTGACCAGTAGACCACCTTCGTCTGCACCATTAGGATCCGCCAATGAATCCTTTTTGTTGCATCATTGCATCACTCCGCAATCCTACATCCTAGACTGGCACTCTTTTCTTTTCTCGACACGTTCGATCGCAATGTGTTCCATGCTTTCCTTCCTCATTGCCGCCAGCTTGCTTGCAGCCTACATCGTTATTGGGGAAGAAGACAACACCAGTGAAGCAGCCACCGTCTTCAATCAGCAATCGGATGTGGCGCCCTGTCTCCCTTACGTCTCAGTATAATGTCCTCGTGAAAGCAGATAGTGGCGCCCTTCATAAGATCATTTTGGTGCGACGATCATCATGACTGATTCCAGGCTTGCCCTGAGCCAAGTGGTGGAGCCTCCCCGAGGGAAGAGTCAACAAAGTCGTCCAATGTCAGAAGTTTCTCACGGCTGACATCAGGCGAGATTATGTGAGCGGCAGTCGACGCCAAATAGAAAATCAGAAGACGCTTGGAAGAGTAAGCGTCATTCTGGCATGGTCAGATCCTCACTGCTTACGAATCTGGTAATCCAGAGTCACATATATTGAGGCCTGAGCAATGCAGCCATCAAATTCAATCTACATGAAATGCATGTCTGCTCTGACTCGAATATTGTTCTTCGCATTTGCAGACTGCAGAGACCTGGACCGCGAGACGTCTGAAGCATTGCCGAGGGCGCTGCAGATTGGACAGCGTTGACTGGATTTGCAGCGCAGATGGCGTAAAGCGCGGCCGCGTCCTGAAGCTGGCGCGGGCTGGCGCGCTTCATTTCGGCCGGCGGCCCACTCAGCCGGAGTTGCATGCATGCAGAGCCGAGTACGTCAATGATGGACGTCACCCAACGTCACCCGACCACGCGCGCGCGGAAAGGTTTAGAAGTGACGCCTGCATCTTGGACATCGGACAGAACGCATTGTGATTCTTGGACGCAAACGGTGCGATGCCGTCCAAAAAGCACTTTGCTTCATGCAATGGGAGCGCTCGCGCTGAGAAACTTAAAGCACAGCACAGAGCAAAAGGGGGTCCAGTCTTCAATGACAAAAGTCGGCGATTAAATTGGTGGGATCTTCAAACAAAAGGGCGGAATCTGGCAGAATTTCATCCCCCCCTGCGTAGTTGCTGTGGTAAGCAGGTTGTTCTCTTGATCGCAGCAAAACTTTTTTAGATGCAGCGTCTCTCTCCGTCCAGCAGGACTGATGGCCCTGTGGCCGGCCATCCTGTGCGCCATCCTTCTGGGGGTCGTCTTCCTCGCATCTGTCTTTGTAATCGTCGCCTTTGAGGGGCAGGGGCTTGAGCGGGAGCGAATTTGGCAAGCACGCAGCGGGCACTACAACGCGCGATGGTTGTTGATTTACAGAGCCTTTTGGCTGGTGTACTTCTTTGGCGTGGACTGCTATGACGTGAGCTGGCACGGGGCGTCCGCATTCCTGTGGTACACACAGTGAGTGATTTGACTGTCCTGGTGGTGGTTAAATTGATGTACAGCTTGGTCATTTCAGGGTCTGATAGAGCTCTACGTTCCCCTCTGCTGGTATAGTCAGCATAATGTTATCATTTCTTGGTGCTATCAGGGCTGTAAGCAGCTCATCGATTGACGTGGCTGACTCGAAAGGTGGTCGGCCACTACTTGTGTAGCTTGGAACAGCACAACTCATATCAATCCATCACTTTATAGAGATCATCATGGATCCATGTTCAAACAGAGGCTGATAGACAAAGCTCACGGTAAAATGACAGACTCTTAGCTGCATCAAGAACTCAAGTGATCTTGCCTCTCTTACAGATGGAACTTCTCCTTGGTCATCATCTTTTTCTTGGTGAGCGCCAGTCGCTTCTTGGTTCCTCCACCGAGTGTCTATTTGTATATATTCCTCTTTAGAATGGTAATTTCCGCTCTAAGCAGACTTGGTTTCGTCATAGGTGGTTCTCAAGAACGTCATGCTTGCCTTCTCCAAAAGAGAAGGGTGCCTATCGCTCAGTGAGCTAGTGATTTTTTTCTTTCATTTCGCCCCTGGGGCTTCAAAGCGCCTTTGACTCCACCATCTTTGCTGAGCCCAGGGAGAGTTACTATTCTCAAACGTAGCTGTTATGTCCCTTCCAAACGCAACAGATTGTTGATTCCCCAAACGATGCTTCCTTGAGGTTTCCTTGGCTTACATAGGCGGACAGTTCCAAGAAGACCTTTTTTCAGCCTGCAAGAAGCAAGTCTAGCAGAAGTGCCTTGGTTGATGAGCAGTGCCTGCTTCATTAGCCAAGCTTTCCCCATTGAACTCTTGATTCTGCCATGTAACCTCGTCGTATTCCGCGACTGCCATGTCCCCTGCATAAGGAGGAGAGAATAGGAGAATAGGTGTCTGCAAATTGTCGGTCCATAGACAAGGAGCGAAGAAGGAATTACACATGAGACAAGTTAGCACTTTCTTTGGTACCATACAAGTTAGCACTTTCTTTGGTACCATGCAGTGTGGGACCTTGGTGAGTTCTTTGGAGTTGTGGCGGTCCCGGGCCGGGAAGCAGCACAACGAGGTGCGGGAGATGCAGATTCCGGGTGCAGAGGGCGACGTTGAGCTTGCCCGCAGGTACATTGCAAGTTGCAGAACCCGTCGGAAGCTGAGAGAAGATTGAATGGCGTCTTGATTCAGCAGACAGTTGTGGCTCCTGCAACATTCGGCATCAAGACGGAACATGTTAAAGAATGTGAGAGAATAAGGGTCTTTCCTGATAAAGGAGGAGGACGACACTTGTTGGGGCATCAACAAGCACAAATCCATTACAGAGTCTCGAAAGTCAAGTCTTTAGCAATAGAGAAGTCCGAAGGGGATGCGAGGAGGCAGTAACACTGCTTGGCTCCTCAATAGCCAGGCTGGAAACGTGTGAATGTTCTTTTCGTCTTCTGTGAAGAAAGCAAGAATTGCAAAGCCCTTGAATTTAGGGCCCCGAGAAGCGCACACATAGCCAGAAAAGCCTCAAATCTGAATGGGACAGGGGGAATCCCACAATTGTGGCTACTACACTTACCTGGCTAGAAACGTTCGAAGGTGCTTTTTGTATCTTGACAAATGAACGAGAGTCCCGAAGCCCGTAACTCAACAGGAAAAGGCGAGAAAGGGACAACCGTCAGCGGCTTCAATCACCAAAAGAGAGGCATCCTCAAGATGTAAAAGTTGAAGCGCATTAACTTGCAGGGGAGAGGACGAAGAGGATATTTGGGCAAGCGACGAGGAGGAGGATCGGCGGCCCCTCGGCCAGCCGAATGGAAGGAAGGTTCCAAATGGGGTTGGGGCAAAAGGCGGGGCTGTGCCCAGGAGGAGACCAGAGGATGATGCGGGGGTGCTGGAATATGCAGTGCAGATACTCTTCCAGGTGAGATGCCGCTGAGCTTGTTTTGAATGATGAATCTACTTTCCGTAGCTCAAATTGGATTGGTAAAGTGTGTTCTGCTGATGGTCCATAAGTCTACGTTCTGGAAAAGACAGGTGGCAAAGGATGCGCGCACTTTAAGAGTGAGTGGACATTGGGGAGGCGTAGCATTCTCCTGGCTGTTGAAGCCTAGTCTTAGCTTTCTCCGAAAGTTAGCAATGTATTGACTCTCTCCGACACGTTTTTGAGTTTATTCTCGCTCTCCCGAAAGGGTTGGCGTTCTATCGTTCATGTTTGGGTTCCCTGTATCCACTGGAAGCAGCCGCATCTGCGCGGGCCAAAGCGGCGGTTCATTTTATCAAAGGCAGTAGTAGCCAACCAGAGCCGCGCTTTCTGACCCGATCGGGAGCTCCGTCTTGGCTCGGTGACTCTGAAATTTACGCAGTAGTAGCTGACAAAGCCGTAATTTCTGATCTTGCAGACCTGCAGTTCTTCGGTTTTATTAGTCGACACGGTCTTATGGCTGGTCCTCTTCCCTGTCTCCGTGGAAGAGGGGCGGACGAGCGAGATTTTGAATTTCGTAAGTTCTCTGTGCTTCAAAGAGAGCAGCCTCTCTGTGCTGAAGTCAAGAACGACTGGTTTGTCGCGGCTGAATGGGCAAAATTCTGGCTCTCGAAAGTGGGGCCTTATTGCCAGCTGCAAATACATCCGCTCTGCATTCGGAGGTGACGGTTTGTTGCTACTGAAAGCTGAGAACCTGAGAACTGAAAAACGGAGTCAATGGAACAATATACGTAAGACCAGACCGCTTTTATGAAAGGCGCCTAGCGGACTTCTCAAGGAAGGCGCTTAGAGCGGCTCTCCAATCTACGCCCTTGGTTGGTTGGTATAGATTTAGTTACAGCAAAATGAAACCACCCATCAACGAAACAAACGAACCGTTCTAATAACGTGCCGCGCAACAGATTGTTCCCGTATACAAACAAATGTGTTGCTTTCAAGCCATGGGCGTGCGTCGTCAGTCCGAGCTGGCGGTGTTTTGTGACCTGAGTTTGGCGTTTATTTGTTCCTGTCCTGCAGGTGAGCTATAACGAGCACATCATAAACGCTGTTGCGATGGCGGGGGAGTTTTGGCTCAACAGCATGGTAAGGTGTTCATGCGTATTCTTTTACGGAACAGGAAACGTCAAACGTGTTGAGAGGATTTTGATGTTGTATTCATATCTTTGACTATGTGGTCGCAAGCCGTCGACAGAATTTTTACGGTTCTCGTCAACACACAGTTGCGCTCAAGCTGGAAAGGAGCTCCGAGTTTCTCTCAGCTCTATTTGCGAGAAGGGTGACATGGGCCGTGTGGAACAGAACTGCGCGCGGTCGGCTCTATCAACCAGACGCCTAGCTCCTTGCGCGACCCACCGATCCCCAAGGTCCCCGCACTTTTCTTTGGTCGTAGGGCAACCGGTTGGTAATCAGCGTTCTGGGATTGTGTCAGAGCGATTCGCGGCCTGAAAGTGCTTCTGACCCTAGAGGCATTTTGTGTCAGTTTTACTACCTACTTTTGAAACGCGTCGTTCGATCTCGGTCAAGCGTGGCGATCCATCCCGCTTTTCAATTGTCGGGTTTGCACCGAAAGATGGAACTGATTGGGTCGCTTTATTTTAAAGCGACATAGATGAATGTCAAGGTAAATTTCATGGTCGAGGAGGAGGTGTTTGCTCCTTACAAAGCGACCAATGCGCCTGAAGAGCATCTGAGAAAATTTAGCGAAGTGTCGGAGAAACTTCCATATTCAGCTGACAAAGGCTTTCTCGCAGGCGTTCCCTGTATTCCGGATGAGTTACGTCGTTATTTGGGCCTGCCTGTACGTTCTTCTAGAGTGGTTAGCCCACCCATGGGGATCAAAGTGAGTGTCGCAACCTGGGCGATGTTCACCATGCTCTGCTGCTGGGTCGCCACAATATCCAGTTCTTTGATCTGTCTGTCGTCGCCGGAACTTGTCCTATCTGCCTTTTGGCTGCATCATGGATTGGCCATTCGGAACGGGTTACTTCGAACGGGCCTGAATAAAATCATCACCATTTCAGCCGTCTCATCGGGGACTGTTGCACTCAAAATCGTGTCGAGACTGTCGTTACCGGAAGCTGCAACACGGCATGGTGATATGTGCGAGCATGCCGTCTCAGAGACAATCAGGACGAGCGGGCCATCTTAAGATCGGACAGTGTCGAAACCCCTTGTTCAGAAGAGTCTTCCGGACGTCAGAACAGCAAGGCCGTGGCCCTTGCCGTTTTGATCCCGCTGATTCCTGTGCTTTCGGGTTCTTTTCGTTGATTCCAACGGCGAATCTGAGAAAACAAAATGTCGCTTTTGTCGTGCAGATGGACCTATTTCTTCCTCGAGTACCGGCAGCCGACGTCGATACTTTGGTAAGCGGGATTGTCCAGAAGCATTGAAGATGAAAGCAGCTCTATTCTGCGGATTACGATGTGCTTAAGAGCTTCTCCGAAAGTGGCACCTCCGCATTGTTTTAAGCAAACATCCCATTCGTGCTGCTTCCGATATCCAATTATCTAGAATTGTGAGCATGATTCCTTTGAAGCGTTCTGTGGCTTGGAGCCGCAATTGCAGTATAGTGCAAAGTAAGGAAAAGACCGAGGGATGGGATGAAACTCCGCGTGACCGTTTTGCAGGTACGCAGGGTTGTTGTTACTGCATTGCATCTTCTTCGGGGTTTGTTATTGGCTCTCACAATTGAAGCAGCGGAGCCTTGATAGAGCGGACAGCAAAGACTGGCTCCCTATAGACCAGAATCTTTACCGGAAAAATGTCGTCGTTGAAAGGGAACACTTGGTGGCGGGAAATGTTGGGCCCGCAAGTACTCCGTTCGAAAGAGTATACTAGGACCTCGCGGCTTGCTTTTCAAGTTCTAAGTCGAAGCGTGGAAATGCAGCCGTAACATGATGATGGTTACAAGTTCTCGATTGTGTCCATCTTAATCGAGTTAGTTTGCACGGTAGCAGCGCGGCTGGCAGTCAGAGAATGATCAGAAGCGTAACAGGCGCCGCGGCTCAGCCTATTAGGAAGTCAGGTGCTCTTTGCAAGCTAAAGTTTGTGATGGCGAGACTCCGAGTCATTGGTCCAATCGTGTCAACGCAACCCATGATTGTTCATGGCACTGCACCCAACAGTATGCCGGGCCAGCTGATGAAGGTTTGGGCTAACATGCCGCGCACGAAGGCCAAGCTAGTAGCCTCGCACAGTCACGTGGCGTCCGGTCAATGCTGGCATGCAGGCCAGTGGGCTATTCACAGAAAATTACATTTGCAACTTGGAAATCATGATTGCGTCGCTCGCCTCATACTAATTGCTTATAAGTCGAGCGCCTCAGAACTTGGGCAATCTCTGAAGACCTTTCGATCCGCGACACAATCGATGGCGATCAATCATCTGAATGCATCTTCTGTGCATTCCGGGCCAGGCGGCTTCGAGCCATTGCATCGGACAAGGCCGCGGCCCATCTTTGAGAACTAGAATTGGCCATGCTCGACTCGAAGTATCCAATGTCTGTAATCACCCGCGGCGTGGGTACATACTAATTACATGATCTCATGATCGTGTTCTGGTACTTGCATGACTGCACGGGGTGCGCGCGCATGACGTCATACCTGGGTGCCAAAGGCAATAGTTGATGCTTGCATGCGACGTATATCATCAGTCAAAAACTCCCGGACTGGCCGGGCTGCTTCGAGGTCCGGTACTTGTTGATCGAATCAAGGCGTTGAAATTTAAGCCTGCCAGTATTCTGTGGAAACCAAACTGCCCCGCGGAAGATCATGAGGTCTTGGTCCCGAGCTTCCAGAGCTCATTTGTTCTCTGGATTCGGAATTTTATAAGGCGCGTGCGCGGGCCCAGATCCGGACAGCCAATCTAGATATGATGTTTCCGACGACCGGCCAATTGTCTATCGACGAGATCATGGCGGCAAATCCTTGATTTGTTACTGGCAGAAAATGCCACTGACGCGGCCGTAGCACGGTCGTGCCAGGCCCCCCTAAGGATCGCTTTCTAGCCTCGAAGGAATGGAGAGCTTTTATCTAATATACTGTGCACAAGGTGTGACAGAGGCGCATGCTTCGGGTTGGTCAGATTATGTGCCCGTATCGAGCCTGGCACAGGCTCTTGCTCTATAGAATCCAGGCAGGTACCAGGCTTAATGGCAAATCATGCCCCTTGTCAGCGCTGTAACTTTAAAAAATATGCAGCAAGGAACTTTAGTTCGCCATGCCTGATTCGAGAGTCGGAAATGGATTCTCTGGCTAAAAGCCCAGCTCCATAGCTCCAGCAGCCTTGCCCCAGTGCTCGTGGCTGGCTGATTTGTTCGCGCGGCATCATGGGTCCATGGGGCCCCCGGCATGCGTAAATCGAGTGGCCAGGGAGTGGACGACAGGTACGGAGATTTTAATGTGACGAATGGGAGAAGATTTCGCAGCCAAGGTCAGATTGAGCTTACTCCGAGTGTTGCAGTATTAGGTCCTTATCTAGTAGGTAGTATTGTAGTAGTCCGAAGAACTCGCCCTGAATTAAGGGATCTCCAATGTCCATGCCTTCTCCATGTTGGTGACATCAAGATACCGAGGCCCCAGCTGACATCAACGGAGCCTTCTGCGGATCGTTGAATCAACGTTGTTGGAAAGATCCGGTGCGTCCAGATTCACCAAGAAGGTCCTACTGCTTAGTACCGTACTCTCGTACTTTGGGATTTTCAGTCGCGGCAGTAGGTATACTGGTAGTAGGTACCTACCCAAAACTGACCTCAAAACTGAGCGAGCCAGACTGCCGAGGCTGCCGGCCGAAGTATACACAGTCAACCCTGTTCGGACCTGGGCTGACCTGGGCCGCAAGAAGTCGAGCTTGATGCGCGCGTCATGCAATTTTGGATCTGTCAGGCCGTCGATACCGAGTATCGACGGCGCATCTTCAAGCATAAGGTTGAAACTTGAGGTACATCACCCGGCGCCCCGGCGCCGCGGCCGCGGTCATGATGGTGGGTAAAAAGGTACCGTACCTACTATGTACGTGGCTAAGCCCGGTAAAACACTGTGGGCAGCGGCTTTCAAGTTTCAAAAGTCGTGGTTGACGGCCATCATGATCACAAACTTCTAACACCAGCTGATGAGCTCACAGAAAAGGGTGTCAGGATCGCCAAAAATGCACAACTTCAACTTAGTGGCGGAAACAAGCTAGCGTTCAAGCCGCCTCTTCTCTGCGGGAGTTAGGAGGTTGTTTTCACAAGCTTAGATAGCTGGTTCAGCATGAACAGCCGAGCTCTCAGGATGGCATCATGTCACTTAACTTCAAGCTGGAGGAGACGGAAGTTTTTCATGCTGTTTCCCTTCTTGAGGAGAAATGAAGGGTCAAGTCATATCTTCACAGCCCTGTCTCAGAAAAGGTGTTTCTTCAACCTTCGAAAATCACGTCATTACGGAAGTGTTGCTAGGTTTGGAGCTGTCAGATCACTCAGCTTTGGTTCGAAGCAAAGCTATCCAGCTCGCACTGGGACGGGCAGCATTGGAAGTAGCTCACAGCTTTCTGTACCTTGAAAGACACTCTATAAGCGATTGCGGGGATTGCTTGCACTCTGTAACGAGCCAATTTCAGCTGCTAATCCTTCCAAAGCAGTGCCATGATCGGTTTGATTATATTCGTAAGAGGGCAATCAGCCCACATAGGGCGCCTTTGAGAAGGCGTGATGCATAAGAGCAATCGCTGCAGTCTCGCCCACGTTTTTAGGGGTGCAACTGAAAAGCGTTGAAGACTGGCTGAGAGCTCCTGTTTGAAAAGCTTTGCAAAGCGCAACAAATCTTAGCCATCCAAAGGGATCACGCCAATTGCAAAGCTCCTTCCCAGTACTCGGGCCATAATGGCGGGCTCAAGACTTGATGTGATACTTCTCCTTCTTTGTGGAGTCATGCTGATGACAACGCAGTCGACCTACGCTGGTAGAGTGGGTGAGAAAACGTGCCTCACTTTCTGACGTTCCTTCCTTCGTGCCATTCCTTGAAGCTTCTTTCAATCAGTCTCACATCTGATCGGTCTTTTCTCACAGTAGTGTTGATAATTAAATCAATGCTCCAAAAAGGTGCATATCAAGCACGTCTGGTCGAGCTCTATCTTTCAAGGGCCTGTGCATCTGGGGGCGATGCACAGAAGTGTGCCTTTTTCAAGCTCTCAGTTCTTGAGTAAGCCTAAGCAAGCGCATATTCAAACAAAAGGGGGGTGCCTAGCTCAGGCTATTCGGTATAGCTCGGAGAAGTTCCATCAATCGGTGCAGGGCTGGAGGAATAGACGCACGGGTGTTGCATCAAGTTTTGGATATCAAGAGGGGGGCGATCTTCATGATGTAATGATGCCCATCAATGTCGGAGGAGTCTTGAACGCCACTTCACTTGTCAATCTTTTATAAGTGAAACGTACTGGTGCCGTTTGTTCTTGCACGCTTCCAATGGCTGGAAACAGAGGGGTACTATAAATCAGGGGCTGTCAGAGTACAAGAACTTGGCCAACAAACAGCTCGACTGTGCATTAAGCATTACAAATAGGTCCTTGCCCAAGTGACCCAAACACCGGTTTTGATTAGAAGTGGACTCATGAGATCCTCAACTTCATAGATCGTTGAAAACAGCAGCCACCACTTTAACAAGAGCTGCCTTACTATCCGTTGAGGTTTACATAGTAAAGGAAGCACCTCACGCAGCGTTTCTGACGTGCTCAACCTTTGGCAATTGTTCGCTCGGCATGCATTTTTTCTGCAGCGTACCCGTTTGATCCGAGCCTCTTCTTCCTTCGCATCTCTACTTGGCAATCCATACTGGATCCGCCCTCAGCTATGGTTCTGTAGTCACCTCAGTCAAAGAATACAGTTACCTCAACAGTTACCTCAAACAGTTACCCTTCCAGCTCTTTGACCAACTTCTACTTCGCAGTTTGGATAGCTTTGATGCAGGAACTGAGAACCTAGCGTCTCTCCAGAACCCTCTGACACCGACCCAACTAGACGAGGCAGAGGACAAGGGGTTGGGGACTTCCCATGTCTGAGCTCGCCACTCTTCTCATCCAATCAGAACTTTCTTCTGCTTACAGGCCCTTCTAGCATCGACCCAGCCTTGCTCGAGTCCGCTGACCTCGAGGTGTTGAACCTGGGCGCCGCTCTGTCGGACAGTTTTGGCCTGGTGAGCTTTTCTAAGTCGTTTTCGATCTCGGAATCTTGGTTACGGGTAATGGTCCCGTGCTTGGATTCACTATGCGGAGCCGCTCCGACGAGTCCGGGCTCTGCTCTGTCAAACAGCTTCAAGATGCGAGCTTTCGCGGGACTGTTTCAGCCCTCCGCTAGCCTCCTTTTCTTCACATATCCTTAGCCTGCTTCGTAAAGAATATGAGGAGCATGTTCCAGGAAATGAAGAACTGCCAAAAAGGCGCGGACACGTCGGCGCACAATCTGGATTATGGGCACTCCGAAGGACTGAGATTGCCTCTTCGCCTGTGCAGGCTCAGCCCATAATCGCCACGAACGGGAGAGAGCTTCTGCAGTCAGGTGCACACCCGCTTCGAGACCTCCTCCATGATTCGTCTTAACCCATCTAGAGCTCTAGGGATGTTTCGGCTGCTGTCTTAGAGATCAACTCGCTGCGGGCTGATGATTCGAGAATTCAAGCCACGGAAGCATCATGAGTTATTTCTTGGCGGGCAAGCGAACGCCCTTGAATTCGCGTTTAGAGTTGGCATTATAGTTTCTTGGTACACGCTCCCAGTTAACATGAACTGTATGAGCATTGCTTAAAGAACAAGATAAGGGTTCAACCTGCATCAAAACTCGTTGGAACAATCTGTTCAAGTCAACCACGCTTTCCCCTGTTTCTTGCTGCCCACTTGTCCTCACTACTAGCTCTGACGTCTGCTTGCTGCACGCGTTCTAAACCCCTTCCTTAACTCCACCAGGTTGCCCCAACCCCAGTTTCCAAAACCCGTGCTACGCCCCCGACGGCGCATCCTTCATCTGCTGCGCCGCCGGATGTGGGAACTTCAACGGCGCGCGGCCCACCTGCCAGGGGGGTGCTCCAGCAACGCAAACCAGCCCCCCCACGGGGACACCCTCGAAACCTCCCCCTACGAAAGCCCCAACCAACCCCCCCCCGACGAAAGCCCCTACGAATCCACCCCCGACAAGTGCTCCCACAAACCCCACTACAAACCCTCCGCAAACCAACCCCCCCACAACGGGCGACTATAACCCGCCTGATAACCCTCCCATGGTTAACCCGATCGCCGCTTTCCCGGTTCCGTTAGGAAGTACCGCGACGCCCATGGTTGCGAATTACTGCCCGACCGCCATGTGCTTCGTCTCCGACGGTTCGCGCGGGTTTTGCTGCCTAACCCAGTGCCCGGTAAACCCGAAAAGCTACCCGTACTGCTCGGGGGATCGGATTGGCGTCGCATCTGGACCCCCCACGGGAAAACCCACGGCAGCGCCGGCAACTCCGACCCCAACCGCGGTTATCCAGCAAATTACCCCTAACCCGACCACTAACCCGACCCAAGCACCGGTGACCGCTAACCCAACCGCCGCCCCTGCTGCGCCCGTAACCGCGTCCCCGACCGCTAACCCGACCGGTCGCGACCGCCTGTTCAACAGCTACTGGCTGATTCCCGGAAACAGCGCCCCGAGCAGAAATGACGGCTGGTTTGAAGTGTCGGAAAACTTGGTTAACCCGGATACGAAGTTCGGGTTAGGCGAGAACGCGGTTTTCTTCCGGAGTTTGAAGCATCATGGCGACCACGAGTGGGAGCTGCGCATCGGGCCAAGCGGCCACGTGTACTCGATCAAGTGAGTCGCATAGCTTATGCGGGTTGAAAAGCGTTTGGGTAGTGTCAGCTGGGTTAGACTAACCTAGGACCTTCCAAAAAAGAGGTCAATATTCGCTTAGCTGAAGCCAGAGTTCACGACTGTTCGCGAAAGGAAGAGCGATTGTTGGTCCGCTTTCACTGAACGTACCGACCCTTTCGAAGACAGCTCAGTCGAAAGTTGAAACTTCTGTCCAGGTTTTGTCAATCATACCATGTGAAAAAGATCAGCAGTTTCCGCACGCAATAAAGTTCTGTTACTAACTTAACCTCAACTTAACCCACCTTCTGCAGGACCTCCACTTCGGGGGGTGCCGAGCTGGTCTGCTGCCAGGCCTCCCAAACGCAATGGATGGACCGCGTCCTCCAATCATGCGTCAGCGACCTCCGTTACCCCGGTGCCTACACACTCCAGCAGGCCGGTTCGTACCCGCAGAAATCCCCCAACCCGTTCCCGCTCTACTCCCCCAACCTGGGCGTCTCGACCGGGGCACTCGACCGGGGTATCAGCGTAGTTACACTGCCCCAGCAAGCTCAGATTTACGAGCGGGATTTGGCGGATAAGAACTTTTGGCAGTGGGTTTTGCTGCAACAGCACCTGAGGGACATCGGGAACGGCATCGTCGAACTGACGTACGTGTTCCACAACTTCGGGCCGTTCGACCTGCAGTTTGTCGACGCGCCCTGGGGCGGCTTCAAGTTCAGGTGAGCGGTTTTTTACAAGGACTGTGGATATGCAGATCTGTTTTGGGCGGGCCTTGAATGAGTCGTGCTTTCAATCGCCGAAGCTGGAGAATCTGTTGGAGGGAAAAAAGGCAGAAATTTGCGTGCTCCGAGACTCAAAAGAATCTTCTTTGTGATTCCGAAGACTTTCGATCTTAAACAAAGCAGACTCCAATCTTGGCGACGTGCACCGATGCTTTCTTGGAGTTCAATCTTACAGCAAGCGCGATTGCTGAAAGTCTGCTCTCACTTCACAAAACCATTAGCCGTCAGATCTCCTTCCCTGAAATCCAAATCACCTACATCAAGATCCAGAAATCAAGAAGCTCCAAAACCTGCAAATCTGCTACGCCTGTTGCATGCGAATAGCCAACCCAAGCGCAAGCAGCGCACTGCCAAATGTTTGATCTCCCGCCCTCTTTATTGCAGCCAATTTCCGCAATACGCAGTCGGCGAAAAGACCGGTGGGTACCACTTTGAGGACCACTCCGGTGCCTGGGAGTACACTCCGCCCGCGGACAGCTCCTCGGGGGGGTGGATGGCCTTCGCCAAGACTCAAGACGTAAGCAGAATTGTTTTTAAGATATAGAAACTTGTTTTCCAAACTAATCTCATGACTGTATGCTTGAATTACGAAGGGGGTGTGGGCCGGGCAACCAAGCAGCAAAGCAGGACGTGCGTCAGATTACCCTCTGGGATCAAGACCATCGACGCTTTGAGTCTGGTTCTGCGCTTCTGGGACCCAAAAGAGGAGGGACCTGAAGGATTTTGCTGCCTTTCAAAGTGATAAATGATAACCTTTAATTCGAATTTCGATTTGAATCTTACGACCTCTTTTTCAACATCGGGTTTCTCGCGGGGCAGAGCTGGACGGAAGAATCTGCACAACCCAGTTTCCAAAGTCTTTAGAGAATCGAAACAAGGTTTTTGAAGTTGCCCGGAGTGTCAATGTCCCGCCGGCCAGAACTTCAAAGCCCTGGACGACTTAAACGATTGAGCCCCTAAACCAGCATGTCCGCGCGCAGGCGGCCCTCGGTATGCGAGCGGCACCACGCGCCCAATCAGCAAACGCGAAGCTGACAGCAATCGCTCGGCAGGGTTACACCTCGTCTCCTAAGAAGCTCAAACATTAAAAACTTTTGTGCGCAGGCGGCCGCGGACACGATCAGCATCGTGTATGCGCCCAGAACACGAAAGCTTGCAACGGATTCGCTCCTCCATTTTGATTGCCCACGACCCAAGGGAAAGACAAACTGCGCCTAAGACGCTATACCTTTTAAAAACCCCATTGATTTCCGCGCAGGCGGCCGCGGACGCGATCGGCATCGTGTACGCCCCCAACCAGAACACGCAGCCCTGGCCGCAGTCGCTCATTCGCTTCGGGCGGCTTCCGACGGAAGACCTGAACGTCATCGAGCATATTCACATGAACCAGCCCTGGGAGAAAGTGACGGCGGCGCTCCCCGCGGGGGGTGTGTTTTACGCCCGGTACTACATGGTGTTAAACAGCGTCGGGAACATTGCGGGGGCCGTGCCAGATTTGCAGGTCAGTCAATACGTTTGGCCTAGCAAAACCATTCGACGCTATTTTAGAGGACTCTTTGCCTGGTGCAATTCACCAGGCCTTTCTTTCACACCTAAGATCTGGGGGGCTGCAGCCCCCACGAGCCCCCCCGCTTCCTTTGCGGCGTATACGTCGTTGCAAAAATCTGGACGATAATTGTGCTCGCTTTGGTGGGTCCAAACCTATGGGCGAATATGATTGAGGGCTCCCAAAATTGCCTTGTTGCGAGACGTTGAAGTCGTGAGAACAGTCCTGGGTTTTTGATTTATTTGTCAACCAATCTCCGTTGCATAAGGTAAAGCTGCATGGCTCATACTTTCTTTTGGCCGATTTCCTGATCTCTTCCACGACATCTCTCCTGATGTTCTTTTCTGAGCCTTTGAGATTCACAATGGATTCACACTGAGAAGCGGGACATTCGTTTATCAAGCGAACCTTTTTCAAGGAAGATTCTTGACAAATTGGACATCTCATCGAAAGAGTAATACAGACGAGAATCGATGTTTATAGGCATCCTAATGAAATCAAATATTTCAACCGCAACGGAGTACCAACCTGTTCCAAACCTCCCGTGCGCAGCAACACGTCAGCAAGGGCCCGCTCCAGTTTTCCGCCGCGGAAACCGGATTCATGTCCGTCGGCGCCCCGATCCCGGTCACGAGCTGGTACCCGATCGACCACCCCCTGCCGCACTCGCTTCCGCTCTTCCTCCTCAAATACGTCAGCACGGGGCAAACCGTCGTCAGCACGTCGCCATACGCTTTCTACAACACCAACAACGGCAACACTGCTGACCCGAGAGGCACGCAGTACCTCAAGTTCTTGGGGTGGGGGGTAAAAGACACGGGCAGCGGAGCCCCCCAGGGGCTGGGCGCGATGAAATTGTTGTCGCAGATTTTGCCGCAGGCTTGGTTCCCGGATCCGTACTGGGGGGATGCTGTCGTCAAGGCTGACGTGTGGGTTGGCGTTTGATGATTAAGCGGGTAAAATGGGAATACTTTAAGGAGATAACTTATAAGGTACTTGTGGGTCCGGTGAGTGAATGAATTCCGTGCGAAGAGTTGCGCGATGAGAGCGGAAATTAAGCGGAGGAACGGATACTGCCGACGATTAGAAGCTGACATGTATTGGCGACGATATACTTCAAATGTAATCTATAACGTAGTGATACTGAAGCTGTAGGATATGGCAGAGGATGGTTAGAGCTTATCAGAGAACGGCGAAAAGTCCGTACTTTCTAGAAACGGGCGTCGAGCGCACATACGCATACGTGCTAGACGGAACGGGGGAATTCACTTACGGCGTAACGGGTAGGTCGTAATAGATCACCGCTGAGGCGAGGTTTTGAACTGCTTATTGCCAGTTTGGCAGTGTCTCTGCAAGAGACGGCTTAGGACTGGTAGTTCATAACGGGTAATCATTGAGTAGTTAGTAGCATTGCTTGAGATGAGGAAACGTACAGTTTCTTGCTGTACGGAGTTGGACTAAGGCAAAGATTCTGTTCACCTACACTTACCATACGACAGAAACAAGGAACAGGATTATTAGCATGCCAGACGCAAAAGTTTTATCACATGCTTGATACCCATCACAGTGACTGTATAAAACATGCAAGTAGTGCGCCTCAAGAATGGACGAAACAGTCCGCCAAAATGCACTAAATGAGCGCGCAACGCAAGAACCTGAGTACTTGACAATCCACATTTATCGCGATGCTTTTTCTTGATTTTCATTCAGGCGTCTCCATGGGGCCTGCATGCGCGCAGCCCTATTATACCATGCTCGTGATCATGAAACAGAAACTATCAATGGCTGTGAAAAAGATCATTCTCACATCACAGTCCGTTTCCCATTTCTGCGTCTTCCGTGACTCATTGAAAGTTCTTTCACAGACCGCCGTCCTAGTACGATTAAGCTCGATTGAGCAGCAGTATTCAGTGTACAAATTTATGTTGGCCCATGGAACCCAACAATTCTACAGTCGCGGGCTGTGAGGGTTAACGTCAAGGTTTCCGGTTAGTGAGAGTGTAGAACTTAACAAACGGGAACACAAGCTTCTGGCATCGTATGCTTACGAGAGGTTACTCCACTGCAATTCCCCGACTCAGCTATTCAAAACGCCTAATTTCAGAGAAGCACGCACTTACTCAAAAAGCGGCAGTTCCCTCTGCTTGAAAGGAAACAAAATCCACAGATTCTTGGGTCTTCAAAGAAACAGGTCTCGAAATCTGGTACCCACATTCCACTCTGGAGCTCAATCGTTGATAAGGGGCAAAAGACATCCGACGGACCGCCTTCCATCTACAAATATGATCGAAGTCGAGGCGAATACTTTGGTAACTCTACTTTGACCTAACCGCAGTGTGCCTTAAGATAGGCGCCCGGGGGACGGGTGGGATTGGCTTGGTGCTTAGGGTGGATTGGAGTAAGAGTGCGGAGCGCGTAAGTTTTTGGGTTAAGAGTTTTGGTTTGCTTGCTCGGGGTCTACTAATCATAGGGCAAACAGCTGTTAGGGCGCACAAGACTTACCAGTATGAGGCGAATGTATATTTGGTCAGCGTTTATTTACTGCAGAACATCCGGTCCTCCGATGCCCTTTTTTGATCTGCATTGTTCGACGTCGATCTGAAGGTGCTCTACTGTCCCTTCTCGCACCTTCGACACAGCCTCAAGCCGGTCCATACCGCCCGTGCTTGATTGTGCAACAGGACGTACCTTCTTTTCACAGGTGGCAAACTGAGCGTTCCAATTGGCCAGAGGGCTAGCGACGGATCCCAAGAGTTCTGGTAAATACATCGGAACTTCTCGAAGATCGATAATGCGCTTTGAGATTCACCTTCAAAAACCCTTCCGTTCGCTGGTCCCTCGAAACCGACAAACATCGAACAAGATGGGACTTTCGACGAGGTTCTTGGAGCCCGAACTCCGATCCTTGAGCCGAGCGCAGTTTCGAAAACGGTGGGCTACGAAAAATGTGCAGCTTTCGAGGCAATACGAGGCCACCAAATCATGCCCATTGCCCGCTTCCGCCAACCGTGGCAAAAAGCGAACGCCGTCGACCGGTATCGTTGTGCATGCACACTGCCATCTGTCAGAACCTGCAGAAATTTTTTGGGACGTGCTGGCACCCCATGTAATGCAATATTGTGCAAGCAAGCTGTAAGCTCAACCCGCGCACTGCCCCATGTTACTTGTTGAATGCAAAATCAGCAGTCCTGCGGGTCTGCGTTCAATCTGCCAAGGCTTTGGCAATGGTCAAGAATAAATGTCAAGCCATCTTAGATCCAGCCTTCGTACGAGCAGAAACTGTGAACAGAGCTACTTGAAGCAGAGAGCGATAGTGCAGCTTTCGTGTTCATCGAGGCACACAGTAAAGAGCAAGAGTTGCATGAAGCCAGAATGAATTGCTGTGAACACAAGACATGACTCAATAGGACCGTGATAGCCACAGAGTAGAGAAAAGACTAAGATCATTCTCAAGTAAGGCGCCAGATATTGGCAGCATTCAGAAAGGGGGCAGACAGAATTTCCAGCTCAGTTTTAGATCTGTGGGCTGATCTCCTCCCAAGCAAGCAAAGGGCTCCCCAGTGACTAGTAATCTACAAGGTACCGCGCCCTGCGAGAATGCAATGAAGGCAAAAGAGTCGGACACGTCGCGGGGTGGCGAGGATGGCGCAAATGACTGCTCCGACACGTGGAGACGCGGGAGGGGCGCGCGCGCGCGCGCGCTGCGCCGCTGCTGCCTGCTTCTGTCAGCGGCGTGCCTCGTCTTTCTTTTCCAGGGTTTTGCGAGTCTGCAAAGATGTGGGCGGTGTCCGGGAAACGAGATATCGATTTGCGAAGCAATTGTAATTTCCTTGGGGTTCGGAACGGTGAACGCTGATAATGGACCTGCTTTTGAGAGTCGCGGCTTTGAGTTTGAATCAACGGAGCGGGGGAAGTCAGGCTTTCTTAGTGGCCCTAGTGAGAGCGGGGGTAAGAGGCAAAGCAAAGGGAGCGGAAAGAGGAGTGAGGTGGCCGTGCGGAGGAATGAGGGGAGCGGAACGGAAGAAGTCAGCGGCACGGACAGGATAAGTGGAACGAAGCCAGTCAGCGGAACGGAACCGATAAGCGAGATGGCGAGAGTGAGGGATCCGGCACTGAGAGTGAGCGATGGGAAAGGGCTTGCCCGGAACCAAAGCGGAACGGAGGAGCGGAACAATCAGACAGCGGAAAGCGTCGGAAGCGGTTTAGAGAATCGGTCTGACACACAGGAGAACGGTATGGAGGGGGTCTCGGTGGCAGTAACCGCCGGAACGGCAGCGGAAGCGGAAACGGAAACGAAACGGCAGAGTCTGACTGCGAATTCTCAACAGTTTAGCGGCACGAGCGACCCCGCTGGCTTGCGAGATCCGGGGATCGAGCGGACGACAAAATCGGTGGTTCTGAGAGAAACTGCTCGAGTCTCCACTCAAAATTCGTCGCAGGGACAAGACGCGTCGTTGAAAAGGCAAGGGCTATCAGATGGGAGAGGGCAGAACAACGAGTCGGCAAAAGTAGGAGATCTCGACGAAGCGTCTGGGTTGAGAGGACAAACTCGACCTCGTAGCACTCTCCATAGAACCAACTCTTCTCTACCCAGGGTTTCAAACTTTACAGTTCCCTCGAATGCCTCAAGAAGGTGGTTGAATCTGGCTTCTGGAAAAAACTGGGCGGAAGAGTCATCTTCTGCTAAGTCTCGGCCACGACTTGCGAAGCTGAACCTGACTGCAGTACTCAAACGAAGCGAATCGGGCGATTCAAAACCCGCGATACCTTCACCGCAAAACGCGGGCGCTGAGAATGCGTGGTCCAGGCGCTCCTCAGGCAACAGTGTGAGTCGGCGCGTTGAAAAGCCGCCCTCCCAAGTTCCGCTCGCGGCCGGTGTGAATCGGCTTTCCGAGCGCTTTCGGGAGGCCGGGGTGAGCGGCAACCGTCAGAAGCCGCGGCCGTTCAGGGGCGACGTGAACGGGCTCCTCGGAAAGCGGCTGGTGGCCGGTGTGAATGGGCTCTCCCGGGAGACCTCGGAGCCCTGGGTGCTGCGGCCGTCCAAGATCGCGTTCATGTTCCTGGCGAACGGGCGTATTCACACCGACCGGATCTGGGACCGATTCTTCCGGGGAGCGCCCAGCAAGGACCACTACAGCATCTACATCCACAGGTGAGATTGCCAGTCACTACGACGTACCGCAAGCTTCTTTAATTTGAGCTTTGATTCGCTTTCATTGTCTCTTCTCGACTTTGTTTATATTGTCGACATTCGACTAGCTACTGAGAAGCGCTCTGCGCGGCCGCGCTGCTTCTCCCTTCTCCCTTCCAATCTTCTTGGCGGACGCCCTTAGGTCTTTGGAATGGTGCGTCCCAAGCTAAAGAACAAACATATATGCCCCAACTTATTCCTGTACCGTTCAGATGGTTTGTAGGGTCGTTCGTTTTGGGCCTAATAATGAGACTTAACATATGGCTCAGTGGCTTGAATCCTAAGCTTTCCAGGCCAACCTATGTCAGGATTTAGAGCCTGGCCCATGATCGAATCGGATTCCGCTTTCCGGGTCTGATCACGTGGCTGCGCAGCTGCCATGAGTGATATTTTAGTTGGGCATAAACGCGCGCCAGGTATACTAGTATATGGATTATTTCTCACAAGTGCAAGCCTGCTTTTGAGTTGGTCGGACGGCATCCAGTACACAAACACCGTATACCAATATATGTGCTGGCACAACCAACTGCGAAGCTGAGTCCATTCTCGTCGTATGCCAGATAGATCCACACGGAGAAGAAGCAGCCTTAGTACAGAGTTAGTCGGGAGAGTATTTGCGTAAGTTGAATTAGGCTTGGCCGGTTCCGACGGCGGCCGGGGCAGTCCGCAATCGACCGGAGGCTGCGCGGCGCTGGCAATCTAATTTTAAAACGAGGATATATATGCACTTCCCAACATGCCGAACCGCTTGACCGATTGCATGAACCAGAGTGGCTGTAAATGTCCTGCCGTATACGAATGTTGTCAAAAGCTTGCGGACACAATTTCTCACTGAAAGTGGACCATCTATGGATAACCGGCTAAGATGGACTCTCCGCACTTCTTGCACTGCAGTAATTTGGGACCTGGCTTCGAATACAACGAGAGGACGACGAACGCGAGCTGCTTCTACGGACGAACTCTGCCAAACAGTGCTCCCTCGCTGCGCTTCCACATATCGATGGTGGATGCGCAGACGAAGCTCCTGAGGAGGTGAGTTCAGCAACGGCAAAACCAGAGAAAATAGCGAGCTTAAACCATCGCATGCGGCAAAGTTGCTCCGTTCCTTTTGCGCCATCTGCCGGCTAACTATGCCCAACGAGCATTGGAGTGAATCAATCTTCTAGAAATATTTGGTGGCCCATAACCACCTCTGATACCTCGAAACAAGCCGTTTCTAATCTGACGGGCGTCCCTTCTTATAACCGTCGAATGCCTCACTTCCTCAACGCTGATAAACAACAGTAAGGTCGTCTGCTGATTACCCTGGGCCAACATCCGTAACCCTAACGTCCGTACATCCGTAAAGTGCAAACGCTTATACCAAGTGACCCAGAACCCGATATTCGTACACCGCAGCGCCCTCCAGGACGCGTCCAACCAGTGGTTCGTCCTGCTGTCCGACTCGTGCGTCCCGCTCCACAGCTTCGCCTTCACGTACAACTACCTCTTTGCTGGTGAGCGCAGTCTTCCTTTTCTGACGGGCGGTGCTCGCTGACCACCGAATGCGTCCCACACAGTGGAGATGTCATTCTGGAACATCAGGGCGGTCGTCATGTCAAGAACCAATTCGATTACCTTACCTACAGAGGAAAGACCAAGGGGCTTAACCCGAAGATCAATTGCTATCACTGGCTGAGATAGAATGACGACGCCTTTTCCCCCGGGTTTGAAGGTTTGAAGGTTTGAAGGTTTGAAGGTTCTGGAGAGGAAATTTCAAATGCAGAAAGCTCAGTTCACGCTACATGCCAGCACCAGGAACTCTGTCGACAGTAGCTGGATGTCCCAAATACTGGCCGTAAAAGGCGCGCCCCCTCCAAACAAGAGAACAGACGTCAATTTCGCTAAGCAGAGACAAAGAGCTTTGCCGAGAGCCGCTAGCTCCTGGCCCCGTAACGGATTGCCTCAACTACGGGTCCCCCTTTTAAAAAAGGCATCTATAAGGTTATGTAAACAAGACCAACTCGTTCTTCGTTGCCTCAGGAACAAAAAGCTTCGTCGACAGCCGCTACCTCCCCCCCGAGCTCGACCAACACCTGCCCCGCTGGACGGAGCTCCTGCGACCGGAGGTCTCCCGGGCCGACTTCAGAAAGGGCTCACAGGTGACTCGCACACAGTCGAACACTTCTGCAAAAACTTCTACATCAAAATCTGAAATTGAGGGACAGCAGCACCGCATAACCACTTGGATAGGCTTTGTGTGGCCCATCAGTCAAGGTCCGCACTTTCCATCGTCCAACGTTTGCTCTTTTCTTTCGTCGAGACTTGGAAAGTGCCGTCTGCATCAAAAGCATAACGATCATCCTAGATCATCTGGCCTTTCCCAAATCGAGGAGCCCACTCTAGCAACGAGTTCTGGATCATTTCCGTGGACCCATAAAGCTGAAAAAGCCCTTACCTTTGACCCAGTGGATGACCGTTACACGGAAGCACGCCTCCATGATCGCGTACGACGAGCGCTTCTACGACGCGTTTGCGCGGAAGCCGTGGAACTGCCAGGACGAGCATTACGTCAGCACGATGCTCCCGTTGCTGGACTTACATGGGCTGGAGGAGCGCACGCTCACTTATGTGGTGAGTGACGTTCACTTATGGCGTTTCATTTTTCAATCTCCAAGCGCCGGTGAACATCAAAAAGTTTTACTTATCCACATTGACTGGGGTCTGAGCTTCCCTCGACCCAGCCTTAAACAACGAACGCTCTTAACAAGAAGATCTGAAATGAAAAATGCTGCCCTACGTGATCCAAACGTGTGGCTCTGCAAGTCAATCAACAGTCAATCGCCCAATGAACGATTCCCGTTGGACAGCAAAACCATTGACCCAAAGCCTACTCTGTTCAAACAGGACTGGAGGAACGATGGCTGCCCCGACAATTGTGGCAGCCCCCGCCCTTTCAACGCCAACAAAACCTCCAACGAGCTACTTCACAACATCAGCGCCGCGTCTAATTCCCCTCGCCCCGTCCACTTCTTTTGGAACGAGCCAGAGCCGTGCCTTCTGAACGGCCACACTGCGCCATGCTACCTGTTTGCCAGAAAGTTTGCAAAGGACAGCATAGATAAGCTGCTACACTTGCTGCCTTTTGATGAAGGGGGCGAGGAAAGAAAGGGCAAGGGAGAGATGAGGAGGATATGAATAGCGGGTACGGTAGAAGTAGGTACAAGATTGTTGGGGCAAAAGGAAGGAAAGGGTGACCAGAGGTAGAGGGGACAGTGAGGGCACAGTATGGACGGTGCGGGACGGTAATAGAAAGAATCTCTACATAATAAAGTGTCGTCGCATGACAATCTTCAGCTCCACAAGAAGTGGAACTGCAAAGAGATTGTACAGACCTGTGGATGTAAGTGGGAGGGGCTTCCGTAATTTGGGAGGTAAAGTTAGAGCACGCGGTTATAAACTGTCAACAGAGCAGATTGTGACGAGCATTCTTTCGCATCTTTCGAACAAACACTTAAAACCAATCTCTTCAGGTTCCCAGAGCACACTGAATATAGATAATGATCTGTTCTGACGGCTGAACTTAGTCCAGATAGGCCAATGTAGAGGGCTGCCACCAGGAACAAACTTCTTGGACAGCGGTTGTCCAGATGTCCAGTCACTTTGTGCATCGATTGGAGACATGGGCACTTTACCCACCAACTCTTTGGGTGTTTCACGACATACCATTTCCAGAAACAAAGTAACAGACATTGCCAATGTGGCGTACTGACCAAATCATGGTGAAGTAGCGATGTTGTTTGTCGTAATGTCCCAGATGAGAAATAAAATCTTCAGAAAGCACTGAATCGTGCAGCTATTCCTCACCTTACTGGCTCCACATGGTCCGGGCATGTGGCCTTTCTGAGGTCCTTAACCCCCGCTTACTGTTCAGTGCGGAAGGCAACACCTTACGATGTTTCATCCCTTGAGCTGGATTGCCTTAAAGACGAGGAGAGTAAGCCATATTGACAGGCTGCCATTTCTCCCCCACTACGGTTTAGATCTCTTTGAAGCCCTTGCTCGCCTGGACTGCTCAAATGCTGCCGCCCCAGCCTGAGTGATATCAACCACGCCACCAGCATCATCATCTTCAACTCTGTGAAGAACGTTCGCTTGAAAAGAAGTGCCTTTATCTGTGTCCTTTGTTCCCCCCGTCGACAGAGGGTCCACCCCGCTGTCTTCAACTTCCGAAGTGGCAATCGGCAATTCCCCAACTTCAACCAATGCTTTGGGCCTCTGGCCATCGACCTGTTCCACTGATGGCCTTCTTGAAAAGGTCCAGAAGGCGACAAAAAGCAGGGACAGGATGAGGAAGGGCGTCTGCAATCGGGGGCCAGTCGCCACATGTCGCTGGGGCTTGCGTCGGGGGCGCGCCATTCTTCTCGCAGGAGCGCTTCTTCACAGTCCTCTACGGGTACTCTACCACTTCGTAGATACGAGTCACCATGCTGGGCTCGCTCAAGAAGAAGGATGGTGGAGACAACAACGTCAGAGAGACAACAACGTCAGAGAACCACCTTGCGCAGCAAAAAGGTGGACGAGAAGGGTGTTGATCCCTGGACCCTTCACGGCTGAGAGAGCGAGAGAGCGAGAGAGCGAGAGAGCGGGGGGGCTAGGGGGGGCGGCAGCCCCTCCGAATCTAGGTGTGAAAGAGTGCTCGGTGACTTACACCGAGCAGAACGTCCTGGAATTGTCGCAACAAAAGCTTGGAAAAGGACGGGTTGTGGACGAGAAGGGTATCGATCCCTTTACCTCTCGAAGGCTGGGGAATGACGTCATGATAACGTACTCGTTGCAAATCGAGCGCTCTACCATCTGAGCTACACGCCCGGCGTGGTGGGTAACTGTGAGCATCTTGTAATTTATAATCCAAGTTGAGAACGAAGTGGGCAGTCAAATAACCCACCTGACAGCTGTCAACAGCTGTCCTCTTGCACAGCCTGCAAGCTAGCAGCTGGGCATCCTGGGCCTTCGTTGGCAGCAAAACTCTTCCAACAACTCACACAGCCATCAGGAACAGCGCCCAGGACAAGGCAGCCAAAGAGATCTCTCCCGTGGAGGGGACAGTTACCATCGGGTCCTTGGATCCACCGCCCCACCCCCCCCCTCTTATGTCCCAGCTCTCGCAGCAGGGTCGAGTGGATGCGCAGCTGAAAAAGACGGGAGGCCCAAAGAGCCCCCCAAGGCAGCCGTCGGGGGCACCCGCGGCGGGCCGGGGTTATGGCGGAAATGCAGGACCGGGTGCACCGGGCAGGGGCGCGCAGGGCCCAAGCAGAGGGTATCCTTTCACACAGAATAGCCGCATGTGTTGGACTTTGGTTGGAGGATTGAGTTTTTGTGCATGGGCTGTGGTCGGTCTTCTGAATTTTGGTGCCGTGGTAATGGTTTGCCTGTCCTTGGGCAGGGGACGAGTGCACAATTGGTGCGGAGAAGGGTTTGGACTCTAGGTTGCCCCGTTGATTGTCGGACGCTTTTTGCTGAAGCTAGCGGGTTATTGGGTCCCTTCCTGACTTTCCGAGAGGGGTTCCGGAGGGGCATTGAGGTTGCCCGAAGCTCCCAATTAGTTCATCCTGTTGGGGTCTTTCAGACTTACGGATTCATAGATGAGAAGAAGACAGGTTTTGCGCGCAGAGGTGATTTGTTTTGGTTGATGGAGATTCGGAGAGCTGCCAATTGGTTATGTGGTTTGCGCCACAGCACCTGTGTCCCTCAGTTCAGGTCAATTTCAAGTGCTCGAACTAGCCATAGTCGCTTTTTTAGTCATTGCACTGGCGCTTCATTTTTGAGTAGCGTTCGGACAGAGCAGATTGTGCTTCAGATGGTGAAGGTGCAGGCTTGGAAGCCGTGCAGGTTTTCCGACAATTTGTCTTCAGAATGTCTAGCAAGTCTCAGTTTTCAGGTTGGGTTAGAAGGAAATAACCCAGGCGCACACAGTCCAATGCTGCAATTGCCTGCTCTTGCGCGGACAAATTAAAGCTTTGAAGCTTAGGCTTGATCGGAATTGCCCTATTCACACTGCTGGGGAGCTGCAATGTTCGTTTGGTTGGGCAGCTTTGGATTGTTCGAAACAATTTGGACGGGAAGTACGATGCATAGACTTTCTGTGGAAATGGGAAAGAGAATAGCTGGGTTGTGCTTAAAACGAGCACCTGTGGAGACGATCTTGTTTCTGACATTTCTCAATCAGCTTACACTAGTGGTCTAGTTTGTTGAGGAAGCACACGGATTGGAGTCCCCATGTGGCATTGACTCTGCACAAAGTATACCTCCTCAACTTGCGAATTGGAGTCGTAAACTCCACCGCAGCTCCTGTCACCCTTGTGCATTGTGTGCTACTTTTGAGTCCGTCAGCCTCTATACAACTTTTTGCGACACAATTCGTTGAGAGTGTCTGTGCATTCAAGTTGGTTATGTGACAAGACTCACTTTGATTAGCTGCTACTTCTTGTGTTCAGTCACTTTCGGCACTGTTACTTCCTTCCCTTTGCCGTCGTCACGGCATTGCAGAACCTGCTTTGCTCTTCATTGTCTCGTCAAGCCTGTATTGTGGCATTCCTTGACCCAAAGTCATCAAACAGCGGGAGGCGCTTCCCGGGACCAGGTGCGGGAGGGAGAGGGCCTCCGAGCGAGGGCCGCTTTCAGGATCAGCCCAGCGGACAGTCAGTCGGTACGTCGCCACTCCTGCAACTGATTTTGGGGTTTCTGGCAAAACAGATGCTATCACCAAGGCATGTCCTGGAAGCTCTGGTCAGTACCTTGCGGAATTCAGGGTGGACAGTTGGAGGACAGTTCAAGTAACCCTAGGCTCGAGAGTGGTCAACTGTCTTGTCTCAAATTGCTGTAGCCTTAACGTTCCAGATTCAGAGATTGCCCAGGTCAGCACTAAAAAGTAGCATCCCCGCTCTTGTTAGACAAAGGAAAGTGGTGAAGAGAAGCTGGATGCCTTTTGCAACCCAGAGGCGGTTGTTGCATTCTCACAAGCGAAGGGCTTATTCAACTTTGCACACCGGTTGATTGCTGAAGCTGCTCAGACCATGTTAGTTCGCCAGGACCTCTCCAAAGTTGCTGATAGAGCCCCCACAACATCACAGCATACAACATCTTTCTTAAACCACTCATCTGTCAAACCAAATGTTTGCAGGCAAGTGTTTGGAAGCCTTTCGCTGATACTCCTCTTCCATCGACCATATCGTTTTTATCCGCATCCGATGCTCCCAACGTGCACAAACTCGAAATAACGAAATCAATACTCTTCCTCTTGTCCCTCTGGGTCCCTCTGGCCCTCTGACCGATTGACTTTCCCAGTTACTTGTGGCATCAGGAAGCTCTTCAAACAAATCTATTGACCAACCTGACCGGAAGCTGGTGTTATTTGCAGCCCCTGCGGCGCCCCCCCCGACCGACTCGCACATAGACTGGCCCACCGTGGGCGGCGGCAAGCCCGGGGCACCCCCCAAGCCGGCCCCCCAGGCAGCGAAACCCGCCGCCGCCGCTCCAGGGGGTCCTTCCACACCCACGAACGTCCCCCCTGCAAGTGGTCCGGCCCCTGCAGCGAATGGCGCGGGGGCGCCTGCGAAGGTGGCGGTCGGAGGGCAGCCGTTGAGCTATGCAAAGGCGGCGAGGCCTCAGGGGGTTGCGGCCCCTGCTGAAAAGACCCCCCCGGCAGTGGGAGGGGCTGTGGGTGGGCAGAAGAAGGAGGCGGGCGCGGAGAAGGGCGGGAAGGAGCCGGCTGGTGCGGCGCCCCCAGCAAATGGTGAGACAAAGATTTGATGGGTAACGGCGAAAGTTCCAAGCGGAACTTACTAGGTAAAGTTCTGGGAGTGCTTCGGAGAGTAGTTTGCGGAACTATTTTGGGGAAGTCATCGTGTGAAGTTTTGGGAGTGCTTCTGACATGTTTTCTGACCGGCAGGAGGCACTCGCAAGGGCCAACCCCGTCGCGCGTGGCACTACTGCGGGTGCCTCCGACCACAAGGAACGAGAATGAGGAATTGTGTATTTTGTTACAATCTTGGTCTGCTCTGACATGACACGCTGAAAGCCGCCACATTGAGGGCCGGTTTTGGCGAAATCAACAGATGTATCAGGCCTGAAGGTTCCGCTCATCATGCAGGAAATTGGGCACCTTGACTTGATGGCTCAAGCAAGAAAGTCATAGCCACTTTTTGTATCTGACAGATGGTTTCTTTTCTTGCAGGAAACGCTGGCAAAGACGGAGGGGGATCCGCTCCTATGATGCAGTTTGGGAGCCTACCGGTAAGTCAATTCTTCTCACGATAATTCTCCCCTTGCGATTGTCTTGTCAAACCACAAAAATGACTACTGGTGCACCTGCGATTGATCCAGTGCGCCCAAGTAGATTTGAAGATCTTCATTGCACATGCTCCTACCAGGCTTCTGCAAAAGTACCACAGGTTGTTGCTTCGCATTTTCAAATTGACGAACGCGAATACAAAGGTGCTTTGCTGACCGCCTTTCTCGGTCTTCTCTCCTTTGCAGTCACAACTTCCGCAGTTCCCTGCTCGCACCAGCTCAGCGCCCCCCAGCCTCGAGGAGCAGAACCGCAACCGGCAGCATCTGGAGCACTTGGCGGGACACCAGCCACAGATTCCAAGCAAGGTGCGGGTTCACAGATTGTCGGAGGATGGCCTTAAAGTTTGATGCTTTTTGCATCTGCTTGTGATGCAAGCAATCGCAGCTGGGGTGTTGCCTGACAGTGGCTCATGGTCCCGGGAGTAGACCACCGCCAATCAAATGTATGGCATTCGGCTGCGGGATTTGAGGCAAATACTATGTTTTTTTTAATTTGCAGATCGGATTGTCGTTGTGTTTGAACTGTTTCCGTAGTCTGCTTTTCTCGCAAACGGAAACGGTGTGCTTTTCATGCTTGTGATCAGATTGCTCCACAGAAGCTACTTGCCTCAAATCTTCAGCCCTTCTCCTTATGTCACCAACTGCCTGGGGGTTTTAAGTTGCCGCCGGATGGCATCGCATTCAAGTAGAGCACACTAGACAGCCTTGCTGGACATTTGAGGGGGAATTGCAACTTTACCTCTGCTGTATACAGGCGCGCTTTGAGCCCAATGCTGGGAAGAGGCCCGCAGGTGGACAGCAGCCCCCGCAGGTGCGTGGCGGCAGAAGCGGAAGTTTGGTTTGTTTGCCGGGGCTTTCCTGCGCTCACAGAGCATGCTGTATCGGCGAAGGGTTTCAGTCACAATGGAGTCGAACCATTCTTGGTACTCTGGAGCCATACCAAGGCTTTCCAGATGATTTCCGAGGGATCAGGGTCTTAGAGTGGTCTTAGGACCTTTCTGTACGAGACGCACCAACCTGTCACCGTGAATCAAGGATTTCTCAAAGTACTCTTTGCTAGTTGAGATCATGTTCAGCGCTGTGCAGGCCACCTTTTAGAAACCTGGGTCTCAAACCAGCTCAGAGTTCAGGGCCTGACTCCAGCCTTTCTTTGCCCAGGTCTTCTACCCCCCTCAGCAGACTCCGGCACCCCCGTCAAGGTCCAAGCTCGACAGCCCCCTGTCTCCGGTTCTCGAGCCCACCGGCCCCCCTCCCGCCACCCCCCCCCACATGCAGCTGGCAGATCTCCCCCCCTCAGCAGCGATCGCACCCACAGGGTGGGGAGGCGGAAGCACCGCCCCAGTCACCTTCCCCAGCGCAGCCTCCGTCCAGGGGGCAGCTTATGGCCCTGGACCGGACCCCCCACGCACGCAGACAGCGACAAACGGCGCGCAGGGCCCCCCTGCTGCGCAGTATCCGCAGCGCGCGCAAGGGGGGGTCTCGCAGGCTGGGAGCCAGCCCCCCCAGGGGCGCCAGCCGCAGGGGTACCAGTATGGCGGCCAGGGGGCGCCCGGTTATGGCCAGTCGGTTATGGGGCAGGGCCATATGAGCTCCCCCATGGGCCAGATACCGATTCAGTATGGGGCACAGCAGCAGACGCCCAGCAGCCAAACCACGCCCTCGCTTACCATACAACCCCGGGTTAGCAAGGCGATCCGCATCATTAACCCCAACACGAAAGAGGAGGTTAAGCCGCCGTCGGCAGAGGGCAAGGACAAGAAGGAGGGCAAGCCGCCGGTCGCGCCGCAGCAGCCCAGCGGGGGGGTGCAAACGGCTGGACAGGCAGCCCCCCAAACGCGCAGCTCCCCGCCGATGCAGCCGCAACAACCGCCACAGCAGCAGAGGCCGCCACCGCCGATGGTTTATCAGCAGACTCACGGGCAGCCTCAGGTGAGTGCTTTTTTTGTACAGGTGTCCAGAGTTTGACAGCTGTCTCGCCGTTGGATCACCACTATTGATCAGTTCCGGTTCTAACTCCACGGGTGGACTCAGTAGAGCGATCACTTTATGCAGCTGAAGTTGCATGTCCAGGTTGGAGCCGCAATTGCAGCTGCCATCTGGATTCTTTGCCCTTTCCTCGTAGAAGCGGGTCACATCTGCCTTGGTTCTCTCAAAGTCACGTAAAATTCTGGCGGTGTTGAGTTTCCACTTTGCAGTCTGTCAATGCTTCTCAGTTCCCATGCCTTTCGAGCTCTGGTTTATTGAGACTTCCACACAAGCCTCATCATAAAAGAGATCCAAGGTTGTTAACTTCCCACTTCAAATCCATTAAAGACTGTTGTGTACTTTATTCGGTACTCACAGCCAATTGTTCTGTTCTCCCACAGATGTACTACCCGATGCAAGGCTACCCCCAGCAGCAACCCCCCTACTTCGGTCAACGGCCTGCCGGTCCTCAGCAGGGGGTTCCCAACCAGGGGCAGGGCGGCCCCCAATTCCAATTCCAGCAGCAACCCCAACATCCTGGGGGGGTGGCTCGGCCATACATGCAGCATGCGGGGGGGATGGTGCCCCAGCAAAATAAGCCCCCCGGAAGCGGGCTGGAGAACCAGGGGGGTCCCCAAATGATGGGCCAGATGCCAATGCAGCAGCCGGGTGGGCAGATGTTGCGCCCCCCAGGTGAGACTGGTCTCCTGTGAAAAGTTTTTCCCTTGTGGGTGGTGGAAAGTAGCTGGGGAGTGGTTGTGACTGTTGGCATGCGGTTTGGCTTGTGGGCTGATGAGGGTGTGAATTCGTTGCGAGGAACTATGTTTGATCAGCGAAAAACCGTCTCTTGTTGGCAGCCTGGAGCCTCAGCAGCTGCTCTTGAGACTTAGCGCGTCTTTGGAGTAACAGTTATATGAGTTCTGACGGTGGAATTTCAAGCGTTCCTTGTGCAAAATTTCCCCCCCCAGTAGTCACCCATATGCCCGCCTCAAATCACACCCAACAATATGCTATGCTCTTGTAGGTCCAGATTGCCTTTCTCTCATCCTCAACAATTGCCTAGAAAATGCTACATGATGATTCTTAGCCACTGAATTAGGTGTGAAACTGGTTTGAAGCAGCAGGTTTGAAACAGGTTTGAAACAGGTTAAGAAGAGCAGGTTTGAGACTGGTTTACGCTCGTTTGCAGGCCCCCCCATGCAGCAGCCCGGCCCCAACGGCCGCCCCGCCCTGCGTCCCGGCCAGGACGAGCAGCACTTCATGCAGGGATCCCCCCCCAATAACATGTTCTTCTCCGGCCAAGTCTCAAACTTCGGCGGCAACGAGCCAGCCCCCCAGCCCACCGGACCCATGGTTCCTGGAATGTCGACCGTTGGATTCAACGGAGCGAACATCCGGCCGCCGATCGGGGGGCCGTCTGGGTGGGGCCCGAGACCCCCCCAGATGATGAACCAACAGGGGAGGGGGATGGCGCCGCAGGGGGGCGCGAGGATCTCGACAGTCCAGGCGCCGGGGCCGATGGATAAGCAGCAGCGGCAGCCGGAAGGTGGGTCATGGAATCTGGGGTTGATAAGTTGTCGGTATGAAGGAGTCTGATCAAGATTTTGTGGGGTTGCGGAGGTCTGCGTAGAGGTCTGCTTAGAGGTCATGATCAACCTGCGCTAGGAAGAAGTATCAAATTGGCACCAGGCAGCCGAAAAGTGAGCACCGGATTTCCCAACTCCTGCTATTCGTTCGCAAGTGATAGTCCGTTTGGAGAGTCTAGGCAGGCTGTCTATCATTCTTGGATTACCAAGACGAGGCCCCGAGCCGCTTGGTTTCGTCCTCTGCATTCGCCAGTAACTTACGTTTGCTGTCTTCCTTTTTGTAGGGAGACCTGGCTCCGCGGGCCAAGGCGCCAACAAGGAGCGCAAGAAGCGCGACAAAGACCAGCAGCGCCCGCTCCCCCAGGGGGGCATCTCCGCATCCGCCCTCTCTGCAGCCCAGCAAGCGCAGCAGCCTCGACCTCCCCAGGTAAACGCTCCCGTTCCAGGGGGGCAGGCTCCGGGCCAAACCAGGGGGGGTGACGCTGCTTCCTCAGGGGGGGAGAAGGGGGTGGTTTCTGTGAACCATCCAGGGGCGGGGGTGTCTCCCCCGAGCACACATCCGGTTGTTTCGGCCCCCCCACACGGGATCGGGGCGTCGGTTGGGCAGGCGGTTGTTAGTGCCTCCAGCCAGGAAGCGAAGCAAGCGGGGAGCGTCGGGGGGGCAGGGTTTGAGGGGTCGTTCAAGCACGGGCGGCCGGCCCAACTTGGGTCGCAAGCGCAGGTATGTGGTTTGAGTTTGGAGTTAACTTGTTGGAATCCTGTGAGAGTCTTCTAGGCTGAGCATGTGCTGCTGTGGGATGGCGTCAATGAAGGCTTTGTCTGGATGTGTCGTTGAGTTTTTAACTGGGATGGATAAGTTATTCAGGAGGTGTTGGTGGTTAGAGCCGGTAGTTCGCTAGTAGCGCACATGCTGCTGATTCCTGTTCCATAGAGCATGGTCACTGCGAGCATCATGTATTCTATCTCCTCTACATCCTTCTCCTCCTTCTTGAGTTCTTTCACCGCCCCCGTCCCTTGTGGAGCACCCGAACCCCTTCAGTTGACACTGTAAAGATTTCCTCTGCTTTGTTGCTGATCCTTGAAAATCGTAGTGGGCGGCTCTCTAACAACCGGCCCCTTCATTCTCCAGGTCCGCGAGCTGACCCACCAAAAGAGCGGCAAGTTCCGCGATGCGCTGCCACCTGGCAGCGTCGCCTCTCCCCGCGGTCGGGGGGGCGACTCGCCCCGTAGCCAGAAGTCTGACAAGCAGCCGACGCAAGTCTTCCGGCCAAAGGTTGACCAGCCCAATGTTGCAGCGGCAAAGGCGGCCGCGGCCGCAAAAGAGTCTGCCCAAGGCTCAGCAGAGCCCGAAGTTACGAAAAGCGAGGCGTCAACGGCTGCCCCGGAAGCAGTAACGGCTGCTGACAAGGGTGACGTGGCGGCGAAGGCTAAGGAGGGGCTGGGTGAGGTCAAGGCGAAGGAACCAGAGGAGGGTGGTGCGCCGAAGGAGACATTTGCGCAGAAAGCGGCCAAAGCGAAGCCTGCGGTGGCGGGAGCTGCGAAGCCTAGTGCGCCAGAGGGGAAGGTGACTCCGTCGGTTGGTGCGAAGACAGCGGAAGGAAAGGCGAAGGGAGGGGAGAAGGAGAAGGAAGAGAAGGCGAAGGCGGACGCGGATGCGAAAGCGAAGGCTGAGGCGGAAACCAAAGCCAAGGCTGAGGCGGAAGCGAAAGCGAAGGAGCGGGAACGGACAGAGGCAGAAGTGAAGAGGAAAGCAGAGGAGGAGCTGAAAGCGAAGGCTGAAGCCGAGGCAAAGAGGAAAGAGGAGGAGGAACGAAAAGCGAAAGAGGAGGCGGAGAGGAAAGCGAAGGAAGAGGCTGAGAAGAAGGCGGAAACGGAGCGGAAAGCGAAAGTTGAGACGGAGAGGAAAGAGGCGGAGAGAAAGAAACTAGAGGCGGAGAGGAAAGCGAAGGCTGACGAGGAGGCGCGGAAAAAGAAGGAAGAGGAGAGAATACGGGCCGAGGCCGAGGCGAAGGAACGGGAAGAGAAGAAACGGAAAGAGGAGGAGAAGCGGAAAGAAGAGGAGCGGAAGAAGGAAGAGGAGAGGAAGAAGGTGGAAGCGAAAGCGAAGGCTGAGGCCGAAGCGAAAGCGAAAGCAGATGCTGAGGCAAAAGCAAAGGCAGAGGCAAGAGCAAAGGCGGACGCTGAAGCGAAAGCAAAGGCGGAAGCCGAAGCGAAAGCAAAAGCAGAGGCCGAATCGAAAGCGAAGGCGGATGCGAAAGCGAAGGCGGATGCGAAAGCGAAGGCCGAAGCAGAAGCGAAAGCGAAAGCTGAGACTGAAGCTAAGGCTAAGAAGGAGAAGGAAGAGGGGGAGAAAAGAGCGGCTGAGGAGCGACGAAAAGCGGAGGAGGAGAAGAAACGGGCGGAAGCGAAGACGAAAGCGGAAGCCGACTCAAAAGCGGCCAAGGAATCAACTGCTCCGAAGGCAGTTGGTGACGGCGCGAAGGCCGCAGGCCCTGCGGCGGCGGCCGTTACGCTCGGGGCAGTGGCAGCGGGTGCGATTGCGGCCAAGACAGGGCCTCCTCAGGAGGAGAAGGCCGAAGTTCCGTCGGAAAAGGCTGGGGCGGAAAAGGGTTTGGCCGTAGAGGCCCCGTCTGAGGAGGTTCCTTCCGAGAAAGCTGCGCCCGGAACGGCGCCGTCGGAGAAGGAGCCGTCGGACAGGGCCTCGGAGCGTGCGGTGTCCCCCGTGAAGGAGGTCGAGAGCGCCGCGAGCAAGAAGAAGAAGCGAAAGGAGGCCCTGTCAAAGGCCGACGCGGCGGGCGACAGCAAGAATCTCCTAGACGCGTTCACGACCAAGAAGCCGGACGAGGCCCCGCGCCCAGCGGCCGCGTTCGAAACCCCGAAGAAGGAAAAGCAGCCTGCGGCATCCAAAGTCGAAGTTGATGATTGGGAGGAGGCGGCAGATATCCCGACGCCGAAGCCCGCGAGGGGGGGGTCGGTTTCGCAGCGCCCGAGCACCCCCGCCGACAAACGGTACACGCGGGATTACCTGATGACGTTCAAGGAGGAACACGGGGGCTGGCCGGAGGTGGTCATGGACAAGACGAACGCGGTCCTGTTTGTGCAACCGGACATGCCGAAGCCGCGCACGCCGAGCGGGAAGCGGGGGGGCAAGGCCGCGCCGCCGGAGGACGACAAGTGGCTGCAGCGGGGGCCGAGCGGGATCGGTGAGTTTGCAGCGTCTGTTCGTGTCAGGATTTGACTCAGTTGTGCATCATTTCGTTTCATAATCTTTGGTAGACTCTTGTGCTGCCGGTAGACACCATGTACTTGAGTCCGCTGTGTAAAGAGCAAGATGACTTCAAGGCTTGTTTTATCGTTCCATCATTGGTCCATCTTTGGGTTTTTCGTGTCTTACCAGCAGGAATGCGATCTATCACAAATGTGTCCTGTTATGGATCGCTTGTATGGGGTTTACACTTGACCCGCAAGTAAGGACTTATGTCAGACATCCTCGTTATGTTGTGGGCACTAGGCATGGCAAGGTAGGATCATGCAGGCTAGAACCGCCACTTTCGAAATGGGGAAAGGAGGCACTGAACCCTCTATCCTTGCTGCTTACAGGAGGGGATCCCCGGTTGGACTCCCCAAGTCGGGGCGGCCCCCCTCCGGGCAACTTCCGGCCCGGCGGCCCTGGTCCCAGTTTAGGGGGTCGGGGGATGCGGCCAGGCGGCCCCCCTGGAGCGGGCGGAAGGGGCCCAGGGGGGCAGTTTGTGCCGCCAGGTGTCAACCCGGCGCTGCTGGGGCTGCCAGCTGGCGGGCCGGGCCAGAACGGCATCGACGCGAATAGGTGGGGGAAGAAGCCGATGGAGCCGGTCGCGCCGAAGCAGCCTCTGCCGGCCATTCACAAAACGCAAAACAGGTGAGATTACGAGCCTGGCTCGCTTTTTGTTGTGGCAGCGCTTTAAGAGCCTAGGATGTGCTGATGCAACTAGGTTGGGGAGAACTTTGATCGAGCTGGTGGCGCCGAAGCAGCTATACGGCCCATTCACAAGGCGCGAAACAGGTGGCTACTGATCCTTCCCCTTTTCCCGGTTTCTTCGGCTTTGATATTGCTCGGAAGAGCTTCGAACATCTAGGTGGGGCGTCGAATCGATGGAGCTGGTGACGCAGGAGTGCAGCCTCCGTTTGTCGCCCACATGATTTGGAGGTAGTGGGGTGTGGAAATACTCTTCCCCCTGTCTTGGGATTGCAAAGGATTCTCTTTGATTGCGATATTGAAGGGAAGCGGTGCGGATTGGAAGAGTCGATCAGCCACGATGGCGTTCCTATTTGGTGTATTCAAGCGAAATGTACATGAAACCAACTGGTGCTTGCGTCTTCTCGGTTTCCATGTCCGTTGGTCCAATAAGCCGCCAAGTACAGTGTCGTTTAGTCAGATTGAAAAGGGAAACCATTATCTCAAGGAAACCATGGATTACCGTACACTTTAATTTACTTGACGAACTCAAGAGTATAAACCAAGAGTCGTTCATCCTCATCTGCACATCTGCAGGGAGGCGACTGACATCTGATATGAGAGTTTAGTTAGCCTAAGGGAGGACTAAGTGTTTGATCAAGGGTGCCCAGATTCAGTAAGGACTCGAGCTGAAACCCTTCGTTCACTGGCGCGCAGGTTCGTGGTGGGCAAACCGACGGACGAGGAGACGGCCAAGATCAAGCGCGTGAAGGGCATCCTGAACAAGCTGACGCCCGAGAACTTCGAGCGCCTCTTCCAACAGATGATCGACGTCGAGATTAGCAACGCGACCACGCTAACCATGGTTATTGCCCAGGTTAGTCATCTTGACAAGCGTTGGATTGGGAGTTATGCGTTGGCTTGAGCTGTGGCTGAGACTTACCATGGTTATTGCCCGTGTAAGATGCTCAACTAGCAGCGCAGATGTTGGCAGAGTGAGGCGGTTCTCTCTTCAACCGTCATTGGTAGTACTTCTCTGCTCGGGTTTCCGGCGTTCGTACTTATCCTCTGTTCCCTGGTTAAGCTTTAATATCAGTTCGATTTTTGTAGAGCGCTGAATGGGCAGTTCTGTGCTGCACGGATGTTTTTTGCGCAGCAATCGGGATCAAGCAGCAGAATCCCTAAGAATTGCTGGCCTGCATACTTGATGATCAAACTTAGGAACCGAACTTGTTATGATTCAAGATCAGATTGGCCGAGACCTGGAGCTTTCTAACAGGTACGCCTGTTTTCTGTGTGCGCAGGTGTTTGAAAAGGCGCTCCTGGAGCCGGGCTTCTGCGAGCTGTATGCAGAGTTCTCCAAGCGACTGCAGACAGAGCTGCCCGAGTTCATGGTGAGGATTGTGGCTATCATCCTAAAGGGTCAGGGTCTTCGGAACGAGATCTCTTGATTCCGAGTCTGTTCTTAGAGGCTCTCTGAAGTTCTTCAAGAGGATTGCAACCGAATTCTTGCAATTCATTATTGGTCTTTTCCAGGTTCACCATATATGGGTCTTTGAGTTCGTGAGATTCCGATGTTCTTCCTACTCTTTCGTCTCAGCAAAAAGACGAGGAAGGCAACCTGGTGGCGCATTCCTTTTCGATAAGTGCCAGGATAGATGGAGTGTAGCGCAGAGTTTACCGGCTGACTCTGCTTGTCTTTTCTGCAAATGAAAAACGAGGGAGGGAACGAGGGCAAGGAGAGAGCGGCGCGGCGCATCCTGCTGAACAAGTATCTCGACTATTTTTGAGTATCTGATTCGTTATCGGACTCTTTTTCTTTCGCCCTTCAGGAAAAAGACGAGGATGGCACCGAAGTCAAGGTGACATCTTGGCGCGTCCTGTTGAACAAGTGCCAGGAGAAGTCTGGGCGGAGCAACGAGTCATTGTCTGATCTGCTTGATACCTCCGCAGAAAAAGACGAGGAAGGGACGAGGTCAAGGTGACGGTTTGGCGCATCCTGCTGGTTCAACGTCCGACGTTCTTAGGAGGTTTGGATCTCTATCTAAATTTACTTCCTTCGGTCTTTCAGGAGAAGGACGAGGAAGGGAACGAGGTGAAGGTGACGTTCCGGCGCATCCTGCTCAACAAGTGTCAAGAGGAGTTTGAGCGGAGTAACGAGCAAGTGGACGAGAACAGCGAGGAGCGGCCCGAAGAGGGCGCCGAAGAAGACGCCAAGCCCGACAAGGAGGTCAAGAAGCTGACGCCTGCGCAGGTCGAGGGTGAGTGTGGTTGCTGCAAATCTTCATTAGTGCAACTCCTCCAGACAAGAGAAGAGAGGGAATTGTAGTGGGCATACAAATCGAGAAGCAACCCGCTCCTTGTCGTCATCAGATACTCTTTGTCCTTCTCAGCAAGCCATTTCTGCTCGGTTCATGGAAGAGGGCTCACAGGTCCTGAGGGAGTCTGCTCCACCTCCCGTTATGTCATGGATGATCAGAAAGATCTGGCAGCGATTTAGCAACGTCTTACGTTGGCGGGAACCCCCCGCTGACCGAGAAGATAAGCACGCCCTTCGAGCACATTTTTAAGAGGCTTTCCCGGGTCCCGGTAAGGTGTGTTTCAGTCTCTTCTCATCTGTGGAGAAGAGAGAAAGATCTCGCACCACTTCTTGGGCAATGTGCGCTTCTTTGAGGAGCTCTATACGGCCTGCTGACCGAGAAGGTTTTGCACCTTTACTGCCTCCAAACCCTGCCTTTATAAGCGCACCTTTCTGTTGGTTGTGCAGCGGAGAACAAGAAGATTCGGCAGCGGTTTTTGGGCAACGTGCGCTTCATCGGCGAGCTGTACAAGAAGGGCTTGCTAACCGAGAAGATCATGCACGTGTGCATCACGAAGCTGCTGGGCGGGGAGGCGGTGCCGCACGAGGAGGACCTCGAGGCGCTCTGCAAGCTGATGACCACCATCGGGGCGATGATCGACCACCAAAAGTCAAAGGCGCACATGGACGTGAGATTTTGAGAATTTTGCGGATTGCACGGTTTGCAAAGCTTTGGGATCTTCAAAACCCTTTGAACTAACGGCTGCTAGGAGCAATTCGGTTCTTGATAAAGGAAACTTGTGGTAGCGTTCTATGAGCACGTGACCGTGATCTACCACCAAAGGTCGAAGGGGCATATGGACGTGATTGATTCGAGGATCTAAGAGTTGCAGGGATTTTGTGCACAGAACATCGGAAGACCTCGAGTTTCAAAGCTGCTCGGTGTTAGAAGAACCTCTTGGAGGAAGACCTTCAAAAGCGTTGTACAAGCACTCAGGGCCATGCTCGACCACCATAAGCTGAACCAGACCGAGTCTGAGTTTCGCACGGCCATGTGGGCCGTCAATGCATATAGGTTGGAGTCGCAACGCCTCTGGGCAGGTCGGTTTCTCTGCTGTTTCTCTCGTTTGAGGCGGTTCGAGCTTAACCATGATTGAGAGCATTGCCTCATGCAGCCGCTGTCACAACGTTGTTGCAAAAGTAAGGAGACCGTCAAACCTGAAAGATCATCTCTTTTCTGGAAACCAATCTGGAGATCGACTAACCGATCCTCTTATATCGTTTTTTTGTGCAGGCGTATCTGAAGCGGATATCGCAGCTTTCGCGGGATGCTTCTCTGTCGTCGCGCATCCGATTTGCGCTGCTCGATGTGGTGGAGATGCGCGATTCGGGCTGGCGGGAGCGCCGCAAGACAGACGGGCCCAAGACTATTGACCAGGTGCGCAGACTTTCTGGTTTGCTTTCAAGTTTTGGGGCTCAAAATGAAGGCCCCATAAGATCAGGGCTGGTTTTCAGAGTAAGGGAAGCCGCCACTCGCCTGAAGCGGGACGAGCTAGCGATATTACCAGGGCACAAAACCTGCTCGATGATGCCCTTACCTCCCCACGTTAAGCTGCCAACATGTAGTCAACCTATTTTTCGTTACAATTCCAGGTGCATAAAACCGGCGCTGAAGCTGGCACAGGTTAGCAGCGGCTGTCGGGGTGATCCTCGTACTGAAAAGAAAGCCCCCTCCTTATCGAAACCTGATTCTCTAAAAGTTGCTGACAAACATCCCTCCCTTGATTCTCTTCTCTTAAGAGGTGCATACGGACACCGCTCAGGGAAACTGGGACATCCTAGCAAGTCTGTGATCGGTCAGAACTTGTACAAAATCGAACTCGCCTCAAAAACAGCCAATAATATTCAGCGAGTCTTCCTTTGCAATCTCAGGTGCATAGAGACGCCGCTCAGGACAGCCGGGGCACGCTAGTGGCGGCTGTCAAGGCAATACTCATCAAAAGTGAAAAACCTATTCTTCTTGAACTCATTTCCTAGAACCCGCCAAGAAAGATCCCTAACTTTTGACTCCTCTTTCTATTTCAGGTGCATAGAGACGCCGCTCAGGAGAACCGGGACAAGCTAGCAGCGGCTAGCGCGCGCCCGGACATGCGCAGGGGGGGCGGCGGCAGCGGGCGGCGAGACTTCCCGCCCCAGCAGATGAGGGGGGGCCCGGGGCCGATCTTCCCCAACCCGCCTCAGATGCGGGGAGGTCCGATGGGGAGAGGACCAGGTGAGGGTCGGGTCAGACTGCAGCAGCTGAGAGCCGTTAGGCGAGTTATGTTTTTTCAGCCGCGCCTGGAGTGCGTTTCATCGTGAGACGGCTCGTTTACCTTTGGGGCTTAGACGCCTGACTGGAGCGAAGTTTGTCGCCTGCACCAGAATTTGAGTTATTTGGTCAATCAGCGACGCTCGTGATTGCTCACAGTCAGGAAAGGTTGTCAGATTTCTGACGGACGACGAGCTTTCTGGGGTGAAAACGTCTGAGAAATCGACGTGCTCGCAGTGTTCTTTTCCCTTTTGTCTGTCAAGAGCTTTGTGCAGTCAGCTTGACTTCAATCCTTTACTTCTTGCTCAGCGGAGAAGTCGCCCCTCAATTAGGATCGAGACGTATCGAAAGAATAAGGCCCTTTGCATATGCAGTATGCCATGATATTTTTTGAGCAGGGTGAGCAGGCGTGTCGTAAGGCCGGGACGGCTTTGCATTTACCAGAATTACTTTTCTAAACAACAAAACTTCCCCACCACCGCAAACCCTTTGCGTACTGTGAAACCATATTTTTGGTTTCCAAGCATTTGCACACAGCCTCACGAGACGTCAGCATGACGTCATCTTCCCCCCGTCATTTTTTAGGCGACGCCCGGTTGGCCGACCGCATGGACGGCCCCATCCGCGGCATCAGCGCGCGGCACGACGACGGGCAGCTCATCCTCGGTCCAGGGGGGCGCGGGGGCCGCGGATTTGGACCCCCTGGGCAGATGCGGGGCGAGCCGCTCATCCAGGACGATCGTTTTGGGGGGAACAGGCCGCTGCGAGATAGAGACGGGAGACCGATCGATCCCAGAGGGGGGGGCGATCGGTTTGGGGATCGGGGGGGCCCTGGGCCGGACCGGTTTAACGATCGAGGGGGGCCTGGGCCGGACCGCTTTGGGGGGGGCTACGACAAGGGGATGGACAGGAGGGGGGAGTTTGAGAGGGGGCCGCCGAGGGAGTTCGACAGGAGGTGGGTGTTCAGAACTAGTGTTGGGGCACTCCTGTATAATTGACTAAGTGGTTTCCACCAATCTGACACCTGTCACACCTGCCCTTGCGCCTTTTCAGCGTTGGACGCGAGAGTAGCCGTCGGTGGAATGCAAAGCGGAAGGTGCAAAAACTATCAAAAGTAAAAATACCCAGGCCAACAAGGTCTTTCAACTTTCAGTGTGCAGAGACAGATATAGTGTGTCCACCATGAGACCGCTCGCCGCTGCTGCACCCGCTTTCGTAGCCGACGAGCGTTTTTACTTAACGGGAGAGGAAACTGGTGTGGCGTTTCTTCGCGGGAGGCCAGCACGAGCCAAAACCCTCTACGAAACCAGAACTTGAACAATCCAGAACATTTCACTCCTGAATATTGAAGAGAAATATCTCCGTCTGCAGGGAACGAGACGAAGGTCCGTCACGGGACCGCTCGCCGCTTCTCAACCCGCCCTCACGTCCGACAAGCGCTTCTTCTGAGCGGGACAGCGGTAGCCGGTTGGGTGCGCCTTCGCGGGAGGCCAGCACGAGCCGGCCCGCGACGCCGCAGTCGCCCGACATCGGGAAGCCGTCGGAGGACGCGCCGGCAGAAGAGGAGCTGGAGAGGAGGACGCTGGGGGCGCTCAAGGAGTTCTATGGGTGAGTATGTGTTTCATCTTACCTGGAGCCCAGATATATGAATCCGAGTAGATGCAACGTTATCTGCATTTGGAAAGTCAGAATTCCGGAAAGCCTAAATAAATGTGGAACAGTCCTGGGAAGCCCTGAATCGGCCAGGACCAGATTAGAGCATCCCTTCTAAGCGAGAACGTAGGACGTTCGGATTGCTGTCGGCATTAGCATGAGTAGATTGTTTACTGTCTGATTGCCTTATCCGACAATCAAAATGAAATTGTTTGAATATATCACGTTGAACTACGGTATTTCCAGCTCCTTGGAGATGTTTGAATCGGACCCGCTTCTAGTTTACGGCTTTGCTAGGTTTTAGATTGCGGCCGGCTTGGGATTGCATTAGATTCGGGAGTCAGGACGATCCAAATTGTCGATTACACCCTTCACGGTTAAGAGCACACGCACCCCAACGTCCAATGGGCGCAGATCACGTTGTCGGGGCTTTCCGGGCCTCAACATTTCTGACCTCATGGTCACCACATTCAAAGGCATCAGCTAGTCAGCGTTTCGTTTCCATCTTCCCCTGGCCGGATCTTTGCCTCCAATTGTTCCCCGGCTGCAGGTTGTAGAAGAGTACTGGCGCTGCGAGCTTTTGGTTGGACTGTGTCCCAAAATCCGGAAGTCTGTAATTTGAAGCCTCTGAATCTCTGTACCCCAGAGTTTGAACTGACGATGATCTTGGATTGTGTAGGTTGCAAGATGTGAAGGAAGTGGAGGCGATTCTGGAGTCGCTGGACGCTGCGAGCTATCATCCGAAAATGATTGCGCAATGGGTCCAGAACGCGATCGAGGGCAAGGACGTCGCGCGCACGTCGCTCGCCAAGCTGATTCCGGCGCTGGCTCAGGGGGACAAGAAGCTGATCACGCGGGAACAAATAGAGGACGGGTGAGCACGAGATAGATGTGGTTCTAGTCACGTCCGAAGATGATTGTTCCCAGATCCGTTTGTTTCTTCACTTGATTGATCAGAAACAAATTGATGTTGTGCTGATTGCTAATAATCAGCATCAGCTAGATATCTCGTAAGTTGCTTCCGGTGGGGTCATCAGTCCCTTTACCTCATTGCCTCGGTTGAACCACTGGTTAGTGGAAGTGCTGGAGGCAGCTCGCACAGAAGGATCGAAGAAGAAGAAGGTTTGGGGGCTCGCAGTTGGGAAACTCTTCGTGGTATCCTTCTGTGCGAGCTGCCTCCAGCTGTAGAAGCCGTAGAAGACGATCTATTCTTGCTCAATAAGCACAGGAGACGAAGGTCCTTGGTAACCAACGGATGCTTTTCGCTGTGGGCTTGGTCTGAAGCGAGCGACACTTCCCTCACGCAGGTTCAAGATCTTCTTGGAGGCACTGGGAGACATCGTCATTGACGTTCCGTTAGCGTACAGCCACACAGCCGCCCTGTTCTCCACGCTGATATCCGCCCAATTGATCTCCCTCCCGGTGGTCGGGAAACTGCTCAAGCACGGGGGCTACGAGGACGGGGAGCTCGTATCGGAGGGGGGCGCCCTGAAGGTTCTCTTGGGACTGCTAAAGAGAATGAAGGACGAGTCTGGGGAGGAGGCGATGGCCGAGAGCTTTAAGGGTTCCGGGCTGGAGCTGAAGGACTTCGTGGGGCCGGAGAAGGACCGGGCGGAGCAACAGCTAAAAGACCACGGTCTCGGCGTTCTGTTAGGATAGACTGGTCCTCTGGAGTCGGCCGTTGGACGACGTTTTGAGCAACCCGTATAGGTCAGAAGTATCTAGTCATGCGGTAGTTGTCGCCTTATAGAGTCATCGATGTCAGCCCGTCAAGCTTGCCTTCTTTCAAGTGGGCGATTGCCAACTGTTTACCTGGGTGTGTCCCCCATTTGTGTTGCATGACCGGTTGGGGGCCTCTTTACCTCATATGCAGCATGCAATGAGTGCGGACTCAGAACTGAGGTGAATCTTCAGTGCATCCGATCCTTCGGGCTCCATCCATTGCCAGCGTGGGAGTCCCACCTATAGGTACATGAAAGCCCCATACCAACGTTATTCAAGACTGAGTCGGGTGCCCCACTATCAATAGTGCCTATGCTATCCGGTATGCTATTCGGGCTAGCTATGCTAAGCTAACCAATGTTGGCCAGACGATTTGGAATATGTACCTAGCTGTCCAAACTAGTTATGGCCGCACAAGTCCGTCTGCTTTGGTAGTACGTATATAGCAGTGCTACAATGCCCATGCAGCCTATGGCATGTCCAATCGTATTGTTTATTATAGCTTCACGGAACTTACCTTCAATTCTCAGCGGCAGCATGTGAGTCGATGTGTGGATCATGCACGCACTGACGAGTACTGCAAGCTTCTGCGGCGTAGTAAGCTGTATACCGGCTGTGTTTGAGGGCGCTGTGCCGCCTGCACTAGATAAAGTGTTCTGCTTAGAAAGTAAGGCGGCCGCCCATGACGCGCGGGCTCATTGTACGATTGAGGTGACGGCGCCGCGCGCCGTAGAATCCCTGATGATTGCATCATATCCATGATGGCCCAGCGTGCAGTAGACGGTCACGCATAGCGCCGTGACGTACAGCCATTGCATGTCCGACAATCACTAAGTTCAATTTGGCGCTGAGTTGCGAACTAACCGACGGTCTCGATCATGCAGCCATTCCACCAGGCGGCCGCCAAATGATAACAGATTGAAGGTTGTCGATCAGCTGCATGAGTCGAGCAGGCTCGTCCATGCATTCATTATATGCAGGCTCCAATCTGAATAAATTCTTACACTAACAAGCTTGATATAAGAATTGCTAAGTTATTAGCTGTGCTGGCACCATATCACGGAACTTTTCTTGACGGTCTCTTAGTTCAAGTTCAATGCCCTGTCCGGTGGCCACCCTTCAAGTGGCGCGGCGCAACATTTGAACTTTGGACAGAGGCCCGGCCGGAATCATCATGCGTACGTGTAAAATGTCAGTGTCCGGTCAAAACAGTCAAGGCTAAGTTTTGCACATTGATGTTCAACTGCACCTAGTGGTACACTCATTCTCAATGAAGCTGGCCACTTTCTCATCTAAGTCAGTGACTCATTAGCCCTAGTGTCCTTTGCTTGGTTTCATACTGAACCTATCTAAGCACGTTCGCAACGGCTTGAACGTCCCGGAGCTCCCTGTGTCGTAAGAATCAGGTCACCTTCCCACGTAAGAAAGTCCCCGACGCACGCTATGTTTAGGCTGTGCATACGTGAACCTGCTATAATATTTGTCAGTCGGCCACACTATAGCTATATCCTTTGCTTCCGAAAGTACGCTGTATGGGCAAGTTGCCTACTTTCGTCTGCATATGAGTAACAACTTGGCGGACTCCGGACTTTTGACGAACTCGTGCAACGAACAGCCCCAGTAGTGCGGGCTTAGCTTCGCAGCCCAGCTCCGGACGGCTTCGTATTCTTCCCTGCACACAAGAAAGTCACCAGCTTTGAGAGAGTAATAACCTGCCACGCCAGGCTTGGCACCTCCCGCTTGTCGGGCGTTTTCCTTTTTGTTTACATACCTGATTGTATATTTATCCATAGACTAGACGAGAGTCTACCCTATACCATCCTCAAGGCCTTCTCCCAAGGATACGCAGAGCTTGGTGATTTCAGGCCAACGGAGAGAACTACACATCAGGTTGCCTGTGGCGAAAAGAAGGCCACAGTTGTACGGTCTATTTAACGATCAGACCAAGACTTGTCGTCAATTTTGCAAAGTCGTCGGTTCTGCGACCTTACAACAGGAAAGTCGCTGTAACTGGATGTTGTCACGCGAATGATCTTGTCGACTGCTTGCTTGATTCAGTCCCCTCAAGCGCTCAGGGTTTGAACTTCCTTTACTAACTGGAAAACTGGTCTGCTTCACATTCATGGATAGAGAGGGCACGATTCGCCTGTGCCCTCGGAAGCAAACCGACACGGAGGCTCCTCGGTTGCTGAGAGATAATTCCAACACTTTGAAGCTGAAATCCCTGCAATTCATGGCTGCCGAGTGCCGTATGTTGTGCTACGCCCCTTCTGAGGGACTCAGCATGAGCAGACTCAACAACAGGCGCGCGAACGAACCCCTCAAAAACTTGGACTCTTGCATGGGACGATACTTCAGATTCGGGCTGCTCACATGTCATGCTACAGCACCTAAAAGTGGACTACTAATGAAATCGACGAGCACTTTCAAAAGATTAGTCTGATCACCTGAACGAGCATCAAATTTGGGTTACTCACATGCCCCCCGGATGACCTGCGTATGCCAGGATTGAAATGTGGCCCCCGATTGCAAGCACCTCTAGAGATGCATCTAGCGCAGCCAGCGTTGTTTCAGGCGTCGTAGTAATCTGCATGTCACCTTTTGGTAGGTACCCAAGGTTGAAGCAGACCAGCCTGCAACAGGAAGGATTTGTGTCAGTTGCCGTATGAGACCCAGAAATGTGTTCATTTGTTGCTAGCTAACCAGGGTTAGTATTAGCTGCCGTGCGAGACCCAGAAACGTTTTTTTTTTGTTGCTGGCTAACCAGAGTTAGTAGCCTTGTTATGGCTGCTGAAACTTGTGGATGCACCTTGGGGTTATCAGATATGAGCTGAGCTCCAAGCGTTCTTCTCCTTTCAAAAAGCAGCGTATGATGGGACCAGGCACGATTACGCATGGTTAGGCATGGTTAGGCGTGGTTAAGCAACGTCGAGATGCTAGCAAGGGCATCAGAAGCGGTTGACCAGGGGCCCTTAGCCACACACTACAGCCTAGTTCAAAAGGGTGTACAACACTTTCAGGGTTATCTAGCTGCATATACCGTCAATCCGAGCCCGCTTGCCTCCACAGAATCCTACGAAGAATCATCCTCAACGGTGGGGGGGCACTTCCTGGCAAAGGTCCCTAACCTTGGATTCTTGTGGCTCAAAAGATCCTCAAGACTACTTGCAGCTGTCTGCATCGAAGTTGCCTCTCTCCAAGCATGGTTCCTGATTTTGAGCTTTTTGATGCATTCCTTCACGTTGATCGGACGGTTCAAGATCAGGAATCCTGCTCCGAGCATTGTAGACCCGATGCCCGCTTTCTGAAAAAGAGCTGTGAGGATATGGTCCATGCCAGAAGTGCATAATTCAAAGTATAGCCCTTGGCCAAGCAACGTTGCAAACAAACACCCCGAACAAGCAAAAAGGACAGCAAGCAAACGAGCCGACCTCACATCCTTGTGCTGGATGTATTGCTTGAGGTTGCTATGGCACTCGTTAATGACACTGACTCGCCGCAACTGCTCGGGCGTCAGCTCGCGCTCCAGCAGTTGTCGAGTGGAGGCAGCGGCAGTTGTCTGCACCAAACAATGCTTTCACTTGACTTGCTTGTATATGCTTATTGCGGTGGGCGTGATTGAGCGGAGTCCGGTGATACTTGCAAGGGTTGAAACAAGATGCGAACTTACAGTAGTTTGAGTCTTTGAGAAGGCTTGGATGAGAACAGGCTTGGTTGTGACTGGCTGCTTACTCTTGGAAAGCAGCACTAGCATAGCCAACTCTGTTAAGCGCACCAATTACAATCTATCGTCTGTGTCACATCTGTTGCGTGTCACATCGAGCTGCATTGTACATCCTCGGAGGTTAAGAATGCTTACCTGGATGTCAAACGCCCATACACAGCCTGGACCTATTGTGGCGCTCTTTTCCTTTACAGGCAGGACATGCTTTGCCAAAAATAGCGTGTCATGTCCATTCCCGGCAGTCAGGTCTACAGCACAGTCCCCCTCTCTCAGGAATGTTTCCCATATGCGGTGCGCAACAGTCGTCATTCTTATGCCAGAGTGGAACAGCGCCGGCAACTCTGCTGGCATCTCCTGGCTCTGTTCTCTTTCCACGGGCGATGCGGTTGAGAATGCTTTCTGCTCAGGTCCAGAAACAGTAAGCTGTTGTGAAATTGCCTTTCTGCAGAATGAGGGGGCAGGAAAGGTGGTAACTGTGTACGTTTGAGAAAAGGGACAGGTTGGAGCTGTGAAAGGTGGGATTTGTATCAACCTCCATTGACGTTGTGCTGGAACATGTATTTTGCAGGAGCAGGAGCGGAAAGTAGTCTGTGCCCACGTTGAAATTGCTTGCAAAGGTGGCAGATTTTGAAGCTTTGGAAACCCGGCTGCAATGCTTACACGTCGACCAACAGAAACGAGGGTGGTTCCCTGAGCATATGCAGCAAACGGAGCCATTCCAAAAGGCGACAGAGGCATTTCTGAAATTCAAGTTCAAGGGAGTTCAAGCAGGAAACCTTGAAGTTGAACTTGAAAGTTGAAGCCTGCATTTGTTCAAAACCAGGGTGATCCCCCAAGTCTAGCCAATGCCAATGCACAACACCCCGCGAACTACGCGCGCGCTCCCCGAACGCTCCGTCCTATTCAATGCAGTATACCGTATGCCTATTCAATACGGTATGGTGCGTGCTTGGTTAACGTCCAGACGACGAATAGGTACCGTACCTATTCGTCGGTACGGCTGAGTATCCTAGGATCTGTTGAACGGCATAAAATAGACGGCTCAGGATGCGCGTCCGTGGCGAGCCGCCCATCGACGGTGCCGGTCGCGCGCCGGACGGCCATGCGGCAGAAAGAACCGGCAAAGTGACGTTATCTTGAATCCAGTGCCGTAGAGGACCGAGAGTCTCGGACCCCCTGCGGAATTCGAGCGGGCCGGACCGAATTCGAGGGCGCCCGGGATGCTGATTTACGTGGCCGGGCGGGTGAGACGGTTTCGTCAGACTCTGACCACGTTCATGAAGCCCCGGCGGACGGACGCTTCCAACCTAGGTACGTGGCCCTCCGGAAAAAGCTTGTAAAAAGCGACCGGGGCGGTTCTAATCCAGACCATAAACTAGAACTTTCAGTCTAAACAAGCGACCGGCGTTGATCAGAACCATCTATATAAGGCGCGGAAATCAGATTCATTTCGCACTTTGCCGACTTCGCTAACCAGCAAGGACCCCGACTAGAAAAGATGCAGAGCCCACCCGGTCCTCGACTGGATTCGGCAGTTTTGACCGCACCGCCGGCTGCGGGGCCCTGCCAGCCTGCACGCCTTGCAAAACATCATAACAGCCATCTACCAGCAAGGTGCGCTGGAGCTCAGTCAGCTCAACATCAAACACTGCACCCACTGAGTCAGAAACATGTTCGTGCGGGGAGCCTTATTGTAGATGTCTCGTCGCAATCTGTAAGCAAACGCTGATAGCAAAACATGCCGATGGGTACCGGTTGTCGTTTCCAAAGTCGCATCTGCTGAAGGGGTTTGCGGTTACCGAGCAGAACTCGAGGGTCAGTGGGCAACGGAAGGAACAGCCTCTCTGCTTGCAATGTGTGGGCCGGCATTTCGGCCCCGTATCGGAGTCAGCCGACAGTCTTGTGATCTCTGTTGCCAGGTTAGACTGGGTAGGGCCAGATGAGGTCTGGTTTCAGCGCTCCTCAAAAGCGCAGCCATGGCGCCAGCTGAAAGCGCTGCTGGGAGAGGAGCTGAAGCCCCTCGTTCTCAAGGATCAGGAAGCGAAGCAAGAGTTTGGGGGGCGGCGTGGTAGTACTGCAGCTGAGGCTGCACTCAACAGAGGGCGGAGAGCAGGGGAGGTCCCGAGAGCAAACGCCCCCTCAACGGTGAGAGTTCAAGTGCCCAAGTCCAACCTGCTCAATGTCTGAAATCAGTCTTGCAGGACGCTCGTCGTGGTTTTGCTTTGCGTCTGTGTGGCAATGCACGGTGAGCATGTAGATTGCTTTTGTCATGTACGAAACTTGCACGGCAACGTTTGAGCAGCGCTCGCACTCTGATCTGTGATTGCACCATGCAAAGCTTGACGTAGATAGTGGTCAAAACGATGTGAGGAGCAGAATGACATGTTCACCGCTTGTTGCATGATGAGTTTCTGGAAATGGACCCCCAGAAGGCAGCTGAAAGTCGCACTTGTGTGCACGGCTGGCAGCACTGAAGAGGGTCAACTTATGGCTGTGATTGTCTATGTGCAGGAGAGACGCAGCCAAGCTTCGCCCACGGACTCCCGCGACGCCGATGGCCGCCTTACCATCGCTGCGCAAGCTGCCAAGTTCATCAACGCCATCAAGGGAGGGCAGTGCGTCTTGTACAGTGTCGGAGAAGAGGACTCTCCGAGCACAGTGTACCTTGGCACTGCTTGGGATCACAATAATGCAAGACCAAAGCCGCTGGGACGGCCGAGCAAGGTGCGGGCGCTGCTTGAAACGGTCCATTGGGACACAAGAGGGGTCCCAAGCTGCACGTGTGATCGGGGGCGGCTGTACTTCAACGCCCCATGCGTCCACAAGCTCGCGCTGCAGGCGCTGGAAAGACCAAGGCAAGCAAGCCACATCTCTCTGCAGAAGGGGCCCAGGATGGTTGAGGCACCTTGCAGACCAGGCGAAAGAGTCTTCGGCGTGTATTGGAACGCAGCGTCCCCCTCGCCGCAAAGGACCATGGTGCACTTTGGCGCCAGCAAGCAGTTCCCTTGGTATTGCGAAGGAAGACAAAGCGGTTGTTCAAAGACCGCTGACTGCAGCCACATCCTGGAGGTGAAGAGAGCCTTGCAGCGGCCAGATGGGGTTCACAGGGTGAGCGGGTGTCTCTTTTTGGAGGCGCAGCTCGAGCGGGCCCTAGTTTCCGTTCATCATGGGGGAAATGTCGTGCGAGTTGGGGCAGGAGGTGCAGCAGCGAACGGCGTGCCTGCGGGATGCGCTGACACCCATGCATCAGATTCGAATGAAGCCCAGGGCTCCCCTTCGGAGGACGCACCCCAAGAGCTGGAACAGTATCTCCTCGAGCTGGTCACTGGCGGCCACCACGAGGCGACCTGCAAGGGGGAGACCTGCTTCTGCAAGCAGCATCCTAGGTTGTTTGGCGGGGTTGTTACGGACGTCGGGGCGTGTGCATCAGGGTGTTGCAGCTCCGCGTCTGCAAGCGGGAAGCGGGCTCGATCGGAGCAAGTGGATGGGAGCGCACCTGCTGAGGGAAAGCCAGGGGTGAAGCGGAGGAGTAAGCGTTTTGGGCCGCCAAGGGGCGCGACGCAGCAGAGCCAGTGGCAGCAGACGGTGCGAGCAGCTGCGAAGAAGAGGCCGAGAGCTGCAGTGGTGTTGGTGTGGGGAGGCATGGCGAGGTCATGGTCCCGGTGTGCACGAGCTGCGCTTGTCCTTCGAGGGCGTGCACCCATGGCGCGTCAGGGCGCGTCGCGATGGTGCTTCCCATGGAGGCAGAGGGGGTTCAGGTCGAGATCCCCAAGCTGGTGCGCCCGGTGGACAGCTGGGATGTCCACGACCCTGAGGTCACCCTATTGCGCCAACCTGTGAGGGTCAGCGAGCTGGTGGGGCGGGACTTTGCAGAGCTCAGCGCGATGGAGTGCCTGTCCGCCCCTTGCCCCAGGGCACCTCCCCCCTGCAAGACTGGATGGATGGGGCTTTGGCAATCCGCGCACATCTACTCCCTGCAGTGGGCTCAAGAGGTGAGACCGTATGGAAGTCCAGGCATGTTGCGCGGAAGTTGCGCATAGATTCGTGTTTCCTTGCATCGAGAAGGCGCTGCAGAAACTGACGCCCATTTGACCTGCTTTTAGTCACAAAGGAGTCCTTTTTCTACAAAGATCTGATGGCGACAATTGACTGCGGCTCTGCTGTCGTGGCAAGCGGGTCAGAATAGCGGCTCACTGTCAGTCAAAAAGGAGTCTCATTCATATGATGATAAGCGGGCTACTTCTGACTCAGCTCTGGTGATGTGGAATGCGGGTCGGAGTGCGACGGACTCAGTCAAAAAGGAGTTGCTTTTCTATAGAGATCAGATGGCGACTATTGACTGCGGCTGATCGGAAAAAGGGCACGTGCCCCGCGTCCAGCCTTGATTGCTTTCCAGATGATGGTTTCCTTATCACAACCTTCCTTCTCTGCAGGTGAAGGTCCGCATCTTCTGCTGTGCCTGCCCTGAAAAACACACAATCCACTTCAATGGTGAAGCCCTTGGCCTCTTCGCCTGGACAAGGGGGGTCATCGTCACCCAAGCATCGTGCCAGCTTCTGCTACGATCCATTCAAGAGTCTGGTTCCGCTTCCAACGGCTTCATTTCTGCATGTGCGGAAGTGCGGCGGCAGTACAAACCAAGTGCGGTGCTCCTCTCGGAAGAGACCTGGCGCAAGGCTAGCCTGAGTTTCTTCCGGCTGTGTGGACGATCCATCCTGGAGTGTTGCAGCATCTGCGGGCTGCATCCAAAGGTCAGTTCCCTTGCTCAAGTGTCCAAGCTTTTGCTTGCTCAAAGGCATTGCTTGGTGCGGAGTTTTGATACTGAGCGCTGTCCTCAACAGGAAGATGAGGGAGAGCCCATCGGAAGTGCGCATCCTGGTCTCTCTCCACGTTAGATTTTGTGAATTTGAAGTCACGGATATCAAGAACTTAAAATCCTCTCGGTGGAGGACTGCAACCTCCTGCAATGCAGTCAAGGTTGCTCGAAATATGAGACTTTGTTGCACTCAACGCTCTTGAAGCGCACAGGTCCGATCCGCATTCTTGTTCTTGACAGGTACTTCTCTGCGACGGCATCGCTGGTCTGGCTTGCGCCGACGGCGGGCGCCAGAAAGGGGGCTTGGCAGGCACCAGCGCGGCGGCCGTGCGCCCATTCACAGCGCCGAGCCAGGATTCTGCTGGGTTCAACGTGGAGAAGACCATCGAGGCGGGCGTCAACTACTGCGCTACGTCTCTCGAGGGGCGGGGGATGAAGCGGCGTCTTGTGATCCAGCCTGAGCTGCGGGCGCTGCTTGCGCGGTTCAGTGGACATCATCTAAAGGACCCCGGAAGTGGGAAGCCCCTCGCTCAAAAGGAGTACGTGGAGTTGCCGGTAAGCTGTCAAGCGGCAAGCGGTTGCGTGGTGGCGCATCAGTCAGAAGTTGCATGTTCTCCCTTGTGAAGAAGTAGGCGAGTTTTGACTAGGCTAGCCCGGTGCATCACGCCCACCTTGCTCAACTTGCTCAGGAGCGGGCAGATTACGGGAGTGGCGCGCATCTTGGATCAGTCAAAAGCTGATCTTCATACAAAGAAAGCTGACGTCTGAGGCTTACGTGGCACACTAGTCAGAAGTCGGTTGGTCTTCTTAAGTAAGGAGCAAGTTTTTGACTGAGATTGCGCTGGGTGCTAACGATTCGTTGTGCTAATGCAGATTGCGCTGGAGCGGGCTGACGTCGAAGTGGTGGCCGGCTTCGTGGCAGACCCAGCTGATGCTGATGCAGACCCCATTCTCCTTCACTGGAGGCGGCGGATCTTGAGGGAGCAGGTTGGGCAGATCCGCTCCAAGAACGAAGCCGTGCTCGAGCTCCTTGATGGGATTGAGCGAGAGGCGATGCGTGAGAACTTGCGCTGGCCCCCGCGCTGCCCCGGCAAGTGGTCCGAGCTGCTCTACGGGCTGGGCACCCCTCTCTCCGTCTCGGACGATTCAAATCTCATTCAGCACGGACGGGCGCTGGCTGTCGTGCGAAAGTTCCTCCTCGGGGGCGCAGCAAACGGCAAAGACAAAGCCACCTTGGCTGAGCATGCGCCAGTCTTGCGGCGCCTGCTCGACCACTACGGTAATGTCTACCCGGACTTCTTCATGCCCGCTCTGCACCACCTGTATCGGCTGACTTTGTTTGGCCGCGGAGCGTGCGGCCTGGGAATTGGGCGAGCGGGGTGGGCCCTCTCGGCCATCGAAGGGCTTGACTACTGCGTGAGGCTGGCCAGAGACTTCCGAACGCAGGAAAACGCCCCAAACGCTGAGCAGCTAAAAGTGTTCCGCTTTTGGGAGGCACGTGCCAACGACCTGCTGCCCGGCGTCGAAAGCCTAACCCCTCCAGCCCCACAGCAGTACCCTCTGTCCCAGTCGGAGCTCCAACTTCTGCGAGACAGGTTGGGGCTCGAGGCCGACGGCTCTGAACCTCACGCCCTTCCTTCCGACCACCCGTTCTGTAAAGAGCAACGCAAGCTGGGCTGCTATCCCCTGCCGGGCTGGGAGCAAAAGCGGCCTCTCCCGCAGTACAAGCCATTTGAGGACGAGCTTGGGAGGTCCGTTGATCGCCGAGAAGAACATCGCTGCCGAAGCGGGCTTACAGTGGGCGAGTTCGACTGTGAGATCGCTGCCAAGAGCAGCGTGAAGTCTGCCAAGCGGCTGCAGCAGCACACCAAGGGCGGTTTTTTGTTCTGCTGTCCTCACAGAGTGGTGTATGGTTTTCACGTGATGATGCGGGGGGAGTCGCCGAGAGACCCATTCACCGTGCTCTACACGCGCCTGCACCAACGGAACCTTCCAAACTTCCTTATTTACGACAACAGCTGCAAGCTTCAGGCGTACTGCATGAGACGCGAGCCGATCTTCTTAGCGGACGTCCGCTTTCTTGTGGACAGGTGAGCGAACTCTTGCGTTGCCCTTCCTCCTTGCATTCAAACGCAAGTGCATAAAAGGTTAAGGTTCGGCTAGATCACCAAGGCGACCAGGCACCAGCTGTTTACCCTATGATGTGGCAGATCGCAGGGAAACATTGAAGTCGGGGGTCAGAGACCTTTTGGATTGGAGGTCTAGTGAAGCCGATCTGGAAGCCTTGCCACACATTCAAGGCGCGTACAGCTTGGGCAGGAGTTGAGCACTTAGCTTGTGCTTCGTTTGCCCTGCAGATTCCATTTTCAACGCACGGATGCAGAGGCGCACAAGTGCGGGCCGGGCTTCAACCCGGGTGAGTATAGCAAACGCTTGGGCCTAAAGCACAAGTCAAATCCTGCAAGCATGAGTTTTCGAGGATTGCGCGACTTCCCTTTACGCAACACACCTTGCTTTGCAAGCCCTCTCGATCCGGTTGTTTAACACTTTCTCTTGTCTCCTTTCAACAGACTACTACGACGCTGTCCGCTTCGTCAACACGTCCGCCGTTGAGAGTTGCAACTCGTTTCTTGTCAGATTCAAAACCTTAGCGTGGTACTCTAGCTTAAATGCATTCATCGTCATCCTGGCTAACGTTGTCAGCGGGCGAAATTCGAAACTAAGGCGGGTTGATGACCCTAAATTGCGGATTGCGGGTAGGGTAGACCTTTGGACCCCAGCGGTACGGGCAGCCCTCTTGAACCGTTGGTAGATTGTATATGTACTTGAGCCTTCATTGAGTGCGGTCAATGCTCTTGCAAGTTTTATTCATGTGGGCTGGATTTGTAGGGAGACTCTAGCTCAGACACCTCTGGCACCTTTTCTACATACTTGATATATATATGAATACTTATATATATGTATAGAATGGTTGCTCTACATACCTCGAAACGCCTGGCACCATTGGCACCTCGGCACCTTTTTTCCCCAACCACCAACATGAACGGACCATCATCAAAGAACTTGACTCAAAAAATCTGAGCGTTCGAGGTGCCAATGGCGTCAACGTGCCATGAACACCTCGTCAGAAGACTTTGAAGTATCTTCTTGTTGTAACATAGGTGGCAATTGAGATGACCGCATCTGCAATAGGTGCATGCAAGCTCGACGCTAACACCCATAGACGGCTGTACGAAATGCATTACCGTCAATCGAACCCCGATAAATTTAGAGCATGGTCACGTAAACACTACGCCAAAACGAAGGCCGACATATGTTTGAGGAAAGCTCTATATCGCTATTCCGAAGGAAAGAGCCTTAGATCTTCTACCATGGCTAAGCTTGTAGCTGCCGGCCTTATCGAAGGAGGCAACCCACATGAAAAGGCCGTTGTCAAGAGTTGATTACGGTATGTCAAATGTCCACCAGGTTAGAATTTGTACCGACTCATGCTGAGGAGTCTATGATCCCGACGCGAGCTTGACATGGGAACGCGTCTAGATCTAATGCGATTATTTCCTTAGGACCATAACATAAGGAGGGCAATGCCTTGATGACGACAAACCTCATCGAATGCATTGATTCTTACAGGAGCCTCCACCTTCTTCCACTCACTCTCAATCTCACTTGGGACGAAAATACAAAGAAGAAAGTGGCTACAAACTTTGCATGCTCTTACGCAACTATCTCAGATGAAGCTTCTTGGAAGAAACACGAGCAAAAGATTCGCGACTGTTCGAACAAGAACGCTATTGCTCTATGCTGCGGACGAGCACGTCCGAATGGTATTGTGGTGATCGATATTGATTTTCCCAAGGTGGCCGAAAGCAAAACCGTCATCGACGGTATGCATGTATGGAGGCGGTTGACGGAAGAGCACGGCGAGCCTCTCACATGGAAAGCAAAGACACAGAGTGGCGGTCTGCACTACTATTTTCGAGCAGATTCGCCAGGACTTCAAAGGACGGGAGATGCAACCAAGCTAAGGATTGCCTCCACACAGACAACGATTGACTATCGAGGCAATGGCATCTGCTTCGCTCCTCCAACCAGCATCCTTCGTGATGGTGACGTGCACTCCTATAGCTGGATAACCTCTCCCTGGGAAATCGAGCTTGCTTGCCTTCCATCCTGGATCCTCGAGATCTTGAATGCTCAGGAGGACACACGAGGAAAAGTAACAGTACCAAAGCAATTGAATGCGCTGGCCGGATTTTTACACGGACATGAGCCGTGTACTCCAAACAGTTCAAATACGATAAAGAATCAAGTCATAGATTGGAAGCTTGCGTTGAACCACTCCATCTGGTGCGAAGAGCTAAATGAAGCTGTCGAAACGGCATCTTTCCTGATAAGAAGTAAATGCAACGATCCGACAAGCTGCTATAGAGGCGTGAAGATGCGCGATGGCGAAGCGATCTTGAAATTCAAGGTGAAAGGAAGTAGAGAATGTCCTTATGGAGAGAAACATACGAGCAACAGCTTCAGTGTCATTAGCAACGGCATTTGCATGCAGTATCGATGTTTATCATCCGAATGTAAAGAACGGCCTCGTTACTTTCTCGGACTTCATCATTGGCCTGCGCTACTCACTTCCAAGTCACGCTTTGATTTGCGGCCAATCGAGGAAGCAGAGAAGATCATATCAAAGACTAAAAAGGACTTCGATAGCGTGCAATATCAACTTCTATGTGAGCAACTCTCAACCATTGTAATCCAGACAATGAACCATTATTTTTGTGTACTAGACGGAAGTTCGAAGGTGCTTTTTATCGAGACTCTCTATGCTCAAAGAGGCAATACGTGGACCCCAGACGATAGTATTCTACGAACAAGAGCCGAGTTTCTGGAACGATTGGAGTCCTTCAACTTAGACATTCAAAAAATTGGGAATCTTGGAAAGCTCTGGTGCAGATCATCAGCGAGAAAAACACTAAACAAGGTTGTCTTTGAAACGAATCCCTGCGTAGCTTCACCCAACAACTATAACCTTTTCTACGGATTCCCTTTTTCTTACAATGTACAGAGCACCGTTGACATGACCAAGATTGCGCCACTTCTAAACCACGTCCACGAAGTACTAGCTAACAATGATTCCACAATTGCGGACTACATCTTGGATTGGCTAGCTCATCTTGTTCAACGGCCGCATAAGAAGATCGGCACTGCTTTGGTGTTCCGCTCAGCCCAAGGAGCTGGAAAGTCAGTCATCACAGACTTCGTGGGAAAATACGTCATTGGAGCGCGTTACTATCTCTATTGCAACGATATGGAGAAGATGATTGGAAAATTCAACGGTATTGCTGCAAATCTTCTTCTAGTGTGCTTTGATGAGGTTTCCAATTGGGGTGGAGCATACAAGTCTAACAATCGCTTAAAATCGCTGATCACACAAGATACGACAATCCTAGAGAAGAAAGGCATTGACCCTCTTCAAGTACCGGATCTTGCAAACTACTGGTTTAACACGAATGAGGACTGGCCGATCAAGAAGGAGGCAACCGATCGGCGGTATGCCTGTTTTGAGGCATCCGACGCTCGGATTGGTGACCAAGGATACTTCAATCGACTCTGTCAAACCCTAAATACTACAACAGCTGAACACTTTTATCGATATCTAATGTCACGTACTGGCATCGACACTTGGAATCCAAAACTCATTCCAAAGAGTGAGTGGAGTTCAGCATTGAGGGAGCACTCGATTCCATTCTGGGCGAAGATGCTATGCGGATTGATAGACAATGGCAACTTTTCATTGGAATCGAATACAAATGTGCTAAGCGCTACTATATTCCGGACATACAAGAACTTCCTAGACAATCAGGGCGCAAAAGAAGATCCACCAACACAAAAGGACGTCTTGATCGGTCGCATTAAACGGGCACTTGGACTAGAGAGTTACAAAGAAACATCCAATGGTTGTCGTGGTCTAATATTCCCTTACAAAAACGTGCTCAAGAAACGTTTGGAGGACATTCGATTCTGGGTCGAGGAGGTACATTGGAACGGTTCGTGGGCGTTCGACCCGTTTGTAATCAAATCGTCTTCCTAAACATTCACAGCGATTTTCTTTCATTCTCACGTTGACATTGGGGGTTGACCAATCGTGTAGCATACGGTTGGCTAACTCGTTGAACGATTCCTCTCCCATTGGTGAGTGGACCTCTTTCAAACTATCAATGTTCATGCACAGCATCCGGCCTGTGGTTCATGGACTCCATAGCCGGGATGCAATGTTGTCTCCTCATTCCTGATAATTATTGAATAGAAAATATCCTTCCCATCGAACGCACACAATGCATAGAGGGTACTAAGCGAGGCTCACTTTATTCGAACCGCCTGTTATAGAGTTCGTCTGCCGTCCTCATGGAATGGCCCATGTACTGTGCCTTTGCTCTTACTTCACCGCGGGACATCAGCTTTGGACTGTGCTCGGTATGGGAGATATGTCGGAGAGGTGTACAACTGAGATTTTTGCCAAAGTGCCTCTGGCCGAGGTCGTTTAGAACTACTGTGAAATTCGATATTGGCTCATCAAGCCATACCAGGTACTGCCTTTTGAGAATTAAGTGTTTTCTAGGGATCAGATTGAAAGAGCGAAGAATGACCATCACGAGGTCCTCCGGGATTTCAAGCCGTCTTACGCCATCCTTCTCAAGAGTCTTGTGTCTACCGATATGGAAAAAGCACCGACTAGGATCGTCATTCAACTCAACGACGTTAATATCACCAGGTTTTACCTCAACGCGATCGTTCTTGGATTCTTTCATGAAGAAGACGCGGCATTCGGCGTATTCATTTCTTAACGGTCCCAGAGGCATAGTGTATAGCGCCAAGATGAGATGATCCATCACGAGCTGCTTATCGTGGCGAGTCAACCTTTTCTTTTGAGAGAATTTCGGCACCACACAGCGAATAATTTGATCATCGAGTTCGGATCTCTTTTCCAACAACTCACTCCAGGGTATCCAATTATCGACTTCTTTCGGCGTCTTCCTCTGCATGGATCGATCGAGCTCTTCCTCGGTTGGCTTCATTCTCTGCATATACTTCGAGTATGCTGCTTGCGCCTCTCTGGAGGCAAGAATGGTGAAAGGAGCTGCGTAATTGCTCTTCGTGAGGGATTTCAGTAGTTTGCCATCACGCGACGTAAGACTCTTTATGGTCGCTATTACCTGCTCGTGGTCATTGATCCAATCGAGATCTTGCATGATGTCGGGTCCAAAATCTCCTGCTGTGTGAACGGTCTTGAGCTGTCTAATGTACACAGAAACCGTAGAATCGGACCGGTTGTGGGGAGCTCCACGCAGAACCTTTTCGGGACATTGGGCCTTTAGCTTTCTCCACACCATAGTCTCGAAGTTGGCATCCATCATCCGCAACAGAGCGGCTTACTAATACTCATCCTCGTAGATATTTTTTTGCAAGATACACACGACTCCGGATCACAATCTGTTGGGAGTGAAGTGTTTCCCGTTGTAGCGAATCTTGCTCATGAACATCGACCAATTACTTGGAGACATCACCGTTTGCGGCTCACTGATCGAGGTTAACAAGTGATCTCGCGGTATCAATTGGAGTGTTCGATGGATATATTTGCTGAGCATCTTTGACAACGGGATTCGACCTCCGTCTTCGAAGACGAGTTCGTATGCTCCTTTTCGTCGCGAGGTTTGTAGCAGATAGCTGGCACCTTTATCAGCCCGTTCCCCTTTAAGCACGATTGGAAGGTCGTGCATTTTCACCCGACGGCGATGCTCGGGGTCCAGAAGCATGTGCCATTCAAGGATCAGATGCCACATGACGACCTTCACTTCTTTCAAAGTCAGATCGCGTCCCAAGTCTTCCAGGCTCAACTGTCTCACTTTGCGTGATAGC